GCTAACATAGTTGGAAACATGTGGAAATTGTCCCAACTCAATGCTAACCAGAATCACATTCATACACATCTGAACTATATGCTTGGAAGTGGTACAATAATCACGTGTACGGATGTAGCTTTTGAAGGCATCTGAAAGGTGGCCATGAGCATAGAAGAAATCACCAATGTCATTGTAACCCATTCTGATGCTCTCTTTGATAAGGTTGGTCTGCAATTTGAGAAACAAAATAAATCCAGAAAAGTTAGTTTCTTCAATAAGTATGCCATCACCTTAGAATAGAAGTACGCACAACAAGGCCACAAAGCAAACAATAACCCAAAGCCAAACAAAAGAAAAGAGAAACAAATTACAGAAGCTAGTTTATGCAGGCTTTGATGAATGTTGTGCCATATACAACATCAGCAGAAGATTCAACTCCCAAAGAGGCCACAATCATAAAAGTTTGGTGAACATAGACTCCATGCACTTGCACTGAGATCCAAAACCAGCTGATACAGCAGCACACTCAGAATCTGAAATTCAGCGCTGCGTCGTAATCTAACAAGCATTTGCATCAATGCATCCCAAGAAAATAGCATCTAAATTGAAACGTTATAGCTAACTACACAAATTACCTAAATTTCTCACAAAAAACGTGTTAGGAACATATTTACCAATATATATCATACTCCGGTGGGAATCAGCGCAAAGCAGAACAGTCATCCGTGATCCACATAGTAGGACATACATGGAACTAACTCAGCGTACTCCACACCAACACCGTAGTCATAAATCAAGCAAATAATGAGTCAGTGAGATGTGGACATGCTTCCATAATCCATATCCTCCAATGCTCAAACCCATCATATCACGAGCAGAATTAACGGAAACGAAGAACCAATTTCATCTAAACATAAGGATTAGCTCCAATGCTCAAACTCATCAAATCACAACCAGAAACTAACGCAATTGAAGTACCGATTTCATCTAAACATAAGGATTAAGTGGTTAGGTTTTCGCACCCTGTAGCCATTGAGCTCGCTCTCGAGCTTCTCCTTGCGCTGCTCGGCGCGGCGGTTGACGGAATCGGTCCAGGCCTGGTCGAGCGCGTATTTCGGGCCGAGGCGGCCGTTGATTTTGTTCGTGACTTCCCGGTGGAACATGGTGTCCTCCCCCCGCTTGATCTCGTCATACGCCATCCGCAGCGCCTCGAGCTCCACCGCCTCCACCCCGCACCTCTCGGCGATGAACAGGAGGCGCGCCAGGCGCGTCCGCCCCGTGTACTGCGCGGCGTACGCCTCCACGTCCAGCTGCTCCGCGGACACCGGCGCCGGGGAAGGCTCCGCGCCGCCGAGGCCGTTGGCCACGGCCTCCGCCGCCGCGGCCGGGACCTCGCCCTCGACGTCCATGCGCGCTGGGATCGAAGGCTAGGTTTTGCTCCAAAACCCTAGATAGGTGAGGCGAGGCGACGGAGAGAGTGGAAGGCGGAGGAAGGAGAAGACGATGCGAGAGTGCGAGACGAGACGAGGGCCTTGGCTTGGAATTTGACACATCGCAGGGGTAGATAGGTAAAATCATATTGGGCCGGCCTGGTCAGCAGTTTGGGCTTTCATGGGCCTACACATCGGCCCATTAGTTTATTATGCTCGAAGCCCAGAAGAGGAAACTCCGAAAAAACCTCAACGTTGGGGAGGACGAGTGCTCGAGCTGCGGCGGCGGCGGCGATGAGGGCGGTGAGAGGCGAGGTGGTGTCGTCGAAGCCGGTGGCCCTGAACAAGGCCGCGCGCGTGTTCAGCCTCTTCGCCGCCTCCGACGACTCTGGGCTTCCATCCGACGGCGGGGCACTGTTGCTCTGCGCGGCCGAGGCCGCCATGGAGCTCCACGTTTATCGCCGGTATGGTTTAGCAAGTGGGCAGAGCGAAGAGAAGCGACCTAAGAAGAGGAAGAGGAAGAATGATGCGTGTAGCACATCCGGTGTGGCCAGTCGCGTTGTGTGATTGGAACTGTACCCTAGCTGAAGCTGCGAGCAGAGCACCGATCTGTAGGTGTAGATCTGTTTGTTCTTGGTTAGTAAGACTGTAATCGTTGTGTCGATCGAAAGATTCAGTTTCTGTTCACTGAAAAGATTCAGTTTTAGTTCAGTGTAATCGACCGAAAGATTCAGTTTTTGTTCAGTGAAATCGACCGAAAGATTCAGTTTTTGTTCAGTGAAATCGACCGAAAGATTCAGTTGTTGTTCAGTGTATTTGACTAAAAGGTTCGGTTTTCATTCAATGAAATCGCCGAAACTTCTCTTCGTTGTGGTTTGGATATCGCGAGAATTGCACATTTGCATGGTGCAAATTGATTCAGTGAAAGCCGGAAAGCTCTGCAGAACACATTGTCGAGAGAGGATGCTGACCTGTAATACACTAGTTTAATCAATCATTCATTCATGTGTAAGTAGATTCCAACTACAATCTGCGTCAGTGTCGGGCCATTGGTGTTTCTTTTTTCTGTCCTACGACGACTAGTACGATAATCTGCGTCGGAGATGAGTCATCTCAGAGATTCGTTCAACTACCCAAATGCTTGCAAGTTGAGACGCCGAAATCTAACACTGGCAGCTTCTGAACCCATCTCCAGCCAGTTCAGCCGCTAGCTGCCATCTTCGTCAGCTTTTCTATCTGCAACTGCAATTCTACAAGAGTCTTGGCATTGCACAGTCCTTCAGGATGGTTACATTTGATACAGTTGAGAATAACATAAAACGCACGAGGAAGTTTTCCAATTTCACATTTTTCAGACAAAATTCTGCAAAAGTCATGTAAATTTTCTGTGTCTCACTCGATTTCAACTAATATTAACAACAAAACTCCAAGAGTTAGGCGGACATAGCTACGGGACACCAAACAGCTCTGAATTAGCACTGGCAACCAACCACAACCACACAATTAAAAGGCTAAACACACCTTGCACCGGAATGCACTTTATTTTTCATCTCCATCCACGTGTGCAGCTGCTAGTATGCCGCCACGTGTACCACCCCTGTGTGTGCTGACTCAGATCCACGCACCTGTGCAATGGCAGGGCGATATTTTGATCCGGTTTTATCCACTCGGAGGAGGAGGGACCCATGCGTGAGTGAGACCCCCATCCACAAAACATATCCCAGCTGGTTTGGGTAATTGGGTTCAGGGCGAACTTAATTAAGTGCAGTCCCAACCCATAACACTAGATATGGTTTTCATAAACTCCACATCATCAAGAAACTAGTACTAGACACTACTTTTCCAATACAAACACCACTATTCCATACTTCAATTTAATGCTACTTATCTCATATGATGTCTTGGATATTGTGTAGAAACCATATTTCATGCAAGACATGATTTCCTTCTCTTTCCTTATTTATTCACCTGCCACATCATTTTTTGTCCTATGTGGCAACTTATTTAATACTATGGACATCATACTAGTCATTGGGTTGGGAATGCCCTAATCAGGTCATTCAGAAAAAAAAAAAAAAGTGCAACTTGGAGATGTTGATGTGAGCTGGGGGAGGAAACCGGGAAAGTTGCATTTTGTGGCATCTTTTGCTTCGGTTTGCTTTCTGGTAGGGACCAAAAGTGCTTGGACTTTGGTTTTTAAAACGAGGGTGACGTGTAAATAATCGATGATTATTAAGGCGGCCAATGGATTTTGTGCTGGTGTGCAACAGTGATCAATAGCTGGTGACTCTTAATTATCTGGACAGTGAAGAGATCGGATTTTTATATAAACATGGTATACAAAGTGGATTTTCTTGTTGCTAAAAAACAACTGGATTATTATCTAAAGAAACAAAAGGATTTATTATGCCATGCATGATATTAGGTCTCAGAAGAAGACTTTGAGCTTATTTACACCGCCTATACCTGAATATTTCGTTTGGCTATACACGACCGTGACACTCAACAAAAATATTCGGTGGGCAGCCAGCCATTAATATATAGGATGAGACAAGTAATTAAGAATTTTAGATGCATAATTCAGGTGAGAAAAGCATATATGTCACTCATGCAAGAGCATTTCTTATTGCAAAAGCACTTGATCATTCATGCTTTATTTGGTCTTTACACCAGGGTGATTAGTGAGGCACAAATTATGGTTTCGATCGTTAGATACTTGTTCATTAGATTTCTTGTCGGCCAGGTGGCCAAGCTTTCTTTCAGAACATGTAGAGATTGGTCCCACCTTCTAATTACCAGCTTAAAATGGCCATTCTGGAAGACTGGCTCTTCAGATTTAGTTACACTTTCAGATTAAGCAAACATATATCACTTCGTCTGATTATAGAATCACGTTGTCGGGTCACCGGAGATAGGCGCCAAGTTTCATTTACTATGGTTGAAAGTTACTTCTGGGGTTTCTGGCGCTTTGAAGATTACTTGGAGATAAGGTAGAGTAGTTCTACGTCTTCTAGGTAGCCGCGTGCCTCGTCAAATGAAGAAACTGAAGTAGAAAGCTACTAGTAGCACAGAACGAAGTTCGTTTCTGCAGCTTAGAAAGTTAGAATTTTTTTCAAACTTCAGACATGTTTCTGAAAGAAATGTTCACACATGTATACGCCTACCCCTGAACAAGTCCTGGTTCCTATGAAAATGCTAAAAATTGATGTTAGGGACCATTTACAATTCACCTTTAGTTTTTAACATTTGTTATTTCATAATCCATGCCATAGTCTAGAAAAAGGGAGTGTTCCGCAGGCCGGCTGCCATAGCTACGGCTGCGGCTGCGCACAGTGATGGCACTCTTCGTGCCGGCTGAAAATGGCAGCCGAAAAGGCCTTAAAAAAATGGGCCATAGCAGTGATATTTTTGAAAGTGTCCCTGGTATCCTTAGTATTAATTTTCAATAAACACTTACATACTAGTCATTGACTTACGAAAAATTCAGGTAAGGAGTTAAAACGGAATTAGTCGCAATCGCTGGACAATTCAGCACTTTCAGATGGTTTGAACTTTAAAAGAAGAAAAAAAAATGTCGCTGATCAGAGCTCTCACAGCATAAATTAGCACCCACCTCTGCCTTCCTACCTTCCCCTCCCCTTGCTTTCTCCATCTCCGGAGATCGGAGCTCGCGTTTTTACCTCACGAATAGCGCGAGCTCGCACAAATTCTATTCCGCGACGCGATAGTCTTGCACTCTTGCCCCGCGCTGAGTCCTTGGCATCTGATGCTTTATCTCTCCAAAAGTTGCAGCTTAAAGCATAGCAAGTGCGGTTATTGGGAGGCTTTTGTTGCAAGAACTGGATTTTTCCCGCCGGTTATTCGAATCGGGAACGCTGGAATCACTGACACCTATTCGTCGTGAGGATTGATTCCGCGAGAACTCGATTCGGGATCGAGTTCTTTGGAAGCTGGTTCCCCATTGCTGCGCCGTGCGCGCGTGGAATCCAATAATAGGCGCGGCTTCTGTGCTCGTAGATAAGCTGCGGCGACCGGAGGCGGCGAGAGGGAGCATATGGGCGCGGGCGTGTCAGACCTCGCGGCGGGGATGGAGGCCGTCGGCAAGGTCGCGGGCGGCGCCGGGCTGGGCGAGCTGCCGGAGCTGTGCGCCGCCGAGGTGCTGCTGCACCTGGACGCGCCGGAGATATGCCGGCTCGCGCGGCTCAACCGCGCGTTCCGCGGCGCCGCGGCGGCGGACTTCGTGTGGGAAGCGAAGCTGCCGGAGAATTACGGGTATCTCCTGGACTTCGTCGATGGCGCCATGGAGGGCGGAGGAGGAGGAAGAGAGAGGAGCGTGATGGGGAAGAAGGAAGTCTACGCGAGGCTCGCCAAGGCTGTGCCATTTGACGGTGGCAAGAAGGTGACATTTTTTTCTTGTAGAGTATTTTGTTCTACTACGATGGTTCAAGTTTTGATTTTGAGTTCAGGAGTTTGAAGAGCGAGGGTTCCGAGATGGTCGGAGTTTTTCTTTTTTAAAAAATGAAAATCAAACGTGTTTCTCATGTTCTGAGATTCTGAAGAAAATTTTGGTAGTGTTTTGACCCATGCTTCTCTTTGTGTTTGGTATTTCTCGAGGGATTTTTTTTTTGGGTTAGAACTGTGTTTACATGTTCTTACGTAAAGGATGGGATTTGATTCCACAGTAGCTTTCCATATAGTATTTGCTTTTGCAATTTTGCGTTTAAGTGTTTGATTTATAGTATGGTCTAAGGATGGAATTTGATTTTTCATGTGTGCAAATGGTAGCAAACTGAATACAACTTTTTTTTTTCATTGATAATTTTCTATGGACAAATTTCCCAACTGTGTTTCTGCTCTGTGCTTCAGGAATTATGGTTGGAGAAGAGCAAAGGCGGTGTTTGCATAGCCTTGTCGTCGAAATCACTGGTGATAACGGGAATTGATGACAGGAGATACTGGTCTCACATGCCAACCACGGAATCTAGGTACTAACAACTAACGGTGATTTTTTTTTTCATCTTTCTCCCAAGTCTTACATCTGTTTAAATTAGTTCTTCAATGGCAGCCACACCTTCTACTTGTTGCAAATGATCAAATTTCGATTTTCAATATATGATCAAGTACACAAATCTGAGCCATTTGCTTCTTGATGCAGGTTCCATTCGGTTGCATACCTGCAGCAGATATGGTGGTTTGAGGTGGTTGGAGAGCTCGAATTCTGCTTCCCGGCAGGGACCTACAGCCTCTACTTCAGGCTCCATCTTGGGAAGGCATCCACACGTTTCGGTCGCCGCGTCTGCAGCTCGGAGCAGATCCATGGCTGGGACAAGAAGCCTGTGCGCTTCCAGCTCTCAACGTCAGACGGCCAGCACGCCTTGTCCCAGTGCTACCTGGACGAGCCAGGAAGCTGGATTCTTTACCATGTTGGTGATTTCGTCGCATCGACGACTGAACAACCCATCAAGCTCAAGTTCTCCCTGGCACAGATCGACTGCACCCATACGAAAGGTGGTCTCTGCGTCGATTCAGTGCTGATTTATCCCAAAGGATTTCAGCAAGAGAAGGTGATTAGTTCTCAGAAGTGAAAGTGAGTTTGTGCACTCGACCAAAGTTGCTCTACATTAGAGGATTAGAGCTGTAGATAGTGTAGTGTAGACAATAGCCTACCGTTTTTAACTTGGGCTTATTGTATGCAATGGAAGAATGGAGTGAATTTTTTTTGTGCGGCGGCGTGATGAGTGAGCTTTGTTGCTCTTTCTCACAGTGGTGGCCATGGTGCTGAGGGGAATGTCTTGAGCTCACTTACCTTCAGTCACGGCTCCAAAGTGCTTGTACTGATGTAAGCATACGAGCATAGTTTTCAGGTTTTGCTTTTTTTGCATTAGTTGCCTGTTGCAATGTTGAAAAGGATATACTACTTCATTAGTGGATTTCCCCTGTTTTTTGCTCTCCAACTTGTGACGATGCTGTTATACTCATTAGTTGATTTTAGTCAGTTTTGGCATGACATGGAGAGAGTTAATCGTGAGAAGCTCATATGAGGAGTTGCAATGAGAAGGCTTCCCGGTCTCCAATCTCCGTGCGATTGTACGCAGGTCCAACAAATAACCCGACATAATTTGAACCGGGCCAGTAAGGCTGTGGACCATAGCCGACGATTAGGCCCCTTTGTGGCCCATAAAGATTCACAAGCCACAAGGTGCGACACGAACTTTAACCACCTCTAGCTACTTCCTTTTTTTCTTTTTCCCATCCCTCAAGCGAAGCTGCATTGGTGTGCCCTGTGCGTTATGCATGCGACCTACCCCCGATAAAATAAGAAAAAAGAATGCCTCCCACTTTATATTATAAGATGTTCAGCTTTTTGTTTTTGTCAAATTTCATAATTTTGATCAATATTTATAGAAAATATAGTAACATCTACAACACAAATTAGTTAATTGAATATAACATTTCATATAGTATTTTGATACTGTATTTATTTTGAATTCAAAACTTAAAATATTCCTACATTTTATATATAAATCTATTTGGAGTTAAAACAAATTTGAAACGGGGAAAGAGAAAAGTAAAGAAACAGTTGCAACGTCACCAAACCGCCGATGAAGCAAGAAGATAGGAAGAGCGTTGGCGGCGTGACACGTGGCTCATGCAACCAGCGAGGGCAGCCACGTGGGTCGTGTAACCCGGCGCACGCATTCGGAGTCCAGCACGCCAAGGGCACACGCCCCACCCAATCACCCACGCGACGCGACATGAAGGGAGAGCGGAGAAGGCGGGCGCGACCGCTGCGGTGCGCCCCCCGGAAGCGGAAGCCCACCACAAAAGCCTTAGCACGCAAGGCAAAAACACACACACAAAAAAAGAGAGAACCAAGGCGAAAACGCAACGAAAGGCCGTGGAGGAGGACGGCGTTGCGTTGGCGGTTGGGCGTCTCGTCCCGTCTCGTCTCGTCTCCCCACGACAAGAAGAGAGGCGGTGCGCTTCTCCTCCTCTCCTGTCCTCTCCTCCTCTCGTCGAGCGGCGACGCAGAAGAGTAGTATGGTGCCCGTGGAGATGGAGGTGGACGACCCCCGCGGCTGGGACTTCGTCGACTGGGTCGGCCCCGACGCCTCCGCCTCCATCTTCCGCTCCCTCGACGACCCCGCCGACATCGTCCGCGCCGCCGCCGTCTCCCGCTCCTGGCGCCGATTCGGTTCGCCCCCTCCTCCCAATCCACCACTCCTCGTGTTCGCGCTGCTTAGTTTGGATTTAATTTCTTGATTTGTTTGTTTTGGGCAGTTGTTGAGAACGAATTCAGCAAGAGCATATGCTTGCGGATATGCCCGGAGATCGCCAATTTCACCAGCGCGGAGGAGGTGAGCAGATCGCCGCCGCAGCCGCCGCACGCCGAGTCCAGCCATGGCGTCCAGCGCAAGGCCCTCGAGAGGGACTACAGGATCTACTCCTACCTCAGCGGCGCCCTCGTCTCCAACAGCCCCTCCATGGACTGCATCCTGCAATGCATCGGCGCCTCCAGCACCGACAACTTCCCCGACGAGACCATCGAGAACACGCTCATACCACACGATCGGGTCAAGCACCGCCCCTCCTACTGGTCCAGCGGCGGCCACGACGATCCCGACACACCAGAGACCTTGACGTACAGGCTCAACTGTGATATGTGCATCGTCGATGAGATCAAGCTGCAGCCATTCAAAGGTACAAGTCAGGATATGCCTAATTAAGACCGTGAATCTCAGAACGCCCTTGGATATTACAAGTTGCTTGCTCGATTGCATAGATTACACTGACCTCGGTTTCAAACTGCCAGCTTATTTTCAGTATGGACATCCTATATACTCTTCAAAGGCAGTCAGATTCCGGATGGGCCATTCCAAGCTTCCTCATGGCTCGGATTCCTTTGTTACGGTCGAGGATGAGAATCTGATGGCAATTGCTGACGAGAATTATGTGTGGACTTACACTTCACCAGAGTTCCCCATGTTGCAGGTGAGTTGTTGGGGCCTTTTCTTGTTTACTACTTTGTTGACCTGTCCACAACCGAGCAACTTCATATTAAGACTGCTTTTAGATGCTTTATTCGGCCTGTCATGATCAATTGCTTCAACTGGAACATATAAAATAGAATTGTATCACCTTTTGGAAATTCCTAAGTTGGTATACCTGGGCAAGTTTTTATTTTTCGCCAGGATGGTGGCGAAGGAAGTCCGGTCAATTTTATTAAGATCATGAGGAGTGAAGTATGGTTTTTGTATTAGGTTCCATCCTAACATAGTTTGACAACTTAAAAGCTCAGGACAGGCCCTGAGGTAGGAAGAAGCACATATATATCTGGGAAAGTAGTTTGGCTTGTTTTGGCGGTTCTATAGAAAGTTGTCTCGTTGCATTTATCAATATGAAAACCACATACACAATTTGGCATCCAGAAGTATACAACAAATTTGCATGTTATCTCAAATCAGCATTTCAGAGATTCTGGTGACATCATTTTTTTGTTACTTCTCTGTCATGTAGTATTTTAGTAGGAGGCTGTTACCTTTTTTGTGCTTCTTCCCTTACAAACTACAGCAAATTGCTACAGGCTTGCCATCTAATTTATATTAATTTGAACCAATTAAGGATTGATCTGTTACCGAATTCCAAGCATGTTTTCTTTCCAGGTGGACATGATTATGCATTGCGATATTAGTGATGCTGTAATGATCTAATGAAGCAACACCACAATTGGGTAAAATACCATCCTTACTGATGCCATAACATTGATGTGATAGGAAAATGTGCTACAATCCTTCAAGCTTCCGCGCCCAGTCCTTTGCATTGGTGGTATAGTGAAGGTTGAACTATTGGGCAGAGTACAAAAACAGGAAGCAGATGATAGGTACTACATATGGTAAGTTCTTCTCAATGTTTAGCCTACTTATGTTGATTGGTCACCTTATATTTGCTGCTATAGTTTTGTTCAACAAATATTGAGGATGGCAAGAATCCTTTTTACGAAAAATCAGCATGACAAACCATGCAAATTTAGAGAGTCAACATATCGGCACTCTGGCTTGGAGTAGGGTACACATCTTTACTGGTTTTACTGCACCTTAAAGAGCAGAATTGTGCACATCAGAGTCATATTTCTATGCAATCGTAATTGCATTGCAATTTTGCTGTTACACTTTATCTGGTGGCATATGACGTTTTTTTTGCTTATGCTTGTATGCTTCAGGATGTAGGATGTGCATTTGTGCATAATGTTGGCATAACTATGAAAACATGAAAGTTTATCTCTGCAGTAGAGTTTTCTTTGCATATGCACTTGAAAATTTCCTTGAATATGGACAGTACAGATGCTTATAATTGCTACGCTTTTTTGCATGTTAAATGGTTCACAGTATCTGCCATGCTCAAGTGAGAGGGCGTTCACTTTCTCCAGTTTTCATGGTTGATACCTCTGATCCTGCTGGTTATTCAGTCCTCAAGTACTTGCCGGATGCAAAAATCCTACGCTCCGAGGACGCAATGCTGGACGATGGCAGCGAATCGCTGGAGTGGCACTCACTTGTTGCTAGGTACAGGCGGATGAGGCATCTAGCGATAATGAATGTGCTTCTTGGACCTGAAGAGTTCATGGATGAAGATGATATTATAGGTGGCGTGTTAATGGATGAAGATGATTTAGGTGGTATGTTAGAGGACGACCCTTTTGTGTAGGCTTGCTGCTACAGAACCACCCGGGTTTTAAACTCTCTGTAGTTAGTTTTCCTTGCAGACATCTGTGAAACATTCTGCAACTTCGTCGAGAAAATACAGTTGTTCTGATCTGGAGAGAAGAACAAATGGATTGTTACTGCGCTCAATCTTGATCATGTTTATATGCTCTGCTTTGTTGTTTATTTATTGCTGGGCTCATTCCGAGAACACACAATATTTATTTCTATGACAGATAGGCCTCACCGTCTCCCGCTAGCTGGAGTAGAAACCAAGGGGAGGAAAAGTTTGGATGGTTTTCAGTGGTTATTAAGGGAAAATTTTAAATCAACTCCAAGAAATAAATTTTTCCAAAATGCGAGTAACATATTCGTTTCCTTAGGTCAGATCTATGTGATTGGGGATAAATTGAGTGTGTGAAATTGAGGATATAGGCTTGTTTAGTTCTAAACTTTTTCTTTAAACTTTAAACTTTTCCATCACATCAAAACTTTTCTATACACATAAACTTTCAACTTTTCTATCATATCGTTCCAATTTCAACCAAACTACTAATTTTAGTGTGAACTAAACATACACATAGCTACGGTGTATCAGTTGGACGAAGGGATGGAAGGAGGACAGAGAGCGATTTTACAATTGAGTAATTATTCACTGCGTTGCTCCTCAAAAGATTTTTTTTTTAGTTGAGGAGATGAAGAATAGTTGAGAGTACCCGCAATGTAAGGACACAGAAAAGAGAAGAACAAAGGACTAACTCTATCCATTGCAGTTACCTTTTGCATCGGTCCTAACCCTAACAATTCAGAGAAAAATGGTCTCAAACCAAGCACCGAGTAGCTAGAAAACAATTCTGAGAAAGAAGATGCTCTAGTTTTTCTTAGTTTTCCTTTCTAATACGATGTTTACACGTGGCAGAGTTTAGTATCCCTAAGCAGATTATACATTGCAGATGCTAAAGAGGCCGAGATAGTAAAAGGAGAAAGGGTCCAAGAATCGGCAAAGCCCAAAGAGAGGCGAAAGGGAGCCCAGCGACCCCCGCTTCGCCCAAAGCAGCCGGAACAATCTTTCCCCGAGAATTTCTTGGCAGAGGCGGCGGCGGCGAACTCGCCGGGGAGAAGCGCAAGCGGGAGGAGAAGGAGGCCACTGGAGATGCACCCACTTCATCGGATACCGCCAAAAGCGGCGGCTTTTCCCAGCACTCGATGTGGAAGACGAGCCTATGCTCCTCCTGCTTCCATCTGATTTCCCACCACTGGATAGGCAAGTTTTGCATTCCCCACTTTTCATCTGATTCTGCTCTTCAGTTTTTCCGATTGTTTCCTAACTGTTATCAAATCTTTTCTCTCGCAAGTCCCTCCAACTGATAACTGATGGTATCTAACTTATCTTCTGCAAGGAAGGTATCTAATTCTCGGTATTTGAGATGAAAATTCCTACAACCGTTCTAAACAATCCTACTACAAGAACTTCTCGAGACCATAAATCAAGTTCTGCGAATGAAACAATTTTTCTTTAGTGAAAAGCCATTATATCATCTACTGCACTACACAACATAATTACCTTCAAGCGTACCACCTTCCGTATTGCCAGAATTAGTCCTGGCATCAGGCATTGAACATTTGTCACATCATGTCTTAAGGTGTAAATCTGAAAATGTTGGTGACTGGTCAGTTGAACAGTTAAAATCGGTGCCCAGTCCAGCCATGTTTCAAGCAAACATATTATTGATACCTCTCCAGGGCCTGAGAAGTTGATTGATGTGCTGGAAGCAAGGCCTGGTAGAACCATACTGTGGACACGCACCCCATCTTCTCCAAGTATCTGACCCCTTGCCTTTTCCAAAACATTTGTCCATTAGTTTTGTGAAACAGTATTGTGCAGCTGTAAGCTGTTATAGAGGTGAAAACTGATTCCAGTTTGTACTTTCACTGTTTTATAATGAACTGAACAGACTACAATATCCGTTTCTGTATCATTAGATAGATAGTGATGCAAAATATTTCCCTCACAACTTACTGGATTATCAGAGATCTTCCCTGTTGTATATCTGACCAAGATCTGATATATTATTTGCAATCTGTATTGCATCTTGTGATGGCAAATCCTGCCAGGCTGCCAATTTCAACCATTGATGTCTATCAGTCTTTGTACACCTGAGTATTTGTCTAGTATGTATTGACTACTGACAAGAGTGCTTCTAATGCTGATAGTTGTTGTTGAGTTTTTTCTTTGGCATTTGATTGATTGTTAGAATATACAATGTTTATTGCACATGATGTTCTGTATCTGATGGTTTTGGAAGGCATACTTGTATGGTGAATTAAGAGTTACTACATGGAAAAGCCCATTACTGATGGGTTAGGTCTTGATTCCACTATCTCGACGCTATTGTAGTGGAATGAGGCCTGGATAGCAGCTTGTTGTAGGAGCACTGAGCCAATTGACAATGTTGGCGCTACCAAGCAACCTTGATCATGAAATCAGCACAAGTCATGCTAAAATGATGTTAAAATGGTAAATACATGATAATTGCAATAATGATGTATAGTATTACCATGCTTGCCTTCTCGCAGAATGCTGACAGCTCAGTTACTGTATCTAACTCAATGTTTGGAACGTACACCACACTGTTTAAACCAAATGCCGCTGCCTGTTTATGAACCATGTTTGTGTCGATAAAAACAATTAGATTTCAGAAGATTGTACAGAATCTGAATGGCATTATACTTCTTTATCAATGTTGTGCAGTGTGATTACTGAATTAGAGGGCACTCATGTGGTCCTGGTGACTAGTATTGGTTAGTTCATTGAATGTGAACTGTGACCTTTTTCTGTTATTTGGTTACAAAGCAAATAATTCTTTTACTCGTATAAACTCATGAATTGATAATAATGTAACCTTTTAGAGTAATAAGGTTATACTTGGTACAAGATTTAGTTATACTGCCCTGATGCTTCCCATTGAATGGATCAAACTGGTTTGTATTTTGTATAATCCTGTACCTCACAATCCCACTTTACAATGTAACTTAGTTTTTTTCCCCATATTGTAGGTGGATAGCTTACCTGTTTGACATTGTCATAAACAGTTGAAGGTTCACTGAAATCAACCACCACTCCAGTTGCTCTCGACTGAAAGAACATAAGTTTCCATTAGCAAACTGTGCACCGTACAAGTGAGCATAAGCATTTTATCGGACAATGAAGAGGCCAGTACCTGTGCAATTGAGCCGAGAACCATTGTGAGATCATTGAGCACCGGAATTTCCAAGGCTTCTTCCATGCCATTTATCTAGAAGAACAATGCCGGCATTTATAAACTCTAGGAGACAAAGATCAAGCAGCTATTGCAGCGGGGAGACGGTCTAATTTCAAGGGAAATGGTGCATTCAGTGAATGGTGAGTACCTCTCCTGCATCTAGGCCTACACACTGAGAATCTATGGCCCCTGCAAGCTCCATTCCCCTTGCTTTGCTTACTGCCACTATTGCCGTTCTTCCGATTTCTCTTGTGGCCCCAATGATAACAACCTTTTCAATATACCACCAGATTTTGCCCTCAGAGCAAGTTACAGTGCTACTAGAGAAGAAGATCCACAAGGTCATAACCCACAGTACCTTGATTGTGATCTGAGATGGCGGCATCTGCGTTGAGCAGAAGACCTTTGCTGCTGCATTTCTCCTGCCAATCTTTCCGGATGCTCTGGTATGAACAGAGTGGCATAAAGTAACCATGCTTTTGTTCTGAAGACGGAGATTACAGGAAAGCGAAGGTTCAGGTAAGCCATGTCCTCTCTATTTGTCTTGTTTTTCCCTAACCTTGAGCTACCTTATCCTGCTGTGAACCCAGCGTGTGTGTGGCTTAAAATCGCTTCGGTTGCACGCATACCATCAGCCTCTCTGGACCATCTGATTCCATGGTATTGTCAAACACCAATTTAACGCTATACTATTTTCACAGGAATTGCATTAGTCTGCATTAATCAGGCGTCCTGGAGCGAGCATATTGTGATTCATCAGTTCACATGGAGAGATGGTGAATTGGTGACCATCGCCGTGGTGTACTGATGGTGTGGATGATGCTGATCCATGGTCCGAAACCCAAATTAGCTCTCACTGAAAACGGCTGGCCGAGCCCAACAGCAACAAGGTGCCAAAACCCAAACATTGGCACAGGCATACGAGGCACTTGTCGGGGCAGCAGAGTGCAGACGCCAGAAGCGGCAGGTAGCCAGGTACAAGTAGCCATTGCTCCCCATCTTCTTCTAGTCGTCTTCTCTCCCACTCGCACGCACGCACACTCGAGTGATGAGCTCATGAGCATTTGATGGTTTCTATCTTGGTCACAGCATTGTTCGGGCTCTTGTGCGTCTTGGCCATCGCCGTCGTGGAGGGGAGGAAGAAGAGCAGAAGAGGTAATGGCTTTCTTTTGACTCTATATATTGTATATATTCTGGACAAAGCTTTTGTTCTTACATTGGCATGTCATCAAATTTACGTAAACCTTTTGTGCCGTAGAATCAAGCGCTGCTACGTTGCTTTACCCGACTTTGTATTTATTTCATCTTCCAAGCCAAGTATCCACTTTCTGCCTCTGCTTTTGTCACCTTTCGATACGTCACGCTCGCAGCCTGCTTATCTTATTTGCAAGAAAGCAAATTCGTTTCAATTCTTTCAGAAGAATAGACTTTATTCGTGAATTGCAAAATAAGTTTTTTTTTCCTTCGGTATTTCCCTTTCTTTTATTCATTACATGAAAGAGACATTGCACGCACACATTGTATAACACAGGCAACATCACATTGACACTTTCGTGAATACATTCTCTAATATAAACTCAAGAAGATACAGATCAGGGGCAGCTCCTAGCCACTAAAATTTTAGAGAAAATGCACCACCGATTTATTTATGTGTATTATTGGTGGGAATCAGGATTTAAATCTTGATTGCTTCATCACTAGTGTAACCCTTTTCCATTTGGTTGTTTTCTTCGTTCTTGTTAGTGAACAGGAGGATTTTTTTTTCTCAACTTATTACTATCTGGAGTACTCCTGTTTGTTCACGTTCGCAACATAACCAGGAAGAAATCATATCGGAATGATAAGGCTGCCGCTGTTAGCTGAACACAACTGAAACGTTTGCAGTGTTGCATTCGGATCAGAGGAGGAAAAAAAGCTGTACCTGCATGCAGGACAGGAGGGGCATAACAGTAATTTGACACTAGGCAGGCGTGATCTCGACAGGGACGTCTCGGTAAATCCACCCAAACCGAAGAAGCCTTGGGCGCCTCGTCCAGTCAAGAGCCCAGAAAAACCCATCGGGACTCACTGACACGTGGGCCCCACGGGACCGGCTCTCCTTTGGATGGCCGGTGCGATGCAACCACGCGCACTCGAGTGTGGCTCGAGCCCGACCTGATCAGGAACCCGATGCGCCGTTGCTGGGCTCGGTCGGATTCGGGCTCGTGACTGCCGCTGCTCCTCAGTCACTGACAACACTGGGCCACCCATTATTGTGCTGCTACTGTAGCAGAAGTACGTGCGTTGCGTTTGCATCGCGTCGCATGTGCGCACGGTTTGCCACGACGCCCACTCGCGCCTTTTCTAGTGGTCGCGCAAAGTTTGTTGCTTACACTCTCTCTCACTGACGCGTGGGACCCACCAGGCTCAGCCCTATTGTGGCGGTTACCGGCTTGGTTGAATCGTTGCCTTGTCAAAATGACAACGCGTCCATGTGTTAAAGAAAGCACATGATCTTTTGATTAAAACACAATAAAGTACTTGCACTGTTACCAAATCGCAAATCTTACACCCCCCCCCCTCTTGCAAAGATACGGCAATTACCAGCTTGCTTTTGCTGTAATCGCCATGTGCCCAGTGACTACTAGTACCACGAGCCCTTTTTGTTTTTTCTTTTGCTCATTGATTGATACTAGTGAGGATGTTGGAATTTTGCCTAGTACTGTAGGCGAGCAATGGTGTCTGTAGTATGCCTGTGCCCCTCCTGCTTGGGCAAGTACCCCTACTGCCAACATGCAGTAGATTTATAAACCCATCTAGTCCTTCGTGCCGGCCATTCGTCTCATTCCCCTCGAGTCCAAAACCCACTCTGTTTTTAACCTCATCTGGCTGACGCATTAAACCTTGGTCAAACTCAAAAAAGATGCGAAATCCAGCAAGAGGAGGGCACATTTCTACCAACCCGTAATCTCCACGGACGCCTCTGCCGCCTTGGTACGGCAATTGATGTGAGACGTCTCACCCGACCAAAATCTGAACAATTTAAATCTCTTACTCCCTCCATCCCAAAATAAAGCCATTTTTTAAGTTAGCACATGTATTAAAAAAATAAGTGAGAATAATTAGAGTAAGTGTATGATTGGTTGAAAAGAGAAAGTAGGTGAAGAAGAATGGTTGTGATTGGTTGAGAGGAGGAGGTAGGTGAAGAAATAGCTTCATTCTGGAACAAAACACTGTGCTAGAAATAACTACATTTTGGAACGGAGGGAGTAGCTTATAGCTTAGAGCTTAGCTAAGTGTGGTGCTCATGGTTGCAAGTATCTTTCCACGCTGCAATGGCGATGTGCTGCTACTCATGCTTGTCCTAGGCTGCGTTCTTTCCCACCCTCAACAGTGTTCACGGAAAACGGAGCGATCCATTAGCACATGATTAATTAAGTATCTGCTATTTTTTTTAAAAAAATGGACTAATATGATTTTTTTAAGTAACTTTCGTATAGAAACTTTTTACAGAAAAATGCACCGTTTAGTAGTTTGAAAAGCGTGCTAACGGAAAACGAGGAGAATCTAATCCTACTAGCCTGAAAAGAACGCAGCCCTAGTTGTTTTTGTGCCTTAAAAAAAACAGGAGGATTCCTTCGTCTCCCTGCTCGTTTCTTCTCTAGTGTTTGTTCCCTTGTTTCTTTTCCAGTCTTGCTTTGCTTTGTTTTGTTTGTTTGCTTCCTCCTATCAGATGAGTCTATGGAAGCATCCGGCCGCGGCCGGAGACGGCGAGGTGGTGGAGACGGTGGTCGAGCTGCTCGCGCGCGTCCGGGGGATGGTGCCTCCGGCGCTGGGCGCGGCCGGCGCGGCGGAGGGCTTCCCGGGGCGGTGGAAGGCGATCGCCGCGAAGCTGGAGGGGCTCCCGGCGTGCCTGTCCGACCTATCCAGCCACCCTTGCTTCGCCAAGAACGCGCTGTGCCGCGAGCTGCTGCAGTCGGTGGCCGCCACGCTCGCGGAGGCGGCGGAGCTCGCGGCGCGGTGCCGGGAGCCGCCGGCTGCCGGGAAGCTGCAGATGCAGAGCGCCATCGACGCGCTCGCCGGTAAGCTGGACCTCAACCTCCGGGACTGCGCGCTGCTTGTCAAGACCGGCGTGCTGTCCGATGCCTTCACGCCGCCGCCTCCGACCGACGAGGCGACGTCGACGGCGACGGCGGCGCAGGCGGACGTGCGTGAGCTGCTTGCGAGGCTGCAGATCGGGCACACCGAGGCGAAGAGCCTGGCGGTGGATGGTCTTCTCGAGGCGCTCAACAAGGACGAGAAGAGCGTCCTCTCGGTGCTTGGTCGCGCCAATGTCGCCGCTCTGGTGCAGCTGCTCACGGCGCCGGCGACCAAGGTGCGGGAGAAGGCCGCCACGGTGATATGCCAGCTTGCGGAGTCCGGCGGCTGCGAGGGGCTACTCGTGTCGGAGGGCGCGCTGCCGCCGCTCATCCGGTTGGCCGAGTCCGGCAGCCTCCTCGGCCGTGAGAAGGCCGTCATCACGCTGCAGCGCCTATCCATGTCATCTGACACCGCCCGCGCCATTGCCGGGCACGGTGGCGCACGCCCGCTCATTGAGATGTGCCAGACCGGGGACTCCATCTCGCAGTCCGCGGCGGCCGGCGCGCTCAAGAACCTCTCGGCGGTGCCAGAAGTGCGGCAAGCATTGGCCGACGAAGGAATCGTCCGCGTCATGGTCGGCCTACTGGATTGCGGCACCGTGCTCGGCTCCAAGGAGCACGCCGCCGACTGCTTGCAGAACCTCACGTCGAGCAGCGACAGCTTCCGGCGCGCCGTCGTGTCGGACGGCGGGCTCCGCAGCCTGCTCGTGTACCTCGACGGCCCGCTGCCGCAGGAGTCCGCGGTGAGCGCGCTCCGGAACCTGGTGAGCGCGGTGTCCCCCGACAGCCTCGTGTCGCTCGGCGTGCTCCCGCGGCTGGCGCATGTGCTCAGGGTCGGGTCAACCGGCGCGCAGCAGGCGGCGGCCGCGGCGATCTGCAGGATCTCCACCACCACGGACATGAAGCGCGTCGTCGGCGAGCACGGCTGCGTGCCGCTGCTGGTGCGGATGCTGGACGCCAAGTCGAACGGCGCGCGCGAGGTCGCGGCGCAGGCCATGGCGAGCCTCGTGGGCTACCCTCCCAACGCCAGGGAGGTGAGGAGGGACGGCAAGAGCGTGCCATGCCTGGTGCAGCTGCTCGACCCGAGCCCCGCGAACACGGCCAAGAAGTACGCCATCGCGTGCCTCCTGTCGCTCGCCGCGGCCAAGAGGTGCAAGAAGCTGATGATCTCGCACGGCGCCATTGGCTACCTCAAGAAGCTCTCCGACATGGACGTCGCCGGCGCCAAGAAGCTTCTGGAGAGGCTGGAGCGCGGCAAGCTGCGCAGCCTCTTCAGTAGGGACTAAAGCAGCTGTAACTACAAAGCTTCACCACTTACACGTTACGTTGCCAAGTTTTTTTTTTTTTGTTGTATAACCTGTATAAAAGATCACATCTTGTTTTCACAGTCTATGGAACACGGGGCTTGTGCAGTGCAAATGCTCATCTTGACTGAATATACTGAGGTGTAATTTTCCCTATATTCTTTGTGATGGATACTACTCCTATGTAGGAAAGCAAATTATACTATCTGGTTAAACCGAAATTAATGGATAACCGGTGTACTCAAGTTATTGTTTAATGTGAACATTTCAGTAAGCTAATGTGGACGACATGATGACGCTATCAGCATGGGAGTGAGATAATTGGTGTATGATATGGACCAAACGCTGTATATGATGTGGAAGCAACTCTACTCGCGCGTGCGCCTTGCTTGAGTGGACAGTTGGACACATGATCTTCGCCCATGATGATTAGCTGCTCAATTTGCCCGATTGATAGTCAAGTGTTCATCGGCTGGTAGCGTGTCACCCTTTTAGCGTGATGACGCACCAAACTGCCGTGGTGACATATGCAGTGTTATGCCATAGATACTTAGTATTAGTGAAGAACTATTATAACATATCTCTCTCAAAAGAAATTATTGTACTTCTATTCTACTAGCATGTTGGGGAGTAGTGGGCATACATGCTCCAATGAGTATAAATTTGGCAGCCATGTTGGAGTACAAAGTAGAAGACATGCATGAACACATAAACCATGTTCATTACAGTTCAGGAGGGTATTGTGTGAAGCCATAAACCATACGTACAACTGAAAGTATTCTATACTGATTATCATAGACAGATTATCTCACAATCCATGCTTAAGAATTACGTCTGCAGATTCCAGTGATGGACTCCCTTTGGGCTACAACGGCAAATATCCATCATGCCTTCACTTTGATAGCGGGAGCACGAGATGGAAGTTGCTGCATGGCAAAATGGGACAGTTGAGTACAAAATTCCAGTGCTAGTCTCACTAAAATTCTCCAAGAACATTGACTGGATGAACAGATTCAGTGGGTACCTGATAGCAGGAAATGAGTGAGGTGACGAATCCAAATGCCCCTGTTACCCTTGGAGTGATCTTCTTGGGTGACAGCTGAAGAAGCCCTACGGCCACCACAACATCCATGGCCGCCTTCACCAGTGCTAGCAGCCGTTCATCCGACTGTTTCATCTTGCTCTTGTACTGGTCATTCTACAAACCAAGCAGAAAAAGAGCGAGAAGGTTAATTGCATAAGCTCTATAAAATTTGTACTCGTCAATCGTCATCAGTTTCCAGTGGGATGCAGAGATGATGAAAGAATGCACACCTCATATTTGTCAGTATCCCTCAGCTCTCTCGCCAGCTTCCTCATTGATTTTGATAGCCTCTTAAGCTCTCCAAGCTGCCAAATGGTATATATATGTTCAATGATTTTTATTGACTATCAAAATGAGGTAAAGAATTGCAGTGAATTACTGAAGTATTTATACCTCAACTAGCCCTGCACAGACTGAAGAGGCCATCCAGCAGTAGAGGGATATCCTTACAATCCGGTCTGTGCGCTCCTTGTTCTAGCAGCAAGAACAGAAAAAAAATATATCATTTAGACAATCTTGTATATCAACACAAGGCCAAAACACACACACACACACACACACACACACACACACACACAACTGCTGAACCGTGTATCAATCTTGACAACCTTGTATATCCCTGTTCTTCCCAACCATACAAATTGGTCCAGGAACAAGAAAGTCGAGAGCAGCGCATTTTTGGACTGCAATTGTAAAAGCCTTTGGTTAACAATCGCATCATTCTCAAGCAGATAATTCTTTGTTCGAATTTTTGTAAAAGAAAAGAAATACCTTCCCAAGCAAGACCAGTGTAAGAGGAGTCCCCTTAGCAGGAGGGCTGATAAGACCATGCAGATCATTGACCCACTGCAAATGCAAGACAGAAACAGTTGAAAGAACATAAGTTGCCTGACGCTGAGTTAACTGCTGTTCGATACAAGTATCAACTAGTACTAGCAAGCAAGGAAGGATATCATCGTTAGTGACCTTGAGAAGCCGGAAAACTTTGCGAGCAAGGGTGGTGGACCTGTCGACATCCTGTGCCGTGCCAGGCTGCCCGTTACTGATAAACTTCGAGCCGTATTGGATCGCCCTGCATATCTTGTCCCTGGCCTCGGCTTTGTTCAAGTACAGAACAACAAGGCCGAGCTCTGCTCGCGTGGCATCTAACGTGCTCATCTTCCTACCCTGAAGTAACCAAAGACGAGAGAGCCACAGAAAATTCACAAAATCAAATGCACATATACAACATATCTACCAAAGCACCAATCATCTAGCTACTTCTATGCTTTCTTCAGATTAAAAAAGCTTGTCTGGAAATGAAACTAGTGCACTGCAGCATAAGCCTGGAAGCATCGCTAGAATCAGCAAAGGTGCAGGAAGCAGTGAGATTAGGGATGTCTGATCAATTAATTACCTTGCTATTGCTAACCAGGGAGTAGGATGCAGCGCTGCAGAGAAGAGAGCGAAGTGGATAAAGGAGGGACGGCTACCTGATGTTTGCCGAGCCCTTCCACTCCTCCTGGAGACTGGAGCAGGGAGGAGCAGTGGCTTTCTTCCCCACGGCTATTTCACCATTCGATTGGTGTGGATTGAGATGAGATGAGATGACTCGTGGTGGCTGGACGGGGCGCGATTCCTCCCTTGGATTTGGGAGACTGACACGTTTGGATTTTAGTCCCCCCCTTACGTGTGGACACACAGGAAGCTCTGAATTTATAATCCGAGGTTTTGTACTGACATGAACGATGATATGGGCCTGAATTTGTAGCAAACGCCTCTCTATTGGGCCTCTGAAACCAAGAGATGCAGTTGGACCTGGCCTTTTTCGCAAGGCCCAACGTTGATGAGGAAAAGCAGATCGAACGCGACCCGGCGATGGATCGACGGCGGCGCCGGCTCCGGCGGTTTCGCGAGATGGTGCGGCGGCGTGAGGCGGCGTTGCGTGGGTGACCCGGAGACTCCAACCAAAACGCTCCGGCCGATCGAGAGCCTCTCCCGGATCTGACGTCAGATGAGGCCGTACCGTAACCACCTCGCTTTCTATCACACAAACGGCTCGTTGGATTGGGGGAGTCTCCTCTGCGCGACGGACATGGCCTCCTCGCTCGTCTCGCGCACCCACCTCACTCCGCGCCCCGCCGCCGCCGCCTCGACGGCCTCTCCTTGCAGCGCCCGCTTCGCGGTCCGGCGGCGCCGTGGCCTCGTCGGCGGTGTGCGGTGCCAGGCGCAGGCGAGCGACATGGACGGCCACTACATGCGGCGGTGCGTGGAGCTGGCGCGCAAGGCGGCCGGACACACCAGCCCTAACCCCATGGTCGGCTGTGTCGTTGTCCGCGACGGCCGCGTCGTCGGCGAGGGATTCCATCCCAAAGCCGGCCAGCCCCACGCCGAGGTCAGGTCAACTCTCTAGTGCTCTTACTTGTTTCCTCATACGCGTTAGACTTAGACATAATCAAAAGGTTCCTTTCGATGCTGCTTTGTGCAAGATTAAAGTTGTTGACGTTTGTGGAATCCATTCAATCTTGATGCAATCATTGTGTTAAGAATTCACACTAATCTTGATTTTTAGGCACGCCATCGGTAACATTGCAATGTGTGCATATGGAAAAGATGGAAATTGTAAATATTAATACAAGTAAAATTGAAGCTCGTTGTAACACACTGCAGCACACTGCATTGCTGTAGGAACATTGTCCATTGCCTATTTTATCACCTGCAATGGTCATGTATAATGAAGTTGATAATATCCTAACATATTTCAGTGTTACCATCTGCAGGTGTTTGCTCTGAGAGATGCTGGGGATTTAGCAGAGAATGCAACAGCCTATGTGAGCTTAGAGCCCTGCAACCATTACGGGCGGACACCTCCCTGCACTGAAGCACTCATCAATGCCAAAGTTAAAGATGTTGTGGTGGGGATGACTGACCCAAATCCTATTGTGGCATCCAAGGGGATTGAAAGGCTCAGAAGCGCCGGGATAGATGTGAGGTTGTGCGTGGATGAAGAAGCGTCATGCCGCAAGCTAAATGAGGCTTACATCCATCGCATGCTTACTGGGAAGGCCTTTGCAACTTTAAGGTAGATATTCAAATATCTTTGCAACTGTTATTTGTTTGAAATATATACAATGCGGAATGTTGGTGAATTTTAATCTGTTACATGAATAACAGAACTACACTCTCGATGAATGGAGTTGTCATCAATCAGATTGGGAGTGGAGCTGATCAACCAGAAGGATACTACTCGCAGTTATTGAAAGAATACGATGGAGTAATAATTTCAAGCAATTTTGCCAAGACAAATACCTTGCCTGTATCCCGTGAAGCTGGTGCGAAGCAGCCTCTTTATATCATCATAGCGCAGTGCGAAAATTCCCAATTAAACATTCCGTTTCTCAAAGAAGAGCGTGCAGCCGAGGCAGTAGTTCTGTCGGATAGTCCTATCACTGTGGAGCCAGCAGGAGTTGATGTTTTAGTCCTTGATCAGATGAACCTGGATGCCATTCTTCAACTTCTTGCACAACGAGGGCTATGTAGTGTGCTGGTGGATTTCAGGGAGGCTGGAGGAGGCATTGCATCACTTCTGAACAATTTTCAGGATGACAAGCTGGTACAGAAGGTTGTTGTGGAGCTCCTGCCTGTCTGGGCGGTCAGCAAAGGGCCGAGCGACCTGGCGTTTGGTGGGAGCCAGTCATTTCCACTGAAGGATGTGGAGCACAGTGAGGTAAATGGATCCGTGCTGCTTCAGGGCTATGTGTAACAAACTTTTTTGGTTCGAGGTTGATCCTGCCCTGAGTAGCGCTGCATATTTTTACCTCTCACTCTCTCTCGTTCTGGCTCTGGTAAACTGTCCGTCATGTAAACTTACCTGAATCTGCAGTCAATGCGGTGGTGCTCCTAGACAGGGATCTGGTTCTTCTGATTTTTACAGTATCATGCAATAAATCTATGAGAGAACTGCGAAATACTACTGTATCTAGCACTGTTCGTTACTGTTTCGAAATTTCTGTAGATCAGAAAACACTTTGCCAGGTACTGTTTAAGTGCGCTGTAGTGTATTTTCTAGTCCATTCATCCTGGACTGAGATTTTGACAATTTAGCTCTTTTAAAAACATATTTTAAGAATGAACCTAAAAAAATAACATATCAGTGCCATATAGTTCGACATTGAGGCCTCATTACGTTCAAAGGATTTCCATAGAATTATTGTAGGAATTGAAATCATACGATTTTTTTCTTCTAATCCGTCCCAAACCCTTCTAGGTTGAGTATTTTTGGATGGAGGGAGTACATCATTCGTTTTATAGCAATAGATCCTACCAAATTCCTAAGGATTAGTCTTACAATTATATTCTATAGAATTCTTAGCATGAGGTAAGACCTCTTCGAAAAATTCCTATGGATTAAAATGCATATAACATTCTAATCCTTTATTTTTCATATTCCTATAATTTGAAAATCCTTTGAACCGAATAAATCCTGAGAGTCTCGCTGAGCTGTCAAACTCCACATTAGTAGAAGGTCACATTGATGCACACGGGGACTGTTTGGGTGAAGGCTAACTTTGCCACAACTCCATTTGCCATAATTGTGTTGGCCGTAACTGTGGCAAACTTTGACTAGAAAATGAGAGTATGACATGTGGGCTAATGTGCTAATAAAGTGTTGTTTGACTGAACTGTGGCACTCAACCAAACACTAACCTAAAAAATTGTGGCACGCCTAATGTTTAGTGTGGCAAACTGTGGCCACCAACCAATCAGCCCTTAGTCCCCTTCTTACAATTATGTTACATTTTCAACATTGTTTGAATGACCCTTAGTCCCCTTCTTACAGTTATGTTACATTTTCAACATTGTTTGAATGAAAGCAATGAGTATTTTAACATGTAATATGGATTCAGCGCCAAACACCTCCCCATGTAGAACTTGTACCATCTTAGCGAGTCAAGTTGAGATATTATACCTCGGTACCATTGTTGATTGCACATAGCTAAAAACCATTATTTTTGAAGTTTTTTGCAAGTCTATTTCTAAAATGGGCTAAATGTTCGAAATTTCAGCCATCTTGGATTGGATGACATGAGGCGTACCACAAACACAAACACATTGTAGGATAAGGATCCAGTGTGCAGTCATAGTAGAGATTGCAAGCTTGGCAGTTGGTCAGTTGGGACCGTTTTCCATCGTTGGATATGGCAATGAACGGTCCAAACAGATACTACAGTAGTTTTAAACTGTAAATGCTACATGAACACGCTTTGTTTATGCTGTGTTTAGTTCCTTCCAAAGTTGAAAGTTTGGGTTGAAATTGGTATGATGTGACTGAAAAGTTATGTGTGTATGACATGTTGATGTGATGTAAAAAGTTGAAAGTTTGGATCTAAACATAGCCTTAGGTAAGATCTAAGGACATCAATTTTTGATCCAATGATGGCTATAGGACTGTTTAAGTTACAGTAGCTATAACTATGTAGGTGATCCCAATCCAAGCATACGGTACTCCGACAAATACAAACACGAGTCAAAAGTCAAAAACCTACCGAACGTGCACCGCGCATTATCTTGGATCAAGCCCAACCACTACAACACTAGTTCTCGGGGCTGTTCGTGAGTTGGACTCTCCACTCCTCTGCTGCTCAGCTCTCCCTGTCCCTGTCCATCATGGCGTCGGAATCCGAATGCGTCGCCGTTGCTGAGCCGCCGCACGTGCACGTGCACCTGCACCCCGACGGCACGGAGCCACTGGCCCACATCGCCGTCGACTACTGCCCCGAGGCCTGCCACCACGCCTCCGAGGACGGCGAGATCCACGTCACCTACGACGACCGCGGCGGCGCGCGCTGGCGGTCCCGCTGCCGCTTCCTCCCAGGCGGCGCCGTCGCCGCCACCATCCGCGCGCCGGCCGGGGACACCGCCGGCCTCAACTACAACCTCTACCTCTCCTCCCTCGAGGGCTCCCGCGACATGGACGAGATCGACTTCGAGTTCCTCGGCCACGACAAGTGCGCCGTGCAGACCAACTTCCACGTCGCCGGCGGCGGCGGGAGGGAGCAGATCCACGTCCTCCCGTTCGACTCCTCCGACGGATTCCACCACTACGCCATCGCCTGGGGCGCCGACGCCATCGAGTGGCGCATCGACGGCGAGCTGATCCGGAGGGAGGAGCGCGTCGCCGGCGAGCCGTGGCCGGAGAAACCCATGTTCCTGTACGCGTCCGTGTGGGACGCCAGCCACATCAACGACGGGAAGTGGACCGGCACCTACCACGGCCGCGACGCGCCATACGTCTGCAGCTACAGGGATATCAGGGTGCCCCTTGCGCTCTCGTTGGAAGACGAGGAAGATCCATACAAGTGTGCATGTGTAGGAGATGCGTCTGCTGCCATCGCCGCCGCCGATGCTGCGGAACAGGTGGATGCTGGAGATGCGCCTGCTGCCGCCGCCGCCGCTGATGCTGCGGAAGAGGTGGATGCCGGGGATGCGCCTGCTGCCACCGCGGCCGCCGATGTTGCGGAACAGGTGGATGCCGGAGATGTGCCTGCTTCCGCCGCCGCCGCTGATGCTGTGAAAGAGGTGGACGCCGGAGCTGGTAAAGATTAGATGATTAGATCTTTGCGCCTGTACTGTTGTTCGTTTCTGTCGTTGATTTGTGGGGGAAACGTGTTTGAAGGTTTGATTGTAACAATAACATGAAATCTTGTATAAGTTGGTTCAATAAAATGTCTGAATTTTCTGCATTTGGTTATGAAGTTTTCAGCATCTCTGTTCAGCATAATTTTCTTGTTCATCGTTTGGTAATAGGCCTATCCTCGATACAGTTGCACAACAATTGTCAGGAGAAAATGTGCATAGCTTTGTCCACTAATATGGGTAAATTGAATCTCAGCAAAGTCTTATATGCAGTGTATTCTGCAAAAGAAATCTTTATTGATGTAGTATTGAGAAAATTCGGTTTTATCAGTTAAGTTTAGGTCTTATTTGGATTGGAGGAATTTTTTATAAGGATTTGCAATGGATTCAAATCCTTAATATTCTATTTCTGTGGGGCAATCTAGCGAAAAGGGCCCCTGGTCGCTCCGCCCCAGGGGCGACGCGGGCGGCGATTCAAGCTGCGCCGCCCCCTTCCTTCCCCTGCTCTCCCTAGCCTCGCCGCCGCCAGAGCAGCCGCCGGCAAAGCCGGGCGGAGGCAAGGAAGGCGGCGGCGGGGCTTCCCATCTCCCTCGCTCGTGGTCAAGGCGGCTGGGGCGTCGACGAGACCGGACGACGGGAGTGAGGCGACGACGACGGGAGTGAGGCGACGACGACGAGAGTGAGGCGACGGCGACGATGTCGAGTTCCGGCGCTGCCGAGCACGGATCCGGCCCTCCCGTGGCCGGATCTGGTCCTCCCACCGGCGGGAGTCGTGGGGGACGGCGGGATCCGCCGTCCTCCCGGCCGGAAGTGACGACGCCGCGGCCTGCCAAGGAGAGGTGGGGGCTGGCGCGCCCGAGCCGGTGCGGCGACGGCAACCGTGGCGGGAGGCCGGTGACGGCGTCCGATGCCATCGTTGGGACGGTCGGCGATGGCGGGAGGCCGTGCGACGCGGCGAGCGGCGCGGGGCTTGGCGGCGACGGTAGCGCAAATCCCAGATCCACGCCAACTCGGTGCGGCTGTGGCGGCGGCAGTAGCTGGCGACGGCAATGGCTGACGATGGCGACTGGCGACGGCGGCGGCGGCAGCAGCTAGCGGCGGCGGTGGCTGGCGATGGTGACTGCCGATGGCGGCGGCGGCAGCAGCTGCGGTGCCTGCTGGCGTCGGGGCAGCTCCTAGCTGCTTGCTGGTGGAGGGCAACGGCGGTTTGCGGAGGCGGTGGCAGCGGTGACGGCTGCCGTGAATGTGGAGGCGGTGGCGACGTCGACGGCGGGGAAGAAGTCGGGTGCGAGGCGAGGATGGCAACGGCGAGGTGGCTGGGTGTTTCGGCAGCAGCGGCTGCGGTGGTGGTGACCGTTTCTGCGGTCACCGGAGACATGACGGCCTCGGACGGCTAGCTGAGGGCGTGGGAGACGGCTGCATCTGGCCGGCGCGGCATTGTTTGGTGGAGGGGTCGGAGACCGGCTTGGCGTAGAGAAGCGCAGCTGATGGCAGCGGAGGCTGGCTCGGCGCGAGAGGTGCGGGCGGCGGAGATGGAGGCCGGCGTGGCGCGAGAGGCGCGGCCGATGGAGGGAGGCCGGATTGGCGCGAGAGGCGTGTCCGGTGGAGGAGTCCGGGTTGGCGTAGAGAGGCGTGGCCGGCGGTGGAGGAGGTGACCTAGGTGTGAGGAGGAGCTGCCGGTGGGTGTGGCGCGGTCTTCAGCGCACGAAGGCTGGCCGGTGGGGGACGCCGGTGCAGGGGTCCCACATGTCGACAAAGCTTGTGTGGTGGTGGAGCATCGGTGCGTCAGCCGTGGATTCGCAGGTGGTGAGCGGCGGGTGAAAACCCAGTCCGGCCTTGGTTGGACCGACAACGATACCTGAGGGCGTTGTTGTGCTGTCTCACCCCTCAAGGTGGTTGCCGGGCGAAAGCCCAGTCTTGGCTCCTTTGAGTCCTGACGGACGGCGGCGGCAGTTTTCCGTCGCTTATCTTCTTGAAGACGTCGTTTTTGGCATCCCCTAGGGGGCGATGTCGTCTGTGTCACTTTATTGGTCTAGTGGCGGTCGGTCACGCTTAGCTGCTGCCGGTCCGGTGTTAGCCTTTTCCTGGGCTTGTGTGTTGGCGATGTCAGCGTGTGGGTGGTGGTATAGTTTTTTCCTTTTTCCTGGTTACGATTCTCCAGGGTTGTAATCTTGTAATTTTTTCCTGCTCTATCAATAGAACTTCGCACCGTCTTGTGCGAGTCGTTTAAAAAAAATATTCTATTTCTATAGGGTTCTTTGGGATCGAAGGAATGCAACTTAAAAAATCCTATGGATTTGATTTCATATGCCTCATTCCAAAGAAACAGCAAGCATTAGTTCATAGCACATGCTCATGTTTTATTTTCCTTTGAAAAGTCCAACACACTCTCTTTAGTTCTCTCTATTTTCTCTCTCTCTCTCTCTCTCTCTCTTACCAAACAAAGTTTCTTCAAAATTCCTATAGTTTATTTTCAGTGAAACATCCAAAGGCACATATTATTTGTGTTTTGATTTTGATATCTGTGAGCTGTAGAAGAGTGTGGAGATTATGGGTACCCCATACCCACACGGCATGGTTATCCGACTAGTTATAGGGGATAACTTATATATATGAAATATGTAACAGATCATGACTTGGGTATTACGTTTCCCTGTATATTATGGAACGGCCTAAAGTCCTGGTTTGATAAGATTGTAAAGTAGATTTAGGAAACCGATACCGTATTGGTTAAGGTTTCTATCTTGTAACCCTGCCCCCCAACCTATATAAGGAGGGCAGGGAGCCCCTCTAGGGGCATGAGACAACCTGATCGTCAGATCAATACACACCCGGCGGATTCAAATCCCCAAACAGGAGTAGGGTATTACCTCTCATTGAGAGGGCCTGAACCTGTCTAAATCCTTTGTCTCTGCATCCATCCACTTTAGGTCTCGTACGCTACCCCCTTTTATTATTGCCGAATTCATGTTTCGACAGTTGGCGCGCCAGGTAGGGGTTGCGTCGAGTTTTCCGTCGAGAAGTGCGATGGAACTTTGTGCCGGCATCATCGGTGCTACTCTTGTCTTTGGCCGTGATCCTCTCAACAAAAGGGCAGGGTCTTCGTCGCCAAAAATTCTATCTGGATCTGGTCAATCAACCAGGAGATTAATCACCGATCGAATCGATCTACAACCAGCTTGTTACCGTCAATTTTACCTCTGTCAGTGAGATCAAATCCGTCGCTACAATGCTGCCATATCTGTTGGTCCGTCGGTTTCGTCACCAGGGCATGATTTGAAGCAATCAGCAAGCAGCCGCCGCCGAAATCATGCGAAGATCACCGTCGGTTGAGCCTGTACATCACCAAGTCAATACTGCTCGGATACGTACGGCAAGACACAAAGTCCAGGATACAAATTAAATATACCTGGTCAAATCTGTGGTCAAGGAAATTAATCCATACACAAATCAGCTATTACATGCACAAAGTGGTCTCCAAACTAATCCGTGCATGTGCTACCGACGATTACATGTCTACACGGCTGCATGACACGGCTGCATGCTACGGTTCATCCATTCACAGGCCTCGAATCAAAGCCGCCTTCGTCGCTGCCGATTGGTTTCATCGCCTCCACGGTTGGTGTGCGCCGCTGCCGTTGCTGATGGCGATATCGTCTTCACCGCCGGCCTGCCTCCGTCGCCGCCTATTGGTGTCTTCGCCTATATGGTTGGTTGGTCACACCACCGTTGTTGGGCGTCTACGTCTTCACCGCCGGCATGCCTCCGTTGCCGCCGAGTGGTGCCTCCGCCTACACGGTTGGCCTATTATGCCGCCGCTGTTGGGCGTCCACGACTTCACCGCCGGCCTGCCTCCGTCGCCGCCGACTGGTGTCATCGCCTATACGGTTGGTCGGTCACACCACCGTTCATGGGCGTCCATGTCTTCACCGACCGGCTGGCCTTCGCCGCCGCCGACTGGTGTTTCCGCCTGCACGGCTGGCCTATTATGCCGCCGCTGTTGGGCGTCTACGACTTCACCACCGGCCTGCCTCCGTCGCCGCCGACTGGTGTCCTCGCCTATACGGTCGGTTGATCACACCACCGTTGATGGGCATCGTCATCTACACCGCCGGCCTGCCTCCGTCGCCGCCGACTGGTGTCCCCGCCTATACGGTCGGTTGGTCACACCACCATTCATGGGCGTCCACGTCTTCACCGACCGGCTGGCCTTCGCCGACTGGTGTTTCCGCCTGCACGGCTGGCCTATTATGCCGCCGTTGTTGGATGTCTACATCTTCACCGTTGGCTCACCTTCGTTGCCGTCGACTGGTGTTTCCGCTTACACGGCTGGCCTATTATGCCGTCGTTAGTGGGCATCTTCGCTTTCACCGTCGACCGCCTTCGTCGCCGCCGACTGGTGTCTTCATTGTTATTGATGGACGACTTTGTTCCCACATTGGCCACTTCTGCCATCACCAAGGGGAATATTACAAAGCTAAGTCATCATTTATTTTATTCTTTATATGATATTTTTCCTTTTCCTCTGCCTCACTACACCAATTGGTCTTCCATTGAGTAGTAAGTCGGGGGCTACAGATGTTATATCATATTTTTCATAATATTTATCTTGATTGCTTGCGACATAATCTGAGTACAAAAGTACCTATCGAGTTATGGAGTTCTATCTTCCTATGCTTTCCGTTTGGTTTGCCAATGGATAGTTGCCTTTAGGCCGATTCCTAGCACCCGGGGGCTCGTTGGATGGACCGAGTAACGCAAGGTGCTAAGTATTATTCGGAATAAATCAAAAGCATAGAGATAAGATAATTTATTTTCTGCTCTTAATAATTGCAAAAGTACCCGAGTAGTAAACTCCGATCCGTGAAACTTTGTTCCATTAATGACGAACTCATGTCACTCATATGCATGTTTGGGAAGTGCTTAGGCCGACTCCCAGTGCTTGGTGGCTATGACTAGTCGGGCAGAGTGTTTAAACGTAATGAGTCATCTGCTCGGGGAAATCAAAATTAACAAGAGAAGAAATACGTATTTATAAACTGTTTGATTTTTTCTCGAGTATTATATTTATATCAGATACTACTCATCCTATATGTTTGTTCTGCAGGATCCAGATCCAGATATGCATAAAAGGGATTCATGGCTTTAAGCTTATCTCTTACGCTCCAGGAATGGATCAGTCAGAACATCACCACCGGCTCGCCTCGACCGCCGCCGACTGGTGTTTTCGCCTGCACGGCTGGCCTATTATGCCGCCGTTGTTGGGCGTCTACGTCTTCACCGACCGGCTTGCCTTCGCCGCCGCCGACTGGTGTTTCCGCCTGCACGGCTGGCCTATTATGCCGCCGTTGTTGGGCGTCTACGTCTTCACCGACCGGCTTGCCTTCGCCGCCGCCGACTGGTGTTTCCGCCTGCACGGCTGGCCTTTATGCCGCCGTTGTTGGGCGTCTACGTCTTCACCGACCGGCTTGCCTTCGCCGCTGCCGACTGGTGTTTCCGCCTGCACGGCTGACCTTTATGCCGCCGTTGTTGGGCGTCTACGTCTTCACCGACCGGCCGCCTCGTCCGCCGCCGACTGGTGCTTCCGCCTGCACGGCTGACTTATTATGCCGCCGTTGTTGGGCGTCTACGTCTTCACCGACCGGCCGCCTCGACCGCCGCCGACTGGTGTTTCCACCTGCACGGCTGGCTTATTATGCTGCCGTTGTTGGGCGTCTACGTCTTCACCGACCGGCCGCCGCATCCGCCGCTGACTGGTGTCACTGCCTGCACGGCTGGCCTGTTATAACGCCAACTGATGCTACCTTCTTCACGGCTGGCTACATCGCTGTCACTACTAATAGGCATCAGTATCTTCAACACAAGCTGCCTACGTTTGCCATGGCTGCCGACTGGTTTCTTCACTTCCATGGCTGCATGATTCTGCCAGTGTTGATTGGCCTTATCTTCTTCACCGCCGGTCGTCTCGTCTGCTGCTGACTAGTGCCCTCACCTCTACGTCTGGTTTATACAGCTACCACTACTGATGGACATCATCGTCTTCCGTTGCCGACTGGTTATGCCGCCGCCGACTAGTGCTTTTATCTTCACAAATGCGCGTCTTCGCTACCAGTTTGCTTCTGTTGCCGCCGACTCGTGTTCACTTCATCACGGCGATGCAACTTTGTCATCATGGTGGAGCGACTTCATCTTTATTATCTTCGGCACTGGCAAACTCTATTGCTGCTACTTCGCAAGTTTTACTACTTCACCAACCACGACGTCTTTGTGAACCTCGACATCTCGGCATGCAATGCCATGATATTTTACTACAACAAGTGACTCTCCAATATTCAGGATTTCTACTTGGACACCTTCAACACATATCTTCAATCAAGCAATGACTACTCGACGACAAGAAGCTATAATTCTCGACTCTATGTTCAGTTGTTTCCCAACTAACCAAAGAGTCGGGGGCTACACAAATATAAGGCTCAACATTTGATAAATTTTATGTCAAGCTGAAGAAATCAATTAATCAGCCAATGAGTCAACTCCAGGAGTCATTATCTTCATCTTTGCTTCGGAACAGACATTCTACTTCAACAACTTCAAATATTTCGGTTTAGACGAGTTGGGCAACAACATCAACTCTCCTCCAATTATTTGTCTTCACGGTTGGCCTACTACGCAACTGCCGATAGAGGATCTCATCGTTATCATCGGCTGCTACATCGCTATTGACTGGATCACCGACATCGTCATCTTCATCAACATCTTGTTAAGCCTCTTCAACATAGCCTACTCTGCTGCCGTTGATGGGAAACTTCGTCATCATAGTCGGCTATCTCTGTTGCCGCTAATCATCATTACCGTCGGATGCGTTTGTCGCCGCCGATTATTTTCTTCATCTTCATGATTGGTGGATTTCGCCATCACCGTTGATGCGCGTCTACGTCTTCATCGTCGGTTTGCTTTTGTCACCACCGACTGTTCTTTTGTTGTTGTTGGGCGCCTACATCTTCACTGCTAGCTGACCTGACTGTTGCCGACTGGTTTCTTCGCCTCCATGGTTATGCAACTTCATTACCTTTGATTGGTGTCACTGTTTTTACTACCACTGACATCTTCCGTTACTTCTGATGAGCAATTTCGTCTTCATGTTGGTCATTTCATCTCCATGCCGACTGCGTCAGCTATTGCCAATAGACAATTTTGACTATGACAGAAGGACAAGCTATATGCTCAGGGGCTCATCAACTCAAGCGTGAGGATTATATCTCCAATTTGGACTTGTTCCGGATACATTCCACATGGATTCATAGTCATGAGTCTATTTTCTATGCTCAAAGACTGGACCAATTATTATTCCCCGTAAGGGCTATCAACCGAATACTTGCGCCAGTCGGGATTCAATTATTATATTTATTTTGGAGTATCCCATAAGGGATAATCATTCAGATCAGAAGCTATTCATATGAGCTACACTTGGTCTATATTACCCGGAAGATTTATTACTCGGGAGCATGTTACATGCGTCATCCTTTAAAGGGTGTCGAAGGCATATTTTTTGGCCTAGGCCTAATATGTCTGCAGCCCATATTTTCAGGTGTGGCCTGTCACGTTCTTTTAGGGACTTAGGCACTTTTCGCTTAGGCCAAAGTGCGCGTGATCAAGTGCCCAATACCTTAAAATCCTTTTATACCGCAGTTACTCGACTTTTTAGGAGTTGGTACAATGCATCTTAAAAGGTGTCAAACAGTAAAGCTTTATATAGCTGCCCCGCTGACTTTTTAATATAGTCATGGTGCTGTTTGGGTTTTTAAGCAATTGATTGGATACAATATCGTTGCTTTTTGCCACGTAAGTGTGTATTTTTATTGACCAATATTATGGCTTAGGCTGATTATATATTGTGGTCATTTTTCAGGCGGTTGGTAAATCCTTTATGAGTTTATTTACTCGGATTTTATACCACATATGCCATATATTTCCAGGTGTGGTAGAACCATGTGTCTTCTAGGGACTTAAGCACATCTGTTAAAGCAGTGTGCGCATGGCGTATGCCCAATACTTTGGAAATTTCTTTATTCACAACATACAAGCTTTTTTATAGCTGTTTTGCTATGTGAATTTTCAATAATGTAGCCAACTTTAGGTTACACTCATCATATTTTACAAAGCAGTCGGTATATCACTCGGATCATGTTATTCAGGGATTTACACCGCATATGCTACATATTAATATCAAGTCGCTTGGTTAACTATAATTATCGAAGCCACTCGGTTGGTTGGATTATTTATTCCTTGACTATATGCTTGGTTTGTTCACTTAACCGCATAGTCGAGGGCTACACCTATTAGGTGCATCTAGTCGATGCACCTGACTTTATTTTTCAGCCCTCCACAGTCTTCAGATTTGGTAAAAGTACTCGGGAGACCATGGCAAAGATGATTGAAGTACTCGGCTTTGGAGTAATCTGGTTCGAGAGAAGATTATCTTTTCGACTGTGAAGGTCTCAGGGGCTACTGTGGAGATTATGGGTACCCCATACCCACACGGCATGGTTATCCGACTAGTTATAGGGGATAACTTATATATATGAAATATGTAACAGATCATGACTTGGGTATTACGTTTCCCTGTATATTATGGAACGGCCTAAAGTCCTGGTTTGATAAGATTGTAAAGTAGATTTAGGAAACCGATACCGTATTGGTTAAGGTTTCTATCTTGTAACCCTGCCCCCCAACCTATATAAGGAGGGCAGGGAGCCCCTCTAGGGGCATGAGACAACCTGATCGTCAGATCAATACACACCCGGCGGATTCAAATCCCCAAACAGGAGTAGGGTATTACCTCTCATTGAGAGGGCCTGAACCTGTCTAAATCCTTTGTCTCTGCATCCATCCACTTTAGGTCCCGTACGCTACCCCCTTTTATTATTGCCGAATTCATGTTTCGACAAAGAGCGTGGCATTCTATTTCTACTCTCTTTTTATGTTTTCATGTTCGTCTGAGAATTCTGCGTTCAAAGCCGATTACAACGTCCAGGCCCACAGGTCGCTGATCTGCGGCCCGTCAACCTGTACGGTATAGGCCCAAGAGATAGCGATCAGTCCTGGGCTCCGTCTCAAAAAGGCTCACTAACTACTACTCCGTACTGTATAAGGCTGCGTTCGGAGTCTCTCCCTCGTTTTTTACGCGCACGATGTGTTTTTTAAAAAGTTTATATACAAAAGTTACTTTAAAAAATTATATTAATCTATTTTTTAAAAAAATAGTAAATATTTAATTGATCAAGCGCTAATCGCTGCTCCGTTTTCCGTGCGAGCCCAACCCTCACTCCTGATTCTCCTGAACGCAGGAGCCCTTAATGGAAGAGAGACACAGCGAATGTACATTTGCAGATAAGACCCTATGTTATTTCGTGGCAAGCCAACCGCACCGCGGCGCGCGGCGAACTCGGTGTGCAGAAAGCGAGCGCGACGGACGAGATGGCAAACGTGGCGCTGCTGTCCGCCGCCTCGCCCTCCACCTCCTCCGCCGCTCCCCGGCTCCGCCACGTCGCTCGCCGTCGGCCGTCTCGCCGCTCCGCCTGCCCCCGAAGCGCGGCCTCCAGGCTCTCCATCAGTAAGCCCCGCCTCCCCCCGGTTCCCTACCTCACCTCTTCACTTGGCTCGCCATTCTACTTGTGCGCCCAAATTTTCCAGTTTAGATTCGCCGGGCTCGTGTATGGATGTATTGTCGATTCTAGACTAGTGCTGGTTCTGGTGAGGAGATGCGAACTCCAGTATTCGAGATGAAGTGAGGGCCTCAGGATTTGGATAGGGGACTGGGTTTACTCGGACGGAGCAGTCGCAAGTAGTATAGTGGTGGGGTGGTGGCTGTTGATTCCAGTTTCCATGGGTAGTTTAATGGCATTGCACAATTACAATACTGTAATAGCTGTAGATGTTATGCACCATGTTGTTTTGTTCTTGTTTCCCTCTTAGCCGGATTTGCACGAATTTGCCAGTGGCTGCATTGGGCGAGGATCCAATCAGGCAATGGATTCTAACTGAAGGGAAGGCCACGAAGATCACCGGGGTCAGTTCCATCGGCGGTGGCTGCATTAACTCTGCTCAGTGCTACAAGACCGATGCCAGTTCCTTCTTTGTGAAGACCAATGGGTGTGCTAACTTCCTCTTTGAATCAATGATGTCTTTGGAGTTGCACGATTAGTCATGGTCTGGGTTTTATAGTGGCAATGACAGAAAATGTACATTTCATTATGTGCCAGGCGTATTGGTCCATCTATGTTTGAAGGGGAGGCTCTTGGTTTGAAGGCCATGTATGACACAAATTCAATCCGTGTTCCATTGCCATACAAGGTTAGTAAAGGTTTTTCCTCTAAATAAAAAGGGGTTAGTAAAGGATCAGATGCATGAACAAGTGTGTTTTTTTCCGTAATGCATAGAACAGCACAGTACATTGCATGTAAGCACATGAGTGGTTTTATTGTCCTACACATACACGATGGATGTATATCCATGATTTGTTAATATCCAGACCTAACTAAGAGTTCTACTTGTTTGTTTTATTCCATTGTCTAAAAAAAAAACTAAGAGTTCTACCATTTTATTAGCATCAAAGTACATGTTTCTAGTTCTTCTCATGTGAATATTGATATGTGTTACATCATCTTGGGTGCCTGGTATTTGCTGATTGGACTAGACTTGACAGGCAACCAGTTACATAGATGGCTCAGGCTGTGTAGGCATATACTATGTTGTTTTTTCACCAGTTACCTTAGTCAGCTTCTTTTTCTTCTTCAGAGGACTTAAGCTTCTTCAGTTTTTATTTCTTATTTATTATGTCCCTGTTGCTATAGGTTGGGTCATTACCAACTGGTGGTTCTTTTATAATCATGGAGTTTATTGAATTCGGTTGCTCTAGAGGTGACCAGGTAAAGTTATGCAAATATAGTTCGGATTGCTACCTTTTCCTAAAATCCTTTGAGGTTAACAAACCATTTGTTTTCAGTCAGCTTTGGGAAGGAAACTAGCTGAAATGCATAAAGCTGCCAAATCTGACAAGGGCTATGGTTTCTATGTTGACAATACAATTGGAAGGTACCATATCCCTTATGTCTGCACACTATAAGTTTCGTGAAACATGGTATATCAATCAAGTTTCCTTGCAATATCTATCTTGAGCTTTTCTAATCATCCTTTTTACTGTAGCACTCCGCAAATTAACACTTGGACTGCCGACTGGATTGAGTTTTATTCAAAGCATAGATTGGGCTTCCAATTAGAGTTGATAACCCAACGATTTGGAGATTCGGCAATATATGATAAAGGTGCGTGGGGAAAGGACAACATATAAATCAAGCACCCGTGTTCTCATCTTTTGTATGAGATACTCTAATATGCTTGCCATTTTTCTGTTGGTTCGTGGTCCTTCATCTTTGCCAACTTATGCTCCTTAAGTACAGGTCAGCGATTGATCGAGAATATGCATCCACTTTTTGAAGGCGCTGTTATGGAGCCATGCTTGCTTCATGGGGATCTATGGAGTGGAAACATAAGTTCTGATACTAATGGTGAACCTGTTATATTGGACCCAGCTTGCTACTGTGAGTAATATTCATTGTTCCTTGTTTCGAATTCCAGAACCATGGTTATGGATTGGAATGGTATTTTCTTAATGAAGAAGTATTTCCTGGAGTACATTTTTCTATTTTTGTGAGAATCATGATCATTTGTTGCATTAGCAGTAAAGTGGGTTTCTTATTATTTTGTCTTCAAAGGCAAATATACATTGTATGCTTCTGAAAATAATTTCGTGTTACCTATGGCACATCAACTTTTTTGTGTTCATGTTGATATGCCTGGATTACTGGTTGTCTTATCTATGGCACATCATGACCAGTAGACAATTCGTTAACAGAAACTTATTGCTGTTTAACTGCAGATGGCCACAACGAAGCGGAGTTTGGTATGTCATGGTGCGCTGGATTTGGGGGGGAATTCTATAGCTCCTATTTTGAGGTATTCACTTTCTTGTTCTGTTCCATGTATTTGTTTTATGCACCAGCACTTCAGATTAAGAGTGAATTTCATAATCTGAAATGCTGAAACCCATCCACTTTGTTGATTATTTGTTACATTTCAGAGTTTCTCTATAGTTGCCTTTTGTTTGCCTATAAAGCTAGCAAACCTGCAGGATGGACCTGAAAAACTGTAGTAAGAAGGTTCCTTGGGATAGGTCTGACAGGACAATAGGAATAGTAACACTTACTGGCTTAATTTACACTAGCACGTTATTTGCTGGCCAATTTGTACATAATATAATACATTATATATCCAATCAATATATGTTATCATTTGGACCAACCACAAACTACGTAAATAATTATCTTTGTCTAGTGATTAACATTTTCTAGACCTTGACAACAAACATAGGGGCTACCTTTTCGACTTTTTTTAATAACATCATATATTTGGTTACAGGATTTATAACTTGTAATTGTAGTAATAATAAAAAAAGACGTGAATAGTAGGGAAGGAAATATCAAATAATTAGAAGGGGTGAGGCTTCGAACTTGTAATTGTAGTAATAATCAAATAGTGCACCGCTTGGGAATCATTCCCACAAAATATCTCCTCAACCTCCAGCTTTCCTTCTAACTGCATTCTTGATGCAGCATGTGGTCACAATTCTGTTTAGTGCCTCTCCCTCTCCCCTATCTATTTAATTATTGTGTCTTCTGTCGGATGGACTACAGATTACTCAATTCTTTACTACTAGTAGTATGGAAATTTGGAGGGTGTAAATGGGTAGTTTATGCTCTACTCTGCTGATTCAGGTGATGCCGAAACAGCCAGGCTTTGAGAAGAGGAGGGACCTGTATCTTCTGTACCACTATCTGAACCACTACAATCTTTTTGGCTCCGGGTACCGCTCATCAGCTATGTCCATTATCGATGACTACTTGAGGATGCTGAAGGCTTAGCTTCTTCCGTTTCCCTCTAAAGAGAATAGGATGAAGAAAAAGTACGTATATCTGACATTTTTCTTCTATATACTGTAGTCTCAGTATATATGTTTTGAATTCATTATGACATCTTTACATCACCGTATCAACCGAAAGGTCCTCAAATCTGTAAATATCTTACTGTTGATCCACCGTGATCCTGTTTCCGGATGTGCTAGGTGTCGCGCAAGAGCAATGTATTCTTTCCTTTTTGTCATCTTTTTGTGGTGTGGACTATGATGATACTGGCGTCAGATGAGGAACGGGTCAACGTGACAACGATCCTCTGACCTACTAATCTAGCCAGTCAACTTGGAATGACACTATGATAAGATGCACATGTGCTAGTTGGATATCCTTAACAACATATGTTAAAACTTAAAAGGCAATAATATCCTTTGCCCGCGCACTAGAGACATTTTTAACAACCCAAGTCCACCTAACGTGGCGCATCGCTATTCGACCCCCGCGTAAAGAGCATCAAAAACTCTAGGCTTTGTTGCACCCTGTGCTCCCCAGCTAATCCCTAGCAAAGCAAGCAATCCCCAAACGCGTCTCTAATATTTTTCACCACCTAACTCCGCTGTTTTTAAACCCTCGTCACGAATCACGATCCTGCATGATCACTTGCATTTCATCTTTTCATGAACGTTTTTTTGTGCATGTTGTTTACTGCATTTTTCAGTTTCAGCTGTGTAGTAGCACACTCTGTTTGCTTCATCGTTTGTGTTCGAGATGGATCGAGACGAGAGCTTGGGCACGCAGCCATTGACCGGGAGGCGGGTGCGCGCGGACACAAGGCACCCGGTGTACCGCGGCATCCGGCTCCGCAGCGGCAAGTGGGTCTCGGAGATCCGCGAGCCGGGCAAGTCCAGCAGGATCTGGCTCGGCACGTACCCGACGCCCGAGATGGCCGCCGCGGCGTACGACGCCGCGGCATTGGCGCTGCGCGGCGCCGACGCCGCGCTCAACTTCCCCGGCACGGCCACGTCGCGCCCGGCGCCAGCCTCCGGCTCCCCCGACGACATCCGCGCAGCGGCCGCGGCCGCCGCCGCGATGATCGGCTCCGGTCACCGTGGCAACCAGCGCGCCGCCGACGCGAGCACGTCTCGCGCGGCGACGGCGGCGCCGGAGGCCGCCGTCGCCGCTGGGGCGGGCGATCAGAAGCGCGTCGTGGACGAGGACGACGTCTTCGAGATGCCGCGGCTGCTGGTGAGCATGGCCGAGGGCTTGATGATGAGCCCGCCGAGGCTGAGCCCCTCGACGGACGGCGTCGGCGGCGTGTCGCCGGAGGACGACGAGGACGAGGACGGCATGAGCCTGTGGAACCATTCCTGAAATGGGCTTACGGGTGCATAGCATTTGCAGGAGGACACCATGTATTTTCCATGTGTTCGTATGAATTCTGTGCCTACGTACAGTACGTACTCGGCACGTATGCGAGATAGGAACAGAGCAGAGCAGGATACTGAATTTTATCGTAGTTGTCCTGTTACGTGTATACGGTATATATGGTCACTCCACTGATGTATAAGCCATCCGTAGACGAATTATGGCTGAAAACGATGCCCCTGACACAAAATTCGTACCGCATTTGGCAGGATTTTTCTTTCCGGGGACGAGAGATCACTATCAAAGATTAGGAGTAAATGCGATGGGATTTTCCCTTAAATGAAATGTTGTGACTGAAAATGGCAATACGCTGGTTGTAGTTGCACGTACATAAATGAAATGTGCCATTCAGAATCTGTCCTTGGAATCGAGGGCATCAAACATTATGGGTTCAGTTTCTGTTAACTAGGACAGGATTCTCGCACTTTAATTTGGGTCTTAGAAATGTAGTGTGGTAAGAGAGTGAAAAAATACAGATGAAGATTGGTGCCAAAATGAGTGAATGATACAGGATAAATCCCTAGGTTGTGTTATCTAAACAAGTGTTTTGTGTGACACCACTTGATATACCGACAAATCTTTCCTCGCTACAAGTAATATGGTTGCACCGAAGCATTTCCACATCAAAGGCCTAAAAAGAGAAATATATACAAAGTGCGTAACAACCAAAAGTCATGCACATATGTAAGAGCACTCTCTAAGTCACTAGGGGCATTATTATGCTTTACCTTTTCACTGCAGGAACCTGGGCCATTTGGCTTACGAGGAATGACTAGGTGTGCAATAACAAACTGATGTCTAATGTCATTAATTTACCTTACAAAGTTATTTCGTTTTTCTACAGTGGAGAAATATGATCCCAGTGAAACTGAGGGGTGATTTGAAGTCAGCAAGGGAATCACTGTTTAATTGCCAGTATCCAAGAAACAAGAGGCAAGAGAACCAAGCAACAGATGATGCTTTGTGATAGGATCTGAGATAGTTCTGTTAGCTTTCATCTTTGTTTGCCTCACACCACTGGCTTGTTAGTGTCGTGCCAGCGGCGTTGGGCCTGACTTGCCTTTTGCTTGACTAGTTGGCTGGAGTCCCCAGCAGTTTGTCTGTTTTCTGATTTTTGTACAGTACTCTTATATTTTCAGTAAAGCTGGGCACGATCCTTTTCTCTAAAAGTCACTAGACAGTTAGTAGCAACAAAAAATAAATATTGTTAGTTGAAGTTATGCAGTCAGCAGTCATAATTCTTGGCCCGGTTGGTCCTAATACGAGGTCAGTATGCTTAAATCCAGGCCGCACCAACTACTCATGACGCCATAAGCATGAAGGCACTGTACCTTCATATGTGACAGAGACTGTGGATCCAAACATGTATGTGTCGGAACGAAGGTCCCGACCGCACGGCCGTTCACCTCGTCGACCGCTACGGACGGCAACACCGAGCAACCTTATTGTAATAATCACCTTATTGCTCTAACCGAACAAAGCATGTCATGCATGCCCCGTTTGACAACTTGACATTTCAACCTGTGAAAGTTGCAATCCATCCAGCCCTAAACTCGAACCTGAGTTTCAGTGCTCCTTTCTGCTGAGGTACGTTGGCGTGAGACTCGTTGCCTGCGGGAGAAATGTATGCATCGCAACGGACCCTGGGTCTCTCTCGCCGCACGGTTGCTATAACTCCCGCAGGCAGGTCACAAGGCGAGGTTCTCGATATATCCCCTGTGCCACGCCCACACACGAACACGCCAGATGGCCTTGCACACGTCGTCCTCAACATGCACGTATGCTGTTTCCACCAGGTTTACATTACCGTTGACCACTAAATTTCGAGTCTCATCGGTATTACGGTTTTTGATAAATTTTAACTAAATCTACTGTTTAACCTTTAAAATTTTAATTAAAACTTAATTTCGAGCCGTGTCGAAACGTCGAAATTTCGCGGAATTTGACCGGTTTCGTCGGAATTATAAACTCTGGTTTCCACCACAGCGCCGCGGCCGGCATCTCGGCGCGGGCGCGTGGGCGGGCGAAATCAAACCCCGCGGATTTGGAAAGAGAGAAAGGCGCGCGCAGCCGCGCAGGCGATTGATGAATTTCCGTCTCGAACCCGCGAGGCGCGGGGCCGTGCGCACGTGACGAGCGCGCGAGTTGCTGCTGCTGCTGCTGCTGCATTGGTGCATGCGTGCGTGCGAGCGATCTACCGTTGACGAGTACGCGGCATGATATCTTATCCTTCCGTGCCGCGACGCAGATCGACCGGCACCAGCTGGGTATCTGCAACAGGCAGGCTGGCAATGCCGCGCAATGGCATATTGGCATGGCGGCCCGGCCGGGACGACTCCGCGCGTATTGAAAGCCAAGTACACGCTCTCTTCGCCTCCTGCGCGCGACGACCTCCTCGAGGACTCCGAGACGCCCGGCGGACCACCGGGGTACGGGCCGCCACAATTGCCTGCGGATCGTGCCGGCGGTGGCACACACAGACACACTGCTTCTGCTTTGCGTACGGCACTTGGCATTACTGAGGGAGCTCATCTATGGACCGTTTTGTTCGACGCCACCACTACCGTTTTCTCTCTTTGTTTTGCATCTGCCGGCACGCATGGCAGTGGCGATTCATGCAACTTGTTTGTTTATACTGACTATAACTGACAGCATCCGGCTTCTCATATCATAATTCAGGGGTGAAGAAGAGGCCGGCATTAGAGGCAAGGGGCATCTAACGTTTAATGGCACAGCTGGATGGATTGCTGGAGCCCAAATCTAGGCACACTCCTGCGTACTGTTACTGTACGCTGCTACTAGTCGTAATTAACAACAACACGGGACGATACTTATACTACTAGTATGATCTATCTGGCCCCTACCTACATGGCTACATGTGCGCATCCGTACTTTCTATTTTACACTGTGTAACCTGAAAAACGAAACGGAATCCATCCATGCATCGCTGCGGGCGACGAATCAATCCTGAACACGCGGAAACAGTGAGGAAGGTTCACAGGTCAATGCCTTGCCTTCACCGTCGTCTCGGTGGAATAGTAGATCGATCGGTTTACCGTTTACTGTCTCAGGCGACAAAATGGCGTGGTCGAGCAAGATGTGCTCTACCTCTACTGCCGAAATGTACAGCGAGTACAAAGTCGGAGTAGTTGTCAGAGCAACGGAAAACATCAAATTAGCAGATTGATGTTGGAAGTAAATTGGATCGATGGTACTCGTTTGACAATGTTGACATGGGAGTGAATTCAGGGATATGTGCAAGACTCGCTAAGGAGATCTAAGGTATGCAGATTGGGAAACACAAAGATAAGAAAATTAAGGATATATGATATATTTATGGCCTTCTGCGAAGGCCATAAGCTGATATATGGCTGCAAATTAACGCATATAAAACGAACAACTTATACGTATCTACTCACGCATAAGCACTCAGATATATATTCAGAACTCAGATGACAGGCCAGAGTTTGTTGTTCACCTAAACAATGCATCAATACAGGAGGTGGTGAACTGCTGCAATACCTGAACCTTTGGACCCGGAGTAAAAGGCGGTGCTTAGTGAAGCATGGAGTTCAGCAGCCTAATCTCGACAAGACACAAGTAGGCAAACAACTTCTCCCCATCTCGGCAGTTGACAGTTTTTATTTGTCAAATCCAAACAGATGTCGGGCCTGTTCATTTTGATGCCAAAAAAAACCTTATCAAATTTTGACGCAACTTATCAAATTTTTGACAGGATTTCTTATATAGTTACCAAAATTTGACAGCAAACTAAATGTAGCCACTTTTTTGGCAACTTTATTAAAACTAGCATGGTGACCCGTGCAGATTGCGCGGCTAGCATCATTATATTTTCTCTCATATAATAGCATATAGTCAGGGGCGGAGACAACGTGGGGACGGGGGGAGGGGTCTTTAGACCCCCTACCCCCTAATATACTATTATAGCCCCTATAATACCCCCATAAAATTCTAATCCATATGTTTATAGATGAGGGGGCTAATATAGATTTTGTTTGAGGTTGTTAGAAGGCCTAAAAGGCTAAGAAGGCCAAAAAAAAAAACTAACCCAACCCTAAATCTCTCTTAGTTACTCTTGGTCATTTTGGTTTAGCCTCTGCTATAATTTTATCTTAGCCCCGCATACAGTATGTTTTCTCATTATATTATTCAAACATATTAAAATGATAACATAATTTTAAATTTTGCAATAACTTTACAAAACTACTAATGTGTAATATTCATATTGTATTTTATATATGTGTTAGTAATTAATTATTTTTAATATCAAAATTTAGTTATTTGTAAATTAAATATATTGACTTGTTTTTTAATATTTTTTAATTCTGAATTTTCTATAAATTGTGTTTCTATATAGACTCTATGCTCTTCTTCCAATATTATTTATTTTTATTTCTAAATTTTTATTATTTCTAATTGTATTTGTATGTGGACTCTAAACTAATTTTTAATTTCGAATTTCAATTACTTCTAAATTGTATTCCTATATTGACTTTAAACTCTTCTTCCCATGTTTTTTCTTAATTTTGAATTTTAGTTATTTATAAATTGTATTTTTATACGGACTCTAAACTCTATTTTTAATTTTATTATGTTTATTCCAAATTTTAGTTGTTTTAAATTCTTATATGGACTCTGTACTCTACTTCTAATATTCCTTGTTTTTTAATTCTGAATTTCTATATTTTTCTTAATTGTATTTCTATCTGGACTCTATACTCTACTTCTAATATTCCTTATTTTTAATTCCGAATTTCTATTATTTCCTAATTGTATTTCTATACGGACTATATACTCTACTTCTAATATTCCTTATTTTTAGTTCTGAAATTATATTATTTCCTAATTGTATTTCTATATGGACTCTATACTCTACTTCTAATATTCCTTATGTTTAATTCTGAATTTAAGTTATTTTCTAATTGTATTTCTGTATTTCTATATGGACTCTATACTCTACTTCTGATATTCCTTATTTTTAATTCCGAATTTCAGTTATTTTCTAATTGTATTTCTATATGGACTCTATACTCTACTTCTGATATTCCTTATTTTTAATTTCGAATTTCAGTTATTTCCTAATTGTATTTCTATATGGACTCTATACTCTACTTCTAATATTCCTTATTTTTAATTCCGAATTTCAGTTATTTCCTAATTGTATTTCTATATGGACTCCAGTCTTCTCTTCCAATATTCCTTATTTAATTCCGAATTTCAACTATTTCTAAATTGTATTTCTATATGGACTCTGTTTTTTCTTTTTCTCCGATTAATGTGAGAATTTCTAGGCCACGAGAGCGAACGTGGAGGCTCCTTTTTCTACTCCTTTAATAATATAATAGATTTGGTAAGGTTGAAAATGACATCAAAGTGAGCAGGCCCCTCATATGATGGTTGTACAGAAAAATCTGAAACTACCATGCCTGGGTGGGATTCTTGTGTGCTCAAGATAAAAGATAAAATTAGGACACATAATACAAGAAAGCTATTGGCGTAAGAGTAATAGTGTTTTAGGGCTTATTCAGATTGTAGCCAAAATAAACCTGGTGATATTGCCAAAATTTTGGTAGTATTTCTTATGTATTTATCAAATTTAGCAAGAAACTAATAGATATATTTTTGGCAACTTTGAAAAAAAATGGTATGGTTGAAAAATAGCATCAATCTGAACAACCCCTTAATTAGTATTATAAACTTAAAAGATAGATTTATACAAGATGTGTCGTTTAGTAGTTTTAAAACGTGCTAACGAAAATTAAGTTAAATCTGTATTTCAATTAGAAAATAACGGGGCCAACAAGTAATCAAGCATCCCTTAATCGACCTGCTCTACATAACTCACTGGTCCGAACACTACATTTGTTAAAGACCACACAGCAAGCATACGTATACACGCATGATACTACGTATCTACTCTTGTTAAACAGCGATCACACCTGGGATATACGACGAATACTCCATACAAATTACAATACTCTGCCGACCGGGACCGGCTCAAGAAAAATACTCGACCGCCTGCTCGCTGCCAAGGCCGAGCGGTGAGTGGTGACCACTGTCCCGTGTCCACTACTCCACTCCAATAGCAGCAATCTTTAAACGCCCCCCTGCGTCCGTGCATCTACTTCTACTTATAAGCTGAGCCCACCAGGGTCCATTTCACCATCTGCCACAGCCGCGAGGCTTCACTTCCACTACTACTACGGTACTACCCCCCGCTGTTCCGCCCGCGCATCCACCGATCCGTCTCAGCTCAACACCCCACGCTGCCACGCTGCCAGCAACGCAACCCCCGAGTGCATCTCTCGCGCGCGCGCGTACATGGCAACAGCGTAGTACTTCGCCACTTGCTGCGGAGACGACGATGGCGGTGGCGGCGCCGGCGAGGAGGTTGACGCCGTTGACGCTGCGGGACTTCCTGGAGCAGTCCAGCAGCGAAGGCTTCCGCGCCTACCCGCGTTTCCCCGTTGCCGACGAGGGAGTGGCCGGAGGAGACCTCGCGCCGCCGGTGCGCCTCCTCATCGAGGCCGGGCTACGCCGGAGCCCGTCGCGGTTGCCCTCCTTCTACAACTTCTTCCACAAGAGCCCCGGCACGCTCGCCAAGATCTCGCGCCTCTCCAGGAGCCTCTCGCGGCGGTTCAGGGACGGCCTCTGGAGGCGCCGCGGCGAGGATGACGGCGAGGAAGACGACGACATTGCCGTCGACGAGAGGGACTCGCTCGGGCTGCCGTCGCCGGTGGTCAGCAGCTGCTCCTCGTCGGAGTGTGAGTACATGGCCGAGTCAGAGGCTGAGCTGGCTACGACGGAGGAGGAGAAGTGCGCGTCGGCGTCGTCGGCGTCGGAGTACGAAAAGACGTCGCAGTCGAGCACGGGGAGCGTCGCCTTCCATGGCGCTGCCGACGCCGGAGGAGACGGGCATAAGGTGAGTGTTAATGCTGCTTCTATTATTGTGCGTTTAGTTAGTTGGGATGGCATAAATACAATGGTGATCGATCACGATGCCCATGCATATATGCTGTGGGCCAAAATCATACATGCAACTGTTCGGTTATCAGGTCTAAATCTCTATCACGAGCAAAACTGCAAATATCTGTCACTTTTTACCTCCTTTTTTTTTCTAATTATCAGACATTAGTGTTCGTTTTGCTCTAGAAATTATCACTGAATTTTAAAGCGTGTCCTTCTGAACCTTAGAGCCCTCATTTTGAAAACGAAAAGTTCCATGAATTTCTAGAGTTATAGAATTATACTATCATCTTCAATCAAGTCATGGCCCAATTTGGTGCATAGAGGGACATGAGCTATGAGCCAATTTAGGAGGGCCTCTTGTGGTCTTTGAAACCGGGGGCATATGAGTGGATTACTGTAGAAACTTTTAAGTTAGTCCCTCCTAATCAGAGACATGATGGACGGGTACACTTTTTATTGGTGAAACCCAAATATTCTCTCCCTGGGTTTGATGGGACTGAAGTGACTAGTGTAGCCTTGGATTGTACACCCCGGCCGCGCATGCCTCGTCGTCAACTCGAGTGATCGGCCATACACCGACAGACGGCGAGCGGAAGCCGCCATGTCGGCATTCGACAACTCCTGGCCCTTTGGCAACTGGCAACTGGTCCTAGTCGACTTTGCAAAAAGATCATCGATCTGCCTCTTAATTCTGAAATGGGAGTGGTTTTTCTTCAACCGCAGTTGGCTGGGCGCAGTAACTGATCACACTGTTAGCTCCAGAGTCCAGCCAGTACTAGGAATTCCAGTCTGTAGATGCAGTGAAAATTAAGGCTTCTTTTAAGAGTAGTTACTCTTACTACTACTAGTTGTAGCATTTTACAGGCGATCACTGATCAGGATTGCGATCTAGTGCTATGGTTACTACTGCTACTTTTACTTGGGAGAATCAGGCAAGCTAGCAGCTGGATTAGCTTCGTTGCTGCGCCTAGCATCAGGCTAAGATAGCTCTTGGGATTAGCAATATATATCGTCTCTCCCATCCCGTGGAGCCATGACTAGTAAATTACGGAGTACAGTACTGTGTGGGTGTAGTTATCTGGATCTCAGTAGTGTGTGAACCATGACAAGTACATTAAAATCCAGCCAGGTTGGAGTAGCATTTGTGGAGCCGTGGACACTGTCGGTTTGCTGAAGAAGAGAAGAGAGGAGCACCAGGTTTTACGGATGCCAAATATGCCAAAATCGTGCCAAACCACGTTCTTTAATTTTGGTCTATCTACGGCCGGCTCCCGTGCCATGGTACTCGGTGTGACCACATGACTTAATGACCTTGTCAAGGAGCAGTTAGCAACAAAAACCTGTCGAGATCACTAGTGTGTTGTGTTCCTTGCTCCTCTTCCCTTAAGGTTTCCATCTGTTCAGCTTGTCTTTTCCGGAGAGAAAAATGTCCGTTTCCTTAAACCGTTCCGTACGTACTGTGAATCTGTTGCACTGTAGTAGCTGCAGCAGCAACTTAAGCATGGTCATAAATAAAGCAGATAGAATTACAATGCTAATGTGATGGTACGTGAATGCATATGCAGGAGGATGTGGGTGACGAGCCCGTGGGGCGCAAGTTGGAGATGGAGGACAAGCAACAGCTGAGCCCCGTGTCCGTTCTGGATTTCCCCTTCGATGACGACGACGGCGAGGAAGGAAGCGATGCCGGCATGTGCTCGCCGTCCTTCCAACAGTGCCTCGCCGAGCTCCAGAGTAAGCTCTCCTTGTCCTTGATCTGTTGCCGATTCAGTCGTTAATTAGTTTCCTTGCCATATATGCTACGTACTGTACTGTGCTAGAGCGGTGGCGCCTGATCATCTACCTGGCTTGATGCTTGATTAGTGTGCCGTTTCAGGATCTACCTAGTTCAATAGTTGTACTAGCACTAGCAGTACGCACAAATGCGTTGCCCGGACAGGATATGGGCATTAACGCCGCGCCAACTCTTGTTTCCGTTCTGGAATCTGCTCCACGCACCGGCACGTACATGCAAGGACCACAGGCCACAGCCCACAGGCACGCAGCGTCGCAGCCGCATTGTAAAAAATTTGACTCTAATATCAACAGAGTAGAGAAACAATTTGACTCTTGCCTCTGTGCATTAACAAACCGTCCTGGACTAGTGTGGTAGGTACTGACCCATGGCATGTGATTGTGACGACTGTCCGAATCACGTCCCCAGGTCAACTACCATGGATCGAGCTAGCGGTACACCAATCAAGGTCGATGCCGATGCATCGTCTGCTATAAACAAAACCCCCGCTGTAGTAATTGCCGATCCTGCTACAGTGGTACAGTTTGATTAGAAAAAAAAAAAAAACCGTCCTCACTGACATGAAACTCGTGCAGGATCGAAGGCGGAGCTGCTGCACAAGATCCGACGGCTGGAGGGCCTGACGCAGGTGGTCGTCCCCGTGGATCTCGAGGCGCAATTCACCGAGTCTGATTCCTCCGAGCGCACGCATCTCAACGCCAACTCGACTAGCTCTTCTGATGACACCGCGACGACGGCGCCCACGACGCCACGGCAATGCACGGACGACCAAGATGTCGTTAATCACGGCGAGGAGGAGGAGGAGGAGCACAGCCTGCTCGCGCGGCTGCTCGAGTCGGTTGTTGTCACGGACGAGGTCTCCGAGTGGCTCCTGCTCGACTTCTTTGCCGAGGGAGTGGACCGGCTCCGGTCGTCGGCGTCCAGCTGCCCTCTCAACGATTGCGAGGAGGCGGCGCTGCTGCGCGCCGCGGGGGATTGGGCGCGCGGCGCGGGGCAGCGGTGGGGCGTCGGGGACGTGGTGTTCTCCGGGTGGGCGGCGGTGGCGGACATGGAGCGGAGCCGGAGGTGGATGTGCGTCGCCGAGGAGGAGCGGGACGTCGGCGCGGAGGTGGACGGGCTCGTGATGGACGCGTTGGTGGACGAGCTGGTCGCCGACTTGGCACTTGGTGGTGCGACCACGGTAGGGGTGGAAGTGTGTACGTGCCGCCGATGAAGTTTCGAGCGTGTCAGGGTGTAACGTTTTGTGTGGACGTTAACTTGAGTGTTAACGTGACAGGGTTTACGCCGAATCGTTCAAAAACAGGATGTGTATGATGCAAGAGCGGGTGCTTTCAGTCATGGGCTTTATGACTTTCTCAGGATGAATCAGTACATATAGCAGATTAATAATTCAATGTTGCGAGTACCAAATATCGTGTGTGCTTGATGATGAACAGCGTTCCGGAACCTGAAAGAGTTGTGGTACGACAAAGAAACGATAAACTCTCTCTGATACGAGCTGTTTGGAGTCTTGCACGCTTGGGTACAACTTCCATGGGCCTCTGGTCAGATGGGCTGCACCGTACGAAGCCCATTCAACGGTCCAACCCGATGAGGAAAGAGGCCAGACAAAGTCTACGGCCGGCCAGGTTGTGCATGTTCTGTGGATTCTACAAAAGAAATGTTACCTTCCCTCGTGATTAGTCCGGGTCACAAATCACAAAGGAAAGACATAACCACATAGAGTACACATTACACAGCAATGTGGTTTGTTGTTGAATTTTTTAACGAGTCGCCAGATCATCTTTTGTGTTATCCCCATACAATGCCTATTTATTAATCTGGAACATCAGACGGAAAATAATAGAGATCTAGTAGGAGCTACCGAGATAACAATACTTTGAGTGGATTCGCGTGTTTGTGGATGAGTAATCGCGATGGCGTTGGGATGAATCGAGCGCGCAGGATTAAGAAACCATGCGTCGAGCGCGCAACGATGTCGAATTCAAGCAACGCTAGATGGTCAAATGATGGAAACATGTGGAGGCGTACTCGCATAGTACTACGAGTATACTACTTGCGCCTGTTTGGAGTCGAGACACATTGACAATCAACTCTTCGTGGATGCTAATTAACCGGTGTTACTACTCTCGAAAGGAAAGTTTAGTGTACCACTCTACTAATTCCTTTTGGTTAACGATTCGAAGCTCCTAGGAAATTCATCAAGTAAGCTGTGATCGATGATATACTACGGTACACAGCCGGTAGTAGTCTCTATTTTTATGTGCACTTGTTGGATGGAGCGGTCAAAATAATCTTCTGTTTTCCACCGAGCACGCAAATTAATCGTGTGTCATCGGGCAACCACACGATGACCTTGCAAGTATAATCTCGTGTCATCAGGCAAACGAGGGAGCATCGCATTGACACATCTCCAACCCTGAAGAAGACGAGCATTGATTTCAGACGCAGAGATCAAAACAACTCAGCTCAGTAGACTGCAGAGGACGCCACTCCGGCCGGTCCGACGCTCCAAAAACCAGAGCAGCTATCCTATCACGTCCCTGCCCCTGCGAATGACATATGGCCCCCACCATGATAGTAGCCAACGGAAAACCGTGACGAGTCCAGTGCAATCCGTGCATGCACGCCCTGCGCTGCCACGCGGCCGGCATCCGCCAAAGCAACAGGTCGTTCCCGCGAACTCCCAGGCAGAGAGCAAGGGTATGTGGTGCCATCCTCTTGTAACGCACACGCGGGTCTTCCTCGTTTGCGCAACTGCATCCACGAACAAAACGGCTGCCTCTCTCTCCCTCCATCTCCCTCGCTGGAGTGGAGACTCTTCAAGGCCAAGGAGAGTAGCAGGCAGCCAGCACAGCAGCGAGTGATAAAAAAGAGGCAGCTCTTGGTCGTTGGTGTGCATGCTCACGCGATTCGCGTCCAAAAATTTATCAGGAAACCTTTTTCGAGGTCGCGGTAATACTCCCTTGCCCTGAGCGCGTACAATTGCGGTTATCCCTTCTGTGCATCTAATTCTTTCCTTCTTCAGAGAGCTGTATCTACTTCTGTCCCGTTCGTCGTTATCCATATATCTCATCTCCTCCCTGTTTCTTGGATTCTTGCAGAGTATCAATACATCTTCGTGCTAGTGCGTGTGTGAGAGAGAGGGAGGCGGCCATGACCGGAGGGGAGGAGCAGGGGAGGAGGCTGTTTGGCGTGTCGCTGACAGACAGGCCCAGGTGGCAGCAGTTCTTGATCTGCTCATCGGGGTTCTTCTTCGGCTACCTTGTCAATGGCATCTGCGAGGTGAGTTCATCTTCTTACAATCCATGATCCTGTATGATAATCTGGAAGGCTCTAATAATTTGCGCCCAATTTTTTCAACTCGGATAAGATAATTGAATGGGGTTACACGCAATCGGTGCGAAAATGTGTGGTTATACGTACAGAAATGGTGTGGAATTGAATGAGGATGCTTGAGTTTTTCCACCCCGTTTTTATTCGTCATGATCTCGTACGCAGACTCTCATACATACAGTTGCTTGGTCAACTTTTTTTTATTTTTTGGGGTGGGGGAAGTCCATTTTCCCGACTTTTTAGCTATGTACATTTCCAGTGCAAAATATCTTCAGATGAAACTTTCTTATTCATTTTTTATCCCATTTTTGGCATTGCTAAATTCTCTGCTTAATTATCATATCGCAGGAATACGTCTACAACCGGCTTCAGTTCAGGTGATTCTTGTACTGCAACACCTACCTAACTTCTTGTCTGTACTTTCTCCTACTGTTTCTGCTAGTGATCACTTGCAATTCTTAGAAATTTTTGTTGTGTGCTGCAGCTTCGGCTGGTACTTCACATTTGTGCAGGGGTTCGTGTACTTGGGTCTGATTCGCCTGCAGGGATTCACGGTGAAGCAGATGGTGAACCCGTGGCGGACGTACGTGCGGCTCTCGGCTGTGCTCATGGGATCCCATGGCCTCACCAAGGGTTCCCTCGCATTCCTCAACTACCCCGCCCAAATTATGTTCAAATCCACCAAGGTTAACTCTTCCTCTGTTTCAGAGCTTGGAAATAGATACTCGCAATCCGATAATGTCTGTAGCTGAAAACAGTAGTACCGAGAATTTATCTTCAGTGGACAGATTTGTGCACCTTACCTTTTCTAAGAAGTTCAAAATCACGTCTACATGGTTTTAGTTGAAAAGCGACATTTTTTATGCTTAGAAGACTCCAATATGAGAATGCAACATCAGAGGTGATGTTCAGTTTGGTGCCAAACTAATAGCTCAATCATATATCTTTCTACGTTAGGATGGAATGGTACTCCTGTGGCCAAAATCAAATAAATTAGCAAGCAGGATAACGTTGTTGATAAGCCCCTTCCTCAGCCCATCTTTCCTTACTATCAATTTTTATTTTAGAAAGTTTGCCAAGAAAAATACTTATAGACTTATAGTATCTGCTTAAATAACTAAGATTTTGCGAGGAACATGATGCAAATTTGGGAATGCAAAACCAATATACTAGAATTAGTTCTGAAAAAAAAATGTAACGTTAAAGATAGCGTTTTCCTGTAGTGCTTCCTCATTTGTCATCCCTTGGCAGTACAATATAAGCTGATATGAGGATATAAGTGTTTGTTTTTCCATGGATTATTAATATCCAGTGTTTCGCAAATTTCCATTGAAACAATATTATTTCCCAAAAAAAAATCTCCAAGTGGTAGTTTGGTCAATATTGAATATTGGTGATGTCTGAATGTGATTTCAGTGACACACATAAACCCATCCTTGTATTCAGGTTTTGCCAGTGATGATAATGGGAGCATTTATACCTGGATTAAGAAGAAAATATCCGTTCCATGAGTACATATCAGCAGTGATGCTTGTTATCGGCCTCATACTATTCACGCTCGCGGACGCACAATCATCACCTAATTTCAGCATGATTGGTGTGGCCATGGTTTCTGGAGCGCTTGTCATGGATGCATTTCTAGGTAATCTGCAAGAAGCCATATTTAAGATGAACCCTGACACCACACAGGTACCCCCATGTACTGCAGTTTTTCTGACCTTTGCTACTGTGAGGATTCAGAAAAAAAAATACTGACAAAGCAATATAATTTCTGAATAGATGGAGATGTTGTTCTGCTCAACTGTTGTTGGCCTACCTTTCTTGGTGGTGCCAATGGTGTTAACAGGGGAGCTGATGCGGGCGTGGACTGCATGTTCCCAGGTAAATAATTGGTGTCCATTCCCATGCTTTGTATAAAGAGATTCATGTTGATAGCTAGCTTTACTGCTCTGTCAAGAGAACTTCGCACCGTCTCATGCGAGTCGTTCAAAAAAAATGTTGATAGCTAGCTCAGTGACAAAAAAAGCATTAGTCCATTTTGGTATCACTCATAATACTTTCTGAATGTGTATACCAGATGGTAGGAAAAGAATCAAATGCTCCTTGCTCTTTAGTGCAACCACCCTTTCTGGAATCCTTGTTTATACTACTTCTGTGAAGAGAATAATCCTAACACTACAACTTCCTCACTCTATCCATGTTCTGACCTCATTGGCTGGAAAAGTATCGGATCCAAAACAAGAAGAAAGGATTTGCTAGTTAGATCGCCATTACTTATATTTTATTTTCTGAAGGAGATTGACCATACCTGTGACCTGTTCTGACCTTATGTTAACTGAAACGCATGCAGCATATGTACGTGTACGCCGTGCTGGTGTTCGAGGCGATGGCCACGTTCGTCGGCCAGGTCTCGGTGCTCTCCCTCATCGCGCTCTTCGGCGCCGCAACAACAGCTATGGTCAGAACACTCGTCCTGCTCCTCAAAGTAACAGAATTTGCACCGGATAAAACTGGCAGAAAAACCAATTTTTCTGTTGTGTTGATTGTTCAGGTGACGACGGCGAGGAAGGCGGTGACCCTGCTCCTGTCGTACCTGATATTCACCAAGCCATTGACGGAGCAGCACGTCACCGGGCTGCTGCTGATCTCCATGGGCATCGTGCTGAAGCTCCTGCTGGAGAACAAGGAGAACGTCCCGCGCAGGCAGGTGAGGAAGACGGTGCAGCATTGGGACGACAAGCAGCGGGAGATCAGAGAAGTAGAAGAGGAGAAAGCTCCCTTGGTATGACCATTTTTTTAGTTGGCCCAAGCAAAGGCTGAACGAATCACAATACACCAATTGCAGGACAGGATAGAAAATGCTCAAAAAAGAGTAACAACCCCTCTCCCTCTGTCTCTCTCATGTAATGTTTTGCTGTTGTGAGATTGTTTTGTGGGTCTATGCCAAAGGATTCGATTGACGATAATTACAGATTAATTTGGTTGGAGGTGATATCGCATCACTGCCAGTTCTTCATTGTTTCTCGACAATTTTGCACTCAAGTAACGTCGACAGGATACCCGGAAAAAAAAAGAGAAAAGGAAAAACGAAGTGACGTTCACAGACCACAAATGTGTGACGTTGTTGTGCTCTGCATTTATATGGGCTGGTGGTGATATGATATCTTCTTGCTTGGTCCTGTGCTCATGGCCCATCTGGACCACAAAGCCCACATTTCGCAGTCACTCATCCCACGAGGAAAGCGAAGGGACACATCTGCAGACTGCAGTTCGACGAGCAGCTCAGCTACCATCTTGATTAGTACCAGTAGGTCATTGCTATTTTAACATGCTTTTATTTTTCACCTATCCAACACTCAATAATTATTTAATAGTGCAAAATAAAGACAAACCATAACATCTTATTTTATCAAATCTCAACGTAATTAGTACTCTTTTTATCTACTCTCAATATGTTTATCGACTCTACGCTCTCTTCGGTCTCAGTAGTGTTAGAGTCCATTCTCTCGAATGGCCGTCTGTGATCCTCCGCGGGTATGACTACTTTTGAGGTTTTCTTGGGAGTGTAGAGTGGCGTCCCCACTCTCTCCCGTTGATCGAAGTTGCGTTTAGTTGCCATAGTAGTCCCCTTTCTCCTAGCTGCTGTTTTGTTTTATTTTTTTCCTCCTTTCCTTGCATAGGCCAGTTTGGCCGATTGTGTCGTATAACAAAAAAAAAACTCTTATCTTTCTAATATATTGATGTGTAACTTTTTACGTATTCACATTCTGATACAATTTAATTATTTAAAGTTAAACTTATTTTAAAACAAATGAATTGTCGGACAGTATGCAGGGCGGAAGATGGATTGAGCTCCGATGGGTGCTTGCGTGCGGCCTATGAATGGATTCATTGGATTGGCCAAGGTAGAAAGCGTATCGTCCCGTCCGTGCTGTGCTGAAGTGCTGACGGATCGAGCAGGAAGGACTGAAGTACATGCGTGCCGGGAGTGTTTCCGCGACTTCGCTAGGACAGTAATGGCTGCCACCTACCTAAACTAATGAAAGCTCTGGACTGAATGCACACTGAACGCACGACGGGGCAGGACCGTCGTACAGTGGTACACAACTTACTCGGGCCGCGGGGGCCAAAGGCGCCCGGCCACCACCAAAGCAATGCCGATCGCCAAAGCAGAGGAGGAGGAGAAGCTTTTGCTGTGCGTGTTGTTACTTGACAGTGCAGGCCAAACTTTCTTTATGCATATGCTCTCTTCTGCCACTGCACCCCGCCAATTCACTCCCCGCTTTTATGCGCGCCACATGCCCGCCGCGGACGCCGCTTTTCATGCGCCACGCGATCGCTCGCCGTGCGCCCGTGCCGTGCACTGCTGCTGCTGCCCACCACCACCGGGCCGGTGCACAATGCCAAGTCCGGCTCGCCGCCCCGCGCGCAGCACGCGCCCCCGCAACGACGAAAACCTTAACGAATCACGCGACGCGACGGGGGGACGCTCGTTTCCAAGCGTATAACGCGACGACACGGGCCAACGTTGGTTGTTGCCTCGCTCCGGCCTCCGGGGTTGGGGCGATCGGTCGCCAACGTTGGCAAAGCGAGGCCTCGTCCTTTCCCTTTTGTTTGACGCCTGTGTCTTTGCTCCGTCCACGCGTATAAAGCTCGCAATGCAAGGGAGGGAGAAGCTCGGAATCGGAGCCCCATCGCGTATGTTTTTTTATGTCGAGATGCACGATATTACTAATATCCAGTCACCCACTACCGCCACGGCGGTATTAGGGTTCACATCTACGACAAAAATAAAAAATCAGTAATAATAAGATACATGATTGGATAACTTTTTGTTCACAGCAAATCAGGGACAGGTGTACGAGTTAGTCTTTGATAAACACGTCCACATTTCTTTGCCCGGATTGTTTTTCACCTTTTTTTTTCCTTTTTCCATTCCTGGCATCAGCTTTCTGCCCGTGTCCATTTGGATTTAACACGATTACAACTTTTTCAAAACAAAGACAACGGGAAAACTACCTAATCTGTTTGTATACACACGAAAACTTAACAGAGAAAACTTAAACAGAGACAACGCGAAACCTACCTAATTTGGATTTACGAGACGAAAAAAAGTCTTTCAAGTAGGTCCTATTGTTTCTCTGCTAGCAATGCCACTATTCCCCCTATTATATCGAGATAATTGGGCCATTTATCGAGAAAGCAACCACCAAGCTAGTAAATACGTAAGATGTTTATTGTATCGACAAAACACCTAAACTAAGTTGTCGAATTGCAAACAAGAAGTTAGTTTATCAATTAAGCATTTGGTTTAGGGATAAGATAGAATGTATTGAATTCATTCCTTGTGTTTTGATGGAATGGCCTCATCTACTTGTTTGGGATAAGTGACGGAATGCTTCCAATGTTTTAGGAATGGGAGTGTGGTTCACATGTCAACGAGAGAAATGAAACAGGTTGGATTGGTCCATCAATTTTTGAGGTATGAAGCTAACCTGGATCTAGAGGAATCATTTTTTTAAAGCGATCATTCTATCTTACACCAGACACATTAAAAAATGAGTTCGTCCCAACCTGATCCATTCTATCCCTTGGACCAAACACATGCGAAAAGAAAACTGGTTACTGAGAAACATACGACATACACTGAGATCAGGATAGCTCTAGCACTTTAATAAAAAAGCTATATGATATATAACAATACTACAAATAATAATTGGTTTGCATTGGTGTTAGAATAGGATATAATTACTAGATGCATTACAACTAGAAATCTACTACTAAACCACACAAGCGGAAAAAAAAAAGGAAGGGGGGGGGGGGGGGGGAAGAAAAAAACATATAACATGAGAGAAGAGGATAGCGTTGGCACCTTGCCGCAGCAAAGGAAAGGGCGAAAGGCGCAGTCAAAGAGAGTCACATAAAAGGCAGGGCAGTTAGGGGAAGCAGGCAAGGCAAGCGAGTTGGGAGGAGGACCAGCGAGCAACCAGCCCCCCGCCCCCAATGGCGGCAGCAGCAGCTTTGCCCACCGCTGCCGCTTTTGCCCACCTCTCCTCCGATTAATCCCCTCCCCTCCTCTTCCTCCCACTTCTCCGCCTCCTCTTCCTCCCCTCGCCGACCCTACCTACTCGCGCCGCCGCCGTCGCATTGGGCGGCAAACGGAGGGGGGGTTAACCCTGATGGAGCAGGTGAGCGCCTCGAGCGATCTGATTCGATTTCTGTTCTTGGGGGACTCGGGGGTTTTGATCCTGCAAACCTTTGCTTGTTTTTGTGGCTGTGTGTGCGGCGGGGGCGGGGCGCAGTACGAGAAGGAGGAGAAGATTGGGGAGGGCACGTACGGGGTGGTGTACAGGGCGCGGGACAAGGTCACCAACGAGACGATCGCGCTCAAGAAGATCCGGCTTGAGCAGGAGGATGAGGGCGTCCCCTCCACCGCAATCCGCGAGATCTCGCTCCTCAAGGAGATGCATCACGGCAACATCGTCAGGTCCTCTCTATTAACACTCTGTTGTTGTTAGGACTTTGGATTGACTAAGTCATCACGGACTGATTGATTGGTTGCCTGATTGATTGACTGATTGATTGATGTGGGCAATACATTGAGCTAGCATTTGCCTTTATGCAACAGTAGCTAGGCCTGATTTTAGGACCATTAATCATACATTGATCATAGTTTTGTGCAGTGTAGTAATAATGCTGTTACTTTGGCAGCGAGATGATTTGCATTGTTGGTTTGCTGAGAAACTCTATCACTGCGTGCAGGTTACACGATGTTATCCACAGTGAGAAGCGCATATATCTTGTCTTTGAGTATCTGGATCTGGACCTAAAGAAGTTCATGGACTCTTGTCCAGAGTTTGCGAAAAACCCCACTTTAATTAAGGTGAGTGGCCCTAAATGCAAAAATATGTTGTCATGACTCACTTCTATTATTTTCTGCATATGGTTGAACTCGAAGTGTTGGCTTGAGCATTATTGATCAATGGTTTGTTATACATCTTATAACTTGGAAACAATGTGAAGGTGGTATAAGTAACCTTACTAAAGAATTACTCTTGGCTGCATAGACCAAAATGTTAGTCTAGTATCTTCTCATTTCATCTGAAAGAATTCAGCACTAGTGTCATTCAAGATTTTGGTGCAAAGATGTATGTGGAACCCGCAGTACATCTTATGCTCTCCATATTTGGTTTATGGACTGTTGACTCGTTCTGTCGCGGTGTTCCATATCATAGGAGGAAGGTGCCCGGTTTGTCATTCCACTAGAGCAATACTTAGCATAAACCAGAATGCACAATTTGGGAAATAGGACCCATGTGTATGTTACTTCATGCGCTCTTCATGTTTGGACTGTTGCTCTGTGACTGCCATGATTTTTTAGGAAAAATGTGCATGTGCTCTTTGGACATATATGTGCCTACGTGCATTTTAAAAAACTTTAGAGATGCAATGGACTGACATTGTTTGGGTAAGGTTGGGCTTTTCATATTCTCATACGCCTATCAGTAACATGATAGGACCAGTTCCTAAGCAAATTGTTTTATAGTACTTCTGTGCTCTTCTGAGGGCATAGCTAGTAGCCATCATGGATTATCGCCCCTAAATAAAGAGATGCGTTGTAAAGCAATTTTTGCTCCACAGTAAATCCTGTAGACCGTAAATAAAATATATCTTCACTGTTAGTGGGGCTTCTCTGTGGCCAAAAATGTCTGGCAGCGTGGCACCACCACCACCAGCTCAGTACTGCATGTTCCCCATATAGGAATCATTGCTGCCATGCTTGTTTTTGGGTAACTATTCAGAATTTACTGCACAAAGAACTGGCACTCTATTTCCTTCCACTATCTTTTTTGGGTCAGAACTATCAATTCTGACAGTCAAGTTTGGGACCTTGGGTCAAAGTGGTCTCAACTCATCCTGTATTTTCTTGTCCTCATTAGCATCGCATATACTTTGAATCTTTGCCCATAAGGTATTGGAAGTCATGATGAAATTCGCTTAAATATGTAATGTGGCAACATGTTTTTATCCTTTGAATAGTGTAGCTTAGTAGTATGAAGTTGATGCAGCCTTACTTGATCGGAGTGGCTGCCTTATACAGTAAAACAAAGTAAAGATTGGCATGATTGGAAGCTTTCATGCTTTTCTTCATTATTGTGTCTACATTCCTGTTCATGCGAAAAATGTGTCTACATTCCTGTTGCATTCATGCTTGACCAGAAAGTGTATTAGTTTATTGTGGTTGCATCTTGGAATGTGACTGTTTTCTTCTTTCTCCAGTCATATCTCTATCAGATACTCCGCGGCGTTGCTTACTGTCATTCTCATAGAGTTCTTCATCGAGATTTGAAACCTCAGAATTTATTGATAGATCGGCGTACTAATGCACTGAAGCTTGCAGACTTTGGTTTAGCCAGGGCATTTGGAATTCCTGTCCGCACGTTTACTCACGAGGTACTATAGATTTGTGTTCAACATTTTGTTTTCTTCATAAAGTACATTTTTTTTCGTCATAAAGTTCATTTTTCATTTACCTTTTCTATACACTAGCACATTAACTCACAATGGATGTCTATGGGAAGTATTTTTCAGGTTGTAACCTTGTGGTATAGAGCTCCAGAGATCCTTCTTGGATCAAGGCAGTATTCTACACCAGTTGATATGTGGTCAGTTGGTTGTATCTTTGCAGAAATGGTGAACCAGAAACCACTGTTCCCTGGTGATTCTGAGATTGATGAATTATTTAAGATATTCAGGTTCTATTATTGTACTGAGATTACCTTTTTTTGTTCTGTTAATTGTGTTTTTGCCAACTCTATGATTTATGTGTTGTGTTCTGGTTACTTTTGAAGGGTACTAGGAACTCCAAATGAACAAAGTTGGCCAGGAGTTAGCTCATTACCTGACTACAAGTCTGCTTTCCCCAAGTGGCAAGCACAGGTATGACAAAACAGCATAAAGATTTTATTAGGCGGGTGAACTGCATCCATATACTGTGCCACTAATATTCCTTGACTGAAATCTTCATCCCAGGATCTTGCAACTATTGTCCCTACTCTTGACCCTGCTGGTTTGGACCTTCTCTCTGTAAGTCGAACACCACTCACCTTTGTTCATTAGCATGTCATAATATACCCCAAAAAAAAAGTATCCCATCCTTGTCTCGTTTCACTGTCAGAAAATGCTTCGGTACGAGCCAAACAAAAGGATCACAGCTAGACAGGCTCTTGAGCATGAATACTTCAAGGACCTTGAGATGGTACAATGACCCTGCTATGGCTTTACATTGGATTGGCATATGTATGGGCTGGGCTCCTCATTTCATTCCTTCTGTGAACGCTGTGCCCTTCGTTTGGGCATTTTTGTCATTCAGCTGGATATTTCAAATCTTGTGTGTTTGATATGTATTCAGGAACGCTAAATAGATCACCGTCTTGGTCTCTATTTGTTCAGAGTAAATATCTTCCAATGCTGCCTTTCAGTTTCCATTGAACCTATTCAGATCCAAATAGCCCTTCGTTGCTGTTACACACACCTTTCTGGTGTTCCACTGGGACTGGGGTCAACTGGGGGACACGCATCATTGGTGCTCAGCAAGATCCTTTCTCGTCTTGTTGCATGCGTTCGACATCATCAGACCAGAGTGCCACAACGACTGATCATGAACATGCACTGACAAAGGATTCCACTACCAAACGGAAAAGAAAAATAAAGAGCTTCCAAAAGCCGAAACGTGCGGAGCAAAATCTGTAGCAGATGCGAAGGATTCCACGAGAATGAGAATAACAAATTTTGCACTGGTTGGCCCCTCTATTCCATGCTTGATGTGTGAGTGATGTGGCCATAAATTAGACGGCAGCTAATGAGATTATTATGCGGTCACGCCACGCCACGCCATGCCATACTCGAATCGAACCACAACTTGAGGTTTCCAGCTGCATACCATACCATGCCTGATGGCAGCATGGGAAGGAGTCGTCGTCGCCGCCTAGTGATGGAAGTCGTTTCACGTCGGTTAAAGTGGTGCACTCTGAAAGGGCAGGAGTAGCGAGTCGGCTACTGGGGTGGGTGAGTGGAGTGAGCCAGCAGCAGCCGCGGGGGCACCGAAAGGGGCTTGTCATGGACAGGGAAACGCCACTTGGACCGTCATTGGGTCCACTGCTGCACTGCGCAATTGTAGGCGCCTAGCCGGCCACCATTTCAGGCTCTCAGCTCGTCACAAGTTCTCAACGAACCCTATGAAAACTTCGTTTCGAGGCTGCACGTTTGCAATGTGAGTAAATAAAATCATTTATTGAAGATTACAATTGTATTTGCAAATTCAGTTAGCTAGAGGGTAAATCTTTTTCAGTTACAGTATCTTTCCTAGGAAATTCATACCGAATTTTGAATCATCATGTTCTGAATTTGTACTATCATACACTACAAAATTGATTCAGCCACTAATTGTTTAGGCTATCCAAGATTTCTGCTAATTATTTCACAGAAAATGCTTGCCATCTCTGCACGGCAATAGAGGGCGGGTATCTCGTCCATCCCTCTTGGTCCCGCACTCTCTCGCGTGGAGCTTATCTTCCAACGGATACTTGAACAAAGCTAATCGCCTTGTCAGACACCCGCATCCCCACCATCCAACCCCAACTCATTCCCGCTATATAAACCCTCCACCCAGCGCAGCGGCAACAAGGCAACAACTCGCACTCGTCAAAGCAGAGCGAACTCTAGTGAACAAGCAAGAGGCCGAGACGCCAACGCAAGCTTAGCACAGTCATGGCGAGCAGCAGGCGGCAGCAGCACAAGGGTTCGTGGTCGTGGACGTCGCGGGTGGCGGCGGCGGCGGACGCGGCGTCGTGGTGCCTGGCGCTGTCGCTGGTGGCGCTGCTGCTGGTGTGCTCGCTCGGGCCCGGTGGCGCCGCCGGCGGCGAGCAGCGGGGTGGTGTGGCGGCGGTGTTGCGCGGCGCGGCGCTGTCGGCGCGGGCGTGCGAGGAGATCTACGTGGTGGCGGAGGGGGAGACGCTGCACAGCATCAGCGACAAGTGCGGCGACCCGTACATCCTGGAGCAGAACCCGCACGTCCACGACCCCGACGACGTCTTCCCCGGCCTCGTCATCAAGATCACGCCGTCCAAGCCCAGGTAGATTACCACAAATCACATCGACACGGGATATGGACTCCATCGCCACTCGAGGGATGAACTGGTCAACGTGTATGAAACACACAAGTGTTCGTCCGAGAGCATCGCGCAGGCCTGGAATGGATCGATGCATCAAAACGCGCGATCTGGATTCGATCGATGTATCTCTGCAAATGTAACTGGCAAGGAACATCAGTTCTGATATGTGAATATACACGCGATCCTAGTGCAATTCTATGAGTAGCTTCCTCTGTTGTTTTGGTCCAAACTCCAAAGGAAACTCTTGTTTCCTTCGGCATCTGTTTCTCGCATGACAAGGCGGCGGTGACCGCGGAGAGAGGGACACGCAGCGGATGGGGTGGTGGCACGTAAGACCAACGGCTACGTACGTCGTCCTTAGCCGTTTCGTTAGCTTGTCCTTACATGTGCTGTGCTACAGTTGAGTTGATCTGATCTGAGGTTGGGTGTACCGGAGCAGTACACGTGCTGTCGTATGCAGGCTCTTGCCTGTATCTAAACAGGTGAAACCAATGGAAGGAAGATTCCAGCTACTCCCTTTGTACCGTTGGAGAGAGGCTCCAGTGACAGTGGAGACCCGGCCCCTTCAGTTGCCACTTGCCAGACGAGGGCCCCGCGTCCTCGACCCAAACGTGCCCGTAGGAGTAACCGGCGGTGCGGTTTGTCAAATTTCATCCGGATTTAATTTTTCAAAATGAAGAGAAAATTCAGAATATAATCCTGTAAGTAGTACTTAAATTGTAATACTATTTGGTGAAGAATTCTTTTGTACAAAAGAGAAAGTTAACATAGCCAAACTGGTAATGACTTAAAATGACAAAAGAATAAATGGGATTCTTAATTCAATTGTTGAATGCAAAAAAAACATAGCAAAGGTCATGCCGAATTTTCCTATATTACATCAATAGGTCAGTTCTACATGTTCTAAATGTCTCCTATATATATTCTTATAATTTTCGCCCTAAATTTTCTACGTACTGCTTTTTTTTTTTTAAAAAAAAAATAAACCAAACTGCTCTGGACCATAAGGTAAACGTTCCAAAACAGTGAAACCACCGCCGGCTTAAAAATATTGAATTCCAATTTTTTGAACGCTAATTTCACGGGGTTATTTGCGCTGTATTCATGATACCATGGGAAGCTAGTGACAGAAGGCCCTATTCAGTGGATGCACATCCTCTACAGTACTGCTGCTGCAATAGCAGTGGCTGACATGTGGACCCGGACCCCCACATTAGCGTCTGCTACTGCATCAGCAGTACGGCAGACAATCCCTACTGTGATTCCGTTAATCTCTCTAACAAGAGAATTAAGGGGGATTTAGAACGAATTAATTCCACATCTATTGTAGCGTGGAGATATTCCAATCAATCCCTCTAAACTAACAAACAGCCAAACGGTATGGTAACCTGGCCGGTACGCGTGCAACCAAGGCGATTTCAAGCCACACGCTAGCTGCGTTCATAACAGGATAAGATAGCTCAAGGTCAGGCGAACAGAAATAGAGAGAACATAACTACCTGAACCTCCCTTTCATGTAAGCTCAGTCTTCAGAACAAAATCATGGCTACTTTATGCCACTCTGCTCATACCAGAACATTCGGAAAGATTGGCAGGAGAAATGCAGCAAAGGTCCTCTGCTCAACGCAGATGCCGCCATCTCAGAGCACAATCAAGGTACTGTGGGTTATGACATTATGAATGTTCTTCTCTAATAGCACTGCAACTTCCTCTGAAGGCAAAATCTGGTGGTATATTGAAAAGGTTGTTATCATTGGGGCGACAAAAGAGATTGGAAGAACGGCAATAGCGGCAGTAAGTAAAGCAAGGGGAATGGAGCTTGCAGGGGCCATAGATTCTCAGTGTATAGGCCTAGATGCAGGAGAGGTATTCACCATTCACTCAATGCGCCATTTCCCTTGTAATTAGGCTGTCTCCCTGCTGCAATAGCTGCTTGTTCTTTGTCTCTTACAGTTTATAAATGCCGGCATTGTTCTTCTAGATAAGTGGCATGGAAGAAGCCCTGGAAATTCCGGTGCTCAATGATCTCACAATGGTTCTGGGCTCAATTGCACAAGTATTGGCCTCTTCATTGTACTATAAAATGCTTATATCCACTTGTACAGTTGTACTGTTATACACTTCACGGGTTTGCTATTTGAAACTTATGTTCTTTCAGACCAGAGCAACTGGAGTGGTGGTTGATTTTAGTGAACCTTCAACTGTTTATGATAATGTCAAACAGGTAAGCAATCCACCTACAAGATGGGGAAAAAAGTAAGTTACATTGTAAAGTGAGATTGTGAAATACCGGACTATACAAAGTACGCACCAATGTGATCCATTCAACGGGAAGCATCATGGCAATATAACTGAATCTTGTCCAAAGTATAACCTTATTAATCTAGAAAGTTACATTATTATCGATTCATGAGTATATATGAGCCAAAGAATTATTTGTTTTATATGAGCCAAAGAATTATTTGCTTCATAACCAAATAACAGAAAAATGTAACAGTTCACATAGAATGAGCTATCCAGTACCAGTGACCAGGACCACAGGAGTGCACTCTAATTCAATAAGCACACTGCCCAACACTGATAAAGAAGTATAATGCCATTCAGATTCTGTACAATCCTCTGAAATCTAATTCTGTACATGGTTCATAAACAGGCAGCGGCATTTGGTTTAAACAGTGTGGTGTACGTTCCAAAAATTGAGTTAGATACAGTAACTGAGCTGTCAGCATTCTGCGAGAAGGCAAGCATGGTAACACTACATATCATTATTGCATTTATCATATATGTACCGCTTTAACAACATTGGTTATTATCAGGGTTGCATTTATCATATATCTTGTGCTGATTTCATTATCAGGGTTGCTTGGTCACACCAACATTATCAATTGGCTCAGTGCTCCTACAGCAAGCTGCTATCCAGGCCTCGTTCCACTACAACAACGTCGAGATAGTGGAATCAAGACCTAACCCATCGGTAATAGGCTTTTCCATGTAACTCTTAATTCACCATATAAATATGCCTTCTAAAACCACCAGATACAGAACATCATGTGCAATAAACATTGTATATTCTAACAATCAATCAAATGCCAAAGGAAAAGGCACAACATCATCTATCAGCATTAGAAGAACTCTTGTCAATACTTAGTTACATACTAGACAAGTGCTCAGGTGTGCAAAGGCTGATAGACTAATGTTTGAAATTGACAGGATTTGCCATCGCAAGATGCAATACAGATTGCAAATAATATAACAGATCTTGGTCAGATATACAACAGGGAAGATATGGACTCCGATAATCCAGTAAGTGTGAGAAAAATATTTTGCATTGCTATTTATCTAATGATACAGAAACGGGCATTGCAATCTGTTCAGTTCATTCTAAAACAGTGAAAGTACAAACTGGAATCAGTTTTCACCTCTATAACAGCTTACAGCTGCACAATATTGTTTCACAAAACTAATGGACAAATGTTTTGGAAAAGGCAAGGGGTCAGATACTTGGAGAAGATGGGGTGCGTGTCCACAGTATGGTTCTACCAGGCCTTGCTTCCAGTACATCGATCCATTTCTCGGGCCCTGGAGAGGTATTAATAATATTTTTGCTTGAAATGTCGCTGAATTGACCACCTATTTTTAACTATTGAATTGACCAATCACCAACATATCCAGATTTACACCTTAAGACATGATGTGACAAATGTTCAATGCCTAATGCCAGGATTAATTCTGGCAATACGGAAGGTGATACGCTTGAAGGTAACTGGCGCCAAACTTTCTGTTGTGCAGATGATATAATGCATTTTCACTGAAGAAAAATTCTATCTTTTGCAGAACTTGATTTATGGTCTGGAGAAGTTCTTGTAGGATTTTATTAGAATGCTGGTAGGAATTTTCATCCCACATATCAAGAGAAATACAAGCTATGGATATTCATGGTAAGGATAATGCAAAACAGTAAGAAAGCCAGCAGGTATTACAAGACTATGGGACAAGAAAGATGCGAAGAATGGCTCCACCAAACATGACTGAATTTTTTTATGCAGATGTTACCCAAGATACACAATCTTGCTGCAAGTTCAAGGTGGAAACCAAACACATGTCAGCAATATTCGGGAAAGCAACCATGGTGATAACCATTGTCACCAAAATTGAGCCAATTAATAAATGAGTGGTTGAATTGACTCAAGGCCTCAAGCATATGAGTTCCATCACAGAACATAAGGGAACTCTAGCTGTAAGGAACTATGTTTGGTCCTGGGTGATGCTGACGCAAAATGTTTATAACAATGCATGGTGCGTTGATAGGGAACTGTTTTGATCCCTTGAGATGAAGTGATGTCCCCTTGTTTGTAAAACCCATCAAAATAGTTATGAGTAACCTTTAAACCAATTTGCGCCATTCATACAGCATACATATACCACTCCACGAAATCTTAGGTCTAAACTCAACTCGCGCATTAAGACATATAAAAAAGAAGACAAATTCAGCGTATGAATAATAGTGGTACTATTGTTCTTTTTCCCCTCAATGTATAGGTCGAATTTAAACATGATTTTTGGTGGAGAGATAGATGTTACTAAACTCTACATTGTTAAAAAAAAAAACTAGATGTTACCCGTATATCACATATGCACAAAGGCAATCATCAACAAGGTGACGCAGTCTCTAGTCTGTACAGGAGAGTTGCTTACCGTAGCCAAAATGTGATGACTGATCAACCGGGGTCACCGTCTTCACTCTTCAGTTCTTCACGAAGCAATCGCGACCGCCAAGAAACCGAAATTCTTTAAGATAGAAAACCAAAGACCGATGGTTCGGTCTAAACCATCGGTCTGATTGTGGCGACCGATCTGGCGTGGAGGTAGCCGGTAGGCAGCGGCGCGGCGGCTGGATTGCAGTGCAGAAGGCGGCGGCGCGGCGGAGATGCGGGAGTAGGACGAGGTACCGCGCGGGGAGCCGCTTGCCGTCGCGGTGGACTCACGGAGGACGCCGGAGTGGTCGGAGCGAAAAGGCGGCGCTGATTCCTGCTGCTACTAGACGCCGACGGGCGACGGCAAGCACGAAGGGAAGTTAGCGGCGGTGGAGGTCGGACTCCTCCGGGAAGCAGTCCACGGAGGGTTTTGCTGGCCGCTGCCGACGTTGAGCTCGACGCCATGGCTGCGGCCTTTCGAGCCTTCGAGGAATAGTAGATTTGGGCCCAATAATTGAGTGATTTGGCCCAGTCCAGGAACTAGTAAGTACTCTGCAGAGTACGCAGAAAAATAGTCTCCACGTTGGTGAACTCGTTGCTTGATGGGAACGCATGCAAAGGCTCTGATCGACGCTGATCTCAAATATTTCGACCACCATTGCCCGTATTCCTCGGTGTCCATCTTTGACATCTGCTGCACCCTAATTGGTATCTACTCCTCATCTAATCGAATCGCAACTCGTCATGTATAAATTAACTCCACACCTCCTCCTTTATCTTCAAATCTCAAGATTACTCTGCCAAAATGGCGCCTGGTCATAGGCACGGCTCAGTGCCACCAGTGGTGTTACTCCTACTAGTAGCCACTGTGCTTGGCTCCCTCTGCCTTAGCCTCACCGCTTCACCCGAAGGTACATGAGAAATCACGTACGTGTTGCTCATGTGTTGTGTTTTTTTTATAGAACTTTGACAATGTGGTCGTGCGTGTGTCGTGGCAGCGCAAAAAGGGTACAATTTTCGGTTCGCGAGGCACGCGCGGGACGCGCCGCTGGTGTCATATTACAACTACATCGTCGTCGGCGGCGGCACGGCCGGGTGCCCGCTGGCGGCGACGCTGTCGGAGCGGTCGCGCGTGCTCCTCCTGGAGCGCGGCGGCCTCCCCTACGGCAACCGCAACGTGTCCAGCGAGTACCACTTCGCCGACGCGCTGGCCGACACGTCGCCGAGGTCCCCGGCCCAGCGGTTCGTCTCCGAGGACGGCGTCGTGAACGCCCGGGCGCGCGTGCTCGGCGGCGGCAGCTGCCTCAACGCCGGCTTCTACACCCGCGCCAGCAGCGGCTACGTGCGCGCCGCCGGCTGGGACCCCCGCCTCGTCAACGCGTCGTACCGGTGGGTGGAGCGCGAGCTGGTGTTCCGCCCCGACGTGCCGCGGTGGCAGTGCGCGCTGCGCGAGGGCCTCCTCCAGGCCGGCGTCACGCCGGACAACGGCTACACGCTCGAACACGTCCAGGGCACCAAGATCGGCGGCACCATCTTCGACCGCGCCGGCCGCCGCCACACCGCCGCCGACTTCCTCCGGCGAGCCCACCCGAGGCGGCTCACCGTGTTCCTCCGCGCCACCGTGTCGCAGATCCTCTTCCGACGCACCGGCACGTAATCGTCAACTTGCATGGTTTGCGCAACCATTTTTTAGCTCTAAAACTGACACGACAAGTGTTTGCAGAGGGCACGGCGACGCCGGTGGCGTACGGGGTGGTGTTCACGGACCCGGCGGGCGTGCGGCACCACGTGTACCTGCGTGGCGGCGCCAAGAGCGAGGTGATCGTGACGGCGGGGACGCTGGGGAGCCCGCAGCTGCTGATGCTGAGCGGCGTCGGGCCGCGCGGGGAGCTGGAGAAGCACGGCATCCTCCCCGTGCTGGACCAGCCCAGGGTCGGGCAGGGCGTGGCGGACAACCCCATGAACTCGGTGTTCGTCCCCTCCCCGGTGCCCGTCGCGCTCTCCCTCGTCCAGATCGTCGGCGTCTCCCGCTTCGGCACCTTCATCGAGGGCGTCAGCGGCTCGCAGTTCGGCATCCCGCTCCACGGCCGCGCCGCCTCCCGCCGCGCCCGCAGCTTCGGCATGTTCTCCCCCATGGTACGTTAGGCTAGCTAGCTGCATGCAGCGTGCAAACTAATTAATGGATGTTTCATTACGAGGCAGACGGGGCAGCTGGGGACGGTGCCGCCGAAGGAGCGGACGCCGGAGGCGATGCGGCGGGCGGCGGAGGCGATGCGGCGGCTGGACAGGCGCGCGTTCCGCGGCGGGTTCATCCTGGAGAAGATCCTGGGGCCCATGTCGACGGGGCACGTCGCGCTCCGATCAGCCGACCCCGACGCGAACCCGGCCGTGACGTTCAACTACTTCCGGGACCCGCGCGACGTGGAGCGGTGCGTGCGCGGCATCGAGACGATCGAGCGGGTGGTGCGGTCGCGGGCCTTCGCGCGGTTCACCTACGCCAACGTCACCGCCATGGAGGCCGCCGTGCTTGGCCGCCGCGCCGGCCACCTCCCCGTCAACCTGCTGCCTCGCCGCGCCACCGACACGCGGCCGCTGCAGCAGTATTGCAGGGAGACGGTGATGACCATCTGGCACTACCACGGCGGCTGCCATGTCGGCGCCGTCGTGGACCAGGACTACCGGGTGCTCGGCGTACGTGGCCTCCGCGTCGTCGACAGCTCAACCTTCAAGTACTCGCCCGGCACCAACCCGCAGGCCACCGTCATGATGCTCGGCAGGTAATTTAACCCAAGTGCATGCCTTCATTTTCAGCTAAATTTTGTTTGGTTTGGCGCTTGCTTGGATGAAATTCAGTCGAACATGCATTGCGCACACAGGTATATGGGGCTGAAGATTCAGAAGGAGAGGTGGACGAGGAACGACGAGACACATTAGTTAGCTCTTCTGATCACTTCTGCTTGATCTTATTCACGGTGGCGTACGATAATTTCTTCGTGTAGTTGGTAGCTTTGAGAGACCCAGATATTTCTTTCTTCTTTGATAGAGATTGATAATAGTCTGATTGTGGACTAGGATCTGATCCTGTGATCCATATGTACTTGCAGTCTAGCTTGCATGTTTTCTGCATTGTTTGATAGCGTTATTTAGACATGACCACACATCCAACATTCAATTAGTATTTTGGTGGATATGTGTTTGCAACTCTGCGTCAAATATTTTCGGGATTGCCTATCCATTTGTCGGGTAATTTCTAGCAAAAAAATCACCCAAATTTTTTCTACCCTTAGATTTACATCCAACGAGCTAAAAAAGAAAATAACAAATATATATTTACTTACACGGTATTTTTATCAAAATTACAGTGTACTTACATATCATATCAACTGAATTTATAAATGTAATTTTAGCTATATAGGACTGTAATTTTATATTTTAAAGAAAATAACAAATACATATTTACTTACACAATATTTTTTATCAAAATTACAGTGCACTTACATGTCATATCGACGGAATTTACAAATGTAATTTTAGTTATATAGGACTGTAATTTTATATTTTAATTAAAATAACAAATACTCCTTTCGTATTTTAATGTGCGATGCCGTTGACTTTTTGACAAACGTTTGACCTTTCGTCTTATTCAAAAAAATTTATGTAGTTATAATTTATTTTATTATGACTTGATTTATCATTAAATGTTCTTTAAGCATGACATAAGTATTTTTATATTTGCATAAAATTTTTGAATAAGACGAGTGATCAAACGTTGGTTAAAAAGTCAACGGCGTCATACATTAAAATATGGAGGGAGTACATATTTACTTACACATCATTTTTATTAAAATTACAGTGCACTTACATGTTATGTCAACTAAATTTACATATCTAATTTTAGTTAAATAGGACCGTAATTTTAGTTAGAGAGGAGAACGTACGAGAAATGAAGAGTGATTCCGGGCGGAGTTTGCGAGAGAGAGAAGAAAGAAACAGGCAGGCGTGCAAATAGAAAATCCGTACCGTGAAAAAAAAAAAGGGGTCGGAGCATCGAACCACGACCTTATCAACATGTGCACAAATCTTGTTGGCTTGGTGCACACATCGTGTGGCCGAAATATCCGTGAAATCGCTGGAAACAAATCACCCGACAGATTTCTAGCGAAATCGAATATTTTCAGGTAGGAATCCATGTATTGAACTGTACATCTATAAGCTTCAGAGGTACACTTGCCCAGGTGGGCCCATTCATTTATGCGACAGCAGCAACGGCCCATGGGCCTTAGAAATCACCTAATCTGCACAAAATGAAATGAAAGAGCACTTTGGACCTTTTTTTTTTACCAAAGTTTCACTAGGCCTTGTTTAGGTCCCAAAATCTTTTTTTCCAAAAACATTACATCGAAACTTTGGATGTATACATGCAGCATTAAATATAGATAAAAACAAAAACTAATTGCACAATTTGCATGAAAATCGCGAGACGAATCTTTTGAGCCTAATTAGTCCATGATTAGCCATAAGTGCTATAGTAACCCACATGTGCTAATGACGGCTTAATTAGGCTCAAAAGATTCGTCTCGCGGTTTCCAGGCGAGTTATGAAATTAGTTTTTTTTATTCGTGTCCGAAAAAACCCCTGTCGACATCCAGTTAAACATTCGATGTGACACCCAAAATTTTCTTTTCACGAACTAAACAAGGCGTATATATCACTATTATCCAGTATTTTCACTTTGGAATATATATTTTCATCTTACTAATAAAATGCTCATTACTTTACCATGGATAAAATGTACGTGCTTATTTAAATATATGTTATTCACTTAATTTAAATAAACATTAGACTATTATATGATATAAAAAATGTCATGAACTAATTTATAGGATAAGCAAAATTAGTGGTGGTGAGCTAGTGGCCACCACCACTATTGTATTTTATAGTAAAGTATAGATCGTAATTTGGACTACCCAAGCTACTTCTTCGGCACATCAGCAAAGCTCAAACACATTGGCGAACTTCCCTACGCTGCCAAATGCCAATATGCCATACCTTTGTCAGAGTAGAGATTAGATATGGCTAAAAGAATAGGGCTGGGTTAGTTTAAAGTAGAACAAAACAAAAGCTGATTAGTCCAAAGTAAATATATTAAATAAAAAGTGATCAAAAGTGAAACTATAGCGATAATTCAAACTACAATTCACTGGAAATGCAACGAGTGTAGAAAACACAAGGAAGCTTTGATAAGCTCCTTGAACTTCTCCGACGGCGAGTCGGCACCGAATAATCACAAATGTAGGCGAGTAAATTATGGGCTTGTTTGGTTTGGAGCCAATTTTTATCCAACCAAAATCTTGGTAGTGCCAAAACATTGGTAAATTTTGGCACTACCAAATTAAGTAGTATTCAACTTAAACTATTGTGGGTAGAATTTGGTAGCAAACCAAATATATACTTGCTACTATTTAAGTTACCAAAATTTTGGTAGGGTAATAAATTAGAACCAAACCAAACAGGCCCTATACAACTGCTATACATAAGATCAGACAAAGCTTTCAATCTCCCATGATTCGTCGTGGTGTGGATGGATCAATGATCAATCGATCCCGATTCCCAATCTCAAGCTCCCAACAAGAACTGAATTGAGTTCCGGCGCGCGTTCACGTCGGCATACACGTATATACTCGACCCACTCAGTGTGGCAACTGCCAACCAACTCCATTGTATCGATCTCCTCTCCCATCCCATGGCCCTGCGCCTCAGCCTGCAGTTTCCTCCTCGTAGCTTTAGCACAAGCAGACGAGCACCACCTACTACCTGGCACCTACCCACCCCGATCCTTAACACTCCTTGTGAAAAATGCTGCTACAGACCGCGAAGAAAATAGTACTACTAGTACTATGCATCTCCCCTTGTTTGTCGTCATTGATTGTGGTCAATCGTATGGGTCGTGATATGCAGTTTGAAATTAGTACTACCTCCGTCCCAAAATAAGTGCAGCCATAAATATCCGTATTTAGCGCTTTGACCATCCGTCTTATTTGAAAAATCTATGAAAAATATTAAAAAAATTAGTTACACATAAAGTACTATTCATATTTTATCATCTAATAACAATAAAAATACTAATCATAATCTTTTTTCAAATAAGACGAACGGTCAAACGTTGAACATGAATAGTGCTAAAACTGCACTTATTTTGGGACGGAGGGAGTACTAGAACTGTTGCTGAGAAGGAGGAGGAAAGGAAGTACTGTGAGCGTGTGGAACCCCGCATGAATGAAGATGCTACAATCTACACCACCCGTGAGGGAAGGCGAACATTTGAGACTTGAGAGCAGAGCATAGTGTGCCGTTGTCGTAGCGAGACTCCACGAAATCGTGAAATCGTCGATTCCAATTCCGCCTTTCTAATCGAAATCAATTTAATCGTTTGGCCCACGGCTGATAAGAAACTTTTTATGTTGGTGTTTCGTAATCTAAAGACTAATATTAAAAACTAAACGTGATTAAATAAACTTCAAAGTCTAAAATTTTACTACTAGGCCGAGTTTAGTTCTAAAATTTTTATTCAAACTTCTAACTTTTCCATCACATCAAAACTTTTCTACACACACAAACTTCTAACTTTTCCGTCACATCGTTCAAATTTCAACCAAACTTGTAATTTTAGCGTGAACTAAATACACACTAGCTACGACGCAACTGAATCTTAGGGCCTGTTTAGCACAGCTTCAGCTCCAGCTCCACCCCTTCTGTAGGTGGAGCTCAGCTCCCATCGGATGGCCCAATAAGCCAAAGAATAAGCCAAATTTTGAATTTTCAAACTTAATTTTGAGATTGATTTCGAGATATTTTCAACATAGTTTTTTTTCAACATTGGCTTTTAAGTTACAAAGAACACATATATAAAAGTTTTATCTATAAATTTATTTTTATTCCCTAATAAACCGTTTTGGTTTATTAGAAAAAAAGCCAACCGATGGGGCTTTCACAAAATAAACTAGAGTTATGGAGCTGGGTTTAGCAGCTACACAACTTCACTCCTAACCCAACTTCTAAAGCTAAATTTAGTACCAAACAGACCCATAGCTGCAAGACGGGGGATCCGATTCCAGTATAGAATCATGAGACAGAATACTTGTACTACTACCACTCAAGGGTCTTTACCGTGACGCCATCAGTCTGTTCATCTGCAGGGTGCTTGCTTGCATGGCAGCATGGAGTCCCAGACTCATCATCCAGCTCCGGCCGGTCGACGCAGGGGAAGATGGCGCCATAGATCCAGATTCTGTCCACGTGTTAGGATCCGAGGGCAACCAGCGAATCGAAGGCGATACCACCGAGGGATGTCAGCTGTCACCTCAGTAATTACCAAATAAGAACAGGTAGACTATTAGTCAGCTACAAATATATTTTAATTTTAATGAGATAAAAGATAAGAGAAAAGCGCAGCAGAATACATATCTGTAGCCAGCTGCAGCATGAACTCCAAAACGTAATGTGTGTATGACAGGTGGGACTATATATTAATAGTACAGTAAATAACTATGGTATGAATTGGCTATTAGATTGACTATAGACACTAAAGTTAAGAAAAGAATAACCACACACAAAAAAAAAACACACCGTGATAAATAAACGGACTGAAGGAGGAGGCGGCATGCACAGTAGGAGGCGTATATAAAACCGACCGGTGCGAGAGGAGAACCCGCATCACATCCACCTCCTCCTCGCTCGATCCGCTCCTGTAGGTACTCGTACTACTCCAATTCTTTCTCTCGCCTACGCCTTCCTCCCAATCTTGTTGTTTCGGCGGCGGCGGCGGCGGCGGCGGTGAGGGAGATGGCGGCGGAGAGGAAGGACGTGGGCATTCTCGCCATGGACATCTACTTCCCGCCCACCTGCGTGCTCCAGGTCAGCCACCAATCGATCTCATCTCCCGATTCTTCCCTACTGATCAACCTCGTCGATCGTATCATATTTCTCCCACTACAATCCGTGTTTTTCTTTTACAAATTTAGTCCCATGTTTTCAACTTTTCATAACTTGCAAACACGAGTGCAATCAAAACAAGATTTGGAGGAAGAGGAATCCTTCAAATATTTTTAGAAGAAAACATGAGCGTATTGAGAATTGAACACATTATCTCGAGTTAAAACCACACACCTCTTATCACTCAAACAGAGTGCAATCGCAATCTAGTCAGATCTTTTGCCTTTGGATAACCCTTTCCGTTTTCTCGTTTGTTCGGGAGATCGAGTAAAAAAACACACACACCCTTTGCGTGACTTTCTCTGCGTAACTGTGGTGGAATCACGGTTGGTGAGAGGTTTACTTTACTACCGGTTTCCGGTGAAGATTTTCCAGCTTTCCACCCCCTTCTTCGCCAGCATCGCAGCGGGGAGAACCAGCCACGTGCGCCTGGGCCACCTCCGCGCATTCGGTGAACTGGAGCAGAGAGCAAAGAAGAGTTCAGAGTTGCGATTCCAAGTTTACTCCATGGCTGGACTATCCGTGAAAAAAAAAAAGAAAGAAGCAACTAAAAAATAATTTACCAGTAAAACTTTTATAACTTTGGTCTCAGTGGTTTAAAAGCCAATGCTAAAATATCAAATATAAACCGCGATGGAAAAAAATATATATCAAAATCAACTTTAAAATTAAGTCAGCAAATATATGATTGCTGTAGTGAGTACTAATCGTGCTACTCGTTGTAGCTTACGTTACCATTTAGGAGTATAGTACAGGGGAGATTAAAGCTGCCGTTTTCAGGGAGGCGTGATTAATTGCTGACCGCTTACGTGTGGAATGTTTGCACCTGCTTCTGCTTGAGTTGAGAGAAATTAATTAAAATGCTGTTCCGCGGGAGAATTTGCTGTGGAAGATGCCAATTGAAACAGCTTGGCACAGAATCAGTAGGGCCTTGACTCGTTTAAGATTGTGTTGACAATCGATCAAATCACTAGAACTAGATGGTGATGGCTTCCAAGACATGGCGGCTTACTATGCACATGTGTACATTGAATTGGGTGCTGATAAAATGGTTTATGTTCTTCTGCCGACGACCGGGATATGTCGGGACCTTTTCTTTATGGTAGTAGTTCTGTCAGTGATATAACTTGTACAGAGTGGTTGTGTGTTGGCAATATCTCAATGCTGTACATCATGTCGATATTAATAATCTTTATTTCGTGTTTCACCTAGTATTAGACTGCAAATGCATGTGATGTTTGCTACAGGACGAGCTGGAGAATCATGATGGCGTGAGCAAAGGGAAGTACACCATTGGGCTTGGACAGGATAGCATGGCCTTTTGCACTGAAGTGGAAGATGTTATTTCCATGAGGTATGCCTGTTCCTATGTAGAAAAGCACCATTGGTGTGGTAGAGTTGTGTGTCCTACCAGGCTCAAATCCTATTCCTATGCATTTTCAGAGAACATGTGCAACATAGTATTTGTGATTCTGAAGACAAATGTGACCCTCAAGTGTCCTATCCGTGCCCTATAAAGTCAAACAGTGATAAACTATGCTAGATCCTTAGCCAAGGATTTTATGTTGAAATTTTAATTTCAGGAATAAAGACATTAATCTCCATTATTCATTTATCCCTTTTTTATGCATTTAATTGATCGAGAGTTTAACGCAGCTTGACAGTAGTGAAGTCACTCCTGGAAAACTATAAGATTGATCCAAAATGTATTGGACGTTTGGAAGTTGGCAGTGAAACAGTAATAGACAAGAGCAAGTCTATAAAAACATGGCTGATGCAAATATTTGAGGTTTGGACCTTTCAGCAGAACATAGGAGTACATATTATGGTTTATGTGCTTTCATAAGGCTTATGACAACTTTGTTTAAATGCAGGAATGCGGTAATACTGACATTGAAGGAGTTGACTCCTCAAATGCATGCTACGGTGGAACAGCTGCTTTATTTAATTGTGTTAATTGGGTCGAGAGCAACTCATGGGATGGACGTTATGGGCTTGTTGTTTGCACAGACAGCGCGGTATGTACAACTCCAGTGTTAATTGGGAATACTTTTCCTTTCATGTACTCAATTTCGTACTGTACAGATTACCAGTGTACAACTCCATTTCTTTTCCTGGGTTACTGATGATGGCTATATGAGTACATGTATTCATATATATCACGTCCTTGTTTTTCTCATTTTTTTTCTTAGTTTCTGTTATTGACCACCACCACAAATCCACAAGTGTTTTTCCTTAAGTACTGAAGGCAAGCATAATATAGGTTTGCTACTATGGTTCTCATGCTTACATTTTGCATCCAATATTAATTCTATAGCTGACATTTGTCTCTTTAGGTTTACGCTGAAGGTCCGGCTCGTCCAACCGGTGGTGCAGCTGCTATTGCAATGTTGATTGGACCAAATGCTCCAGTTTCTTTCGAAAGCAAGTATAGAGGATCTCATATGGCACATGTCTATGACTTTTACAAGCCTGATCTTGCTAGTGAATACCCGGTCTGCCTCTGGCCCACACAATTCTTACACCTCAAACCCAAGTTCGGATTAGCACATAGAGAACTAGCTTGAAATAAACTGGAATTGATTTATTTATGGCATCTGCAATTTGTTCAGGTGGTCGATGGAAAGCTATCACAGACATGCTATCTCATGGCATTAGATTCCTGCTACAATGTCTTCTGCAAAAAGTAAGCTGTATTCCATATTGCTTTAACACATTAGTCAAGCTGAGCCTGTTGATTGAATCAGAACCCACTGGTTTTCATCTTTCAGGTATGAAAAGCTTGAGGGAAAGCAATTTTCTATTCATGATGCAGACTATTTTGTATTTCACTCCCCATACAACAAGGTACCATAAAAATCTCATATCATGTACCTTAGTAGCATCTTGGTGGTATAGTGGATTACAGCCACAATTGTGCAGACACTTGATATTCACACTTATTTAAGGCATCTTATTCACTGAAAGAAATAGGGCATCTTATTTAAAAAACTTTTCAAATAAATAGAACTCGAGGTTCCCGACATGAGTAGTGAGTAGAATATATGCATATTTAGACTGATTCTTGATTGCATACTGTCACATGACATGGATATGCTGATCTTACCAGTCTGCACTTCGATCTTGGTTAGGAGTCGCATGCTCGCATAACTTACCTTGCCCTTTTGATATGTTGATGTAATTTTCAGAACTTATTTTTTTCCTTTTTCATTGTTTTCTGCAGCTTGTGCAGAAGAGCTTTGCACGCCTATACTACAACGATTTTCTGAGAAAATGCAGGTTGGTCGGTCATGCTTAGCATATTAGGATATAGGAAGACAGTTGACTGGAGTAATATTGTTCAGTTTTTAGTAGTTAACTAGAACTAACTATAACGATTTTTTATGCCTGTTAATTAGCACGGTGGAAGATGGATCAAGAGAAAAACTGGAGCCTTATTCAGGTTTGTCATCCGAGGAAAGCTACCAGAGTAGAGAACTTGAAAAGGTGCGAATATTTCTGCTTGGTCATACCATCTGGTTCTGGACTTTTAATAAGCTGCGTGGTTCTGATACTAACTTTCAATATGCAGGCTTCTCAGCAAGTTGCGAAGCACCTCTATGATTCAAAGGTTCAACCAACTACATTAATCCCGAAACAAGTCGGGAATATGTACACAGCGTCTCTATATGCTGCTTTGGCATCAGTGATGCATAACAAAAATGAAACTCTGGTAAAAAAGGAAAAGAACACTTAGCCTTGTCTTCATTATATTTTCATGTGATAAGATTACCACTTCTCACCCTCCCCTTTTGACATGTCCAGGCAGGCCAAAGGATTGTCATGTTCTCATACGGCAGTGGCTTGACATCAACAATGTTCTCTTTCAAGATCAATGAAGGCCAGCATCCATTCATCCTATCAAACATTGCAGGCATACTGGATGTCTCCAAGAAACTGGAGTCCAGGCATGTGGTAAGTGCAGCTGCTGACCACTGCTTCATCTTGTTGACTGAAAACCTGAAACTAGTAGCTTGACATGAACGGATGAACCTGAATTCCTGATCAACAAATGCTTTGGGCCGCAGGTTGCGCCGGAGAAGTTCGTGGCGGCGCTGAAGCTGATGGAGCACCGGTACGGCGCCAAGGATTTCACGACGAGCCAGGACACGAGCCTGCTCGCTCCAGGCACCTACTACCTCACCCACGTCGACTCCATGTACAGGAGGTTCTACGCCGTCAAAGGTCAAGCCGTCACCGAAGTGTCCAATGGCCATTGAAAAAATTGTGTTGTGATGTGTGGTTCATTCAACCTGAAGCTGCAATAAGCCAACGGCATAGAGGGTTCAGGGCGTGGGTGTACCAAGTTTTCTGATGAAAGCTTGTAAAGGGTGCTAGGTTAGAGCTGTTGGATTAGTTGGTTCGCTATTCGCTAGTAAGGCTTACTTGGTGAAATGGTATCTCCACTTCGTTAATGTTCTTCAGTGGAACACACGGTAGCGAGCTGTAAGAATTCTTAATAATCTGCCGTCCCGTTCTTTTCTCTCCCACAAGAGTAGGATGAAGATTAAGATTTTCGTGGCACGCTTTTCAAACTGCTAAACAGTGCGTTTTATGCGAAAACTTTTTATATGAAAGTTGTTCTAAAATATCATATTAATCTATTTTTCAAGTTTGTAATAATTAAAACTCAATCAATCATACGTTAATATCACATCGTTTTGTGTAAAAAACTTAATCTTCATCTTCAGGAGAAAAAGAACACACCGGATCATGTCATGTTGATTCTAAGCTCTATGTTTCCAGTATATCGCCTACAGATCCCTTTACAAAATATTAGAACTAAAAAAAATTGGTGCGACGATATAAGCATTTCTGATGCATTGATTTTGAAATCGAGCTATCTATTTTATGTCAAATATTTCAGTTGACCACCAACAAAAAAACATTAATTTGTACATGGTGAAAAAAACATAATCCCATTTGAAATGTTTAAGAATAATGTGAAACACAGTGAAATACATGTTGAAACATTTCGCTATCACGCGTGCAACATTAAATTTTAACAATTAAAACACATGTTTTTCTTTCACCGGAATGCAATCACATAACATCTTGTTATAAAGATTTACAACGGTTTTGCTATCATGCAACATTAAAATTTAACGGTTGAAACACATGATTTCCTTTCATTCGAATATAATCACATGACATCTTGTTATGAAGATTTAATTGTAACGAATAAAACAGTGTATTCCACGTTACAAACCTGCCGTCGTATTAGTCTCTCCCTTTTTTCCTTGTTTTTTTTGGTCTTTTCTCTCTTCCCTTGGCATAAGCTGGTCTGGGCTGGTTGCGTTGTGTAAACAAACACTCTTTTCTTCTAATATATTGATGTGCAATTTTTTTGCGCGTTCGCGAAAAAAAAAGAATACAACGATGTACTCGAATTGTAAACCGGATTAATAATTTAAGAGAAGAAAATAATTTAAAGCTTAACAATGGAATATGGTTAATTTACACGGAAGAAGAGAAAAGGGGTGGGAGAGAAATACTAGCAACATGCATATGAGAACGAAGAATATGCGGAGGAAGTAGCTAGTGCGCCCGTTTATTTTTTGGCTAGATCGGACACTCGACCTGAACCATTCTGAAGAGAAATCTAAACAATTTATAATTCGAAATTTAACCATCGAGAGAATGGTAAGAAATTCCTTAAGAAAATTACTATTGCTGAACAGCCTAGAATATTTAACCATCGAGTACTACTGACAGAAATAGCCAAAATGGCCGGCAAGTCTCAGCCCTAATATGCTGATCTGTGCCGTCGATTGCTTGATCGAACGGTCAGGATCATGACTGCGTTGATGAAAAGGGGATATGATACGCCGCCGTGGCCCGAGGCCGCCGCTGCACGCCTGCACGGTATCCCCATTCCATAACCATTCCAGCAACAGCTGTCTCCTTCTCTCTCCGCCGCCGGCGAAACCGCAACGGCGCAGAGGAGAAAATGTGGGAAGCCGAGGAGATCGAGGACGAGGAAACTCTAGAGGCGCTTCTAGAAGCTTCCCGAAGCGCCCAGGGCCGGGCCGCGCTCTCCGACGCCCTCGCCGACACCCTCCACCTCCTGCCGGCCTCCACCCACCGCCTCCTGCTCCTCCGCCTCCGCCTCCTCCGCAACCTCCTCGCCGGCGACGACCTCAACCAGGGCACCTTCGTCCTCCTCTCCGGCCCCGCCGCGGTCGTCTCCTCCGCCCTCTCCTCCCCCTCCGACTCCCCCGACGTCGCGCGCGCGGGCCTCCAGGCGCTGGGCAACGCCGCGCTCGCCGGGGAGCACCACCGCGCCGCCGTCTGGGATGCGCTCTTCCCTGGCTCGCTGCTGGAGCTCGCGCGGGTCAGGGAGAAGGGAGTCCTCGACCCACTGTGCATGGTGATCGACACCTGCTGCTCCGGCGAAGGCGGCCGCGGGAGGCTCGAGGAGCTCTGCCACGAGGAGTTAGGGCTGCCCATACTTGTGGAAATCGTCACTACTGCCTGGCAAGGTGCGTGCGCCGCAATTAGTTGATGCCTTTTTTTTTTATTCAGTAAATTCATCTGGTAGATGTCCTGCAAGCTTTACACAGGTCACACTTGCTATTGTATGATCGTGGGAGCACGAATTGTTTAGCTGTTTGTTTCTGTGAAACTAATGTAAATCAACATGAGTAGGATGTGTGTATGTACACTGTAAATCACATCATAAGGAGTAAGTAAGATGTGCATTCTGTAGACTTCAGCAATAGAAAAGTTTGCGAACTGTTAGTTGTTCATTAGTATGACAGGAAGTGGTAATGTGCTGGAAAAGTTTGGGGAAGTAACTTGTTCATTAGTATGGACAGGAATTGGTAATGTAATATCTGGGCCTTTGGGTCCAATTGGGTATCAGATGCTCTCCTGCTAGTATGTTGAGTGTGGATAGAGGAAACGGAATTTAGTAACTTAAGAGGGTGGTTTGTGATATGGCATTGTTGAAATTTTTAGATTGACATTTTGGCAGATAATGCCTGTTCACCTACTTCATGTGTGGAAATATATCGCCACTGTGTTGTTTTAAGTAAAAGGAGTTCGGACCACACTATCACAGGTTTCATATGTTACATTGAAGTAAAAAAATATATATCAGTGATTGGAGCTGTGATCATGTATATCTTCACATAGTTGCCTGCATCATGTCTAAAGTGCTGGATCTGTGTTTCCTCACATATTGAGGGCAGGATTTCACGTAACTATAACTTGAGAAATAATACAGTCATATTTTTTTTCTTTATTATGTAACTTTACTTCATAGGGACTCCTTAGGCTGTTGTTGAAGTTCACATTTTGCTCTCAGGTTGTTTTATTTGTTTACATTTTTAATTTATGGTTACTTTGATATGAGTCTAATCCGAGGTATAAAATGCAGTGGGGCATGATGAAGAATGGTTAGAATGGCTTCTCTTCAAAATCTGTGTTGAGGAGCAAAAGTTTGAAACATTGTTTGTAGCTTTATGCTCACGCAATGATGCTGAGCACAGTGATGGTGATGAATGCAAAACTGAGTTTAATGCTAAGCATGCATATCTTTTGGGTAAATTGTCAAAATGTTTGGCTAACCGACCTAAAGAAGTCAGTGTATCGATCAGTTTTGCACTTGATATTTTCAATGCACAGAAGCATGCTGCTGAGATTGTGGATTTTACTTGCCGAGTTAACTCTCCTCTTCCAACTGGTCACCCTGCAATTGATGTACTTGGATATTCATTGGTGCTCTTGAAGGATATATGTGCTTGGGAATCCCCTCCGTCAGACACACAGGCTCCTGTTGACTCACTGATGCAGACTGGTCTTGTAAAGCATCTTCTAACGTACTTACGTGAGCTAGAACCCCCAAGTATGATCAGAAAATCTATGGCAAGGGGACAAGGAGATCATCAACCAGCCTTAGGAACTGCAAAAGTCTGCCCATACATTGGTTACAGGAGAGATGTAGTCGCTGTGATTGCTAATTGCTTGCATAGAAGCAAAAAAGTGCAGGATGAGGTGAGGCACCTGGATGGGATTATTTTACTCTTGCAGCAGTGTGTTGTTGATGAAGAAAACCCATACTTGAGGGAGTGGGGTCTTTTTGCTGTGAAGAACTTGCTTGAAGGAAATGAGGAAAACCAGAAGGAGGTATCTGGACTTAAGATGCAAGAAGCTGTTATAACTCCAGAGATTGCTGACATAGGTCTAAGAGTGGAGATAGACAAGGAAACAGGACATCCGAAACTGGTTAATAACTGATGATGTAAGTATCTCGGACCAGAAGTTAAACTTAATTACATGTATACATCAACTGTATCTGCATTTTCTTGTCATCTTGTAATCCTATGATGGTTTTTGATATATGGTTGGTCCCACATCTAGTTTTGTAGTATTTCAAATCTCACTTATAGTTCTGTTATTTAAATTTGTGCATATATTATCTTGTGATTGGCAACTATGTGCTTGATTCATAACTGAGATGTATGTTCAAATTTTCATATGAAGAAATTTGGCTTGCATGCAAACATTTTAGTATCTTCTGGCTTCTAAAGTTGCTGAAAGACTGGTGTTTGTGTAACCTTGGTATGTCAAATGTTGCATTGCGTTGCCTGACAGCATATTTTGTTGTGCAGACTTTCCATTTTGATCCTTCATGTTTGAGGTGAAAAGAAAAGGGAGATCAGACTCACGTACCGACGTTCCTCTCATTAACGGAAGCAAACTAATATTGCCGCTGCCTTCTGCACCCCCGGGAAGATAGGTGTTGCTTTTTTTCATTAATGTTAGTCATGTTAATATTGATGGCGAGCATTTGAACCACCGGGATTCAGATACTTTCTTGGAGAAATGAATGCTAATGGTTTTTTACGTTGCATCAAAACAGTGATGTGATGAGATGTTTCTAGATCCACTCTTATCATAGGCGTCCGTTTTTTAATCCTCGGCGTGTGCTGTTATTTGGTGGCTAATATGTTGATCCTGGTATTCTTTGATAGCCTTTGGGTATTTAGCTTTCACTGTGGCTGTCAGATTTCCACTGTAATCGCTTTAAGCAAAGCATGATTCCCATGTTTGGCTTTCAGCCGTCCTGTTTCTTATACGTCGGCGGAGCTGCAGCATATCACAGCCAATGCAGTAACAGAAGATAAAACACAAATTTGATGTCATCACCTTCCAAGTTCATGTTGGATCAGTTACATGCTTTAGTACAAAGGTTTGTAAAATGGAAAAGTTAGCCGTTCGTCTATAGCATGCTCAGGTCTATAGTACTTCAACACAAGCATGGAGAATTCTCCAGCTAAGCAAATACAACATCAGAACGAAGCACATACTTGATATTCTTTTTCACAACCCGTGCTTCATGCAGCATGCATTTGGCACCATGAAGATGGAGTAGAGCCAGTCCTTGCACTGGAGCAACCTACAACAGAAGTAACCTCAGGTTAGGGGTTAGGACCAGCTTCGACGGTAATGGCAGCATTATAAATTGTGATGCAGGGTAGACTCATGCCAGCATAATAAAGGTGATATCATCAACCCCATATGGATCACCAAACTTCAAGTGGGCAATCTCTTTTCGTCAGAGCAACGTAGTTTTTCGACAAGGGTGTCATTGATGGAATTGCCAATGGAGTAGATCTTGCTAGTTTTTGTATAGCATAAGAAATTAAATATGTAGAGGGAGGGTGAATTTCGTCTTATTTATTCTTTATGTATGATCCTTTCAGTTTCATGATCATATATGCATCTCAACCTCTTTCTGACTTAGCTAGAAAGAACATGTGTGCACATTAATTTCAAGGTTAACTTCCAGATGAATGACAGACTAAACATACAATATATAGCTTGATACCAGACCCAATTTTCCATAGAACCAAACAAAAAACATATGAAATGGTCTAGCAAACAGTTGATCTTATAAAACATATTGCAATTTCAGAATCAGAAAATACCTCAGCGACAACTCCTCCACGATGATCATAAAAAACAGTCTCCCCTCCAACAAGAGCTTGCCCTGATGATTCCTTTGCACTTCCTTTGCCAGAGAGGTATATTAGCAAAGTATACAATGTTCTTGAACCATCTCCAAGGTCGACACTCTCATCAATATGCCTACCGAATCGCTGACCTTCAGTGTACCTATGAGGATGAGCAACAAGCAGCAATCAAGAACAGTGGCAATTTGTCCAACAGTGTGGTGCTAGTGCATCATCTTTGTTCAACTTTTGATAGCACACATACCTGTAGAACCTGATATTTGGATTCAAGCTGGTTGCTACTTTGCCAGAGATGCTGATGTCCTCAAATATTTTGTTTATCCCAGATTCCCAAATGGTCTGAGCAAGCAAAGGATCTGTCACAGATATCCGGTCATTATCTCTATAAGCTTCACCCTTCAGGGGTCCGAGGCTGCCCTGGTGCGTGAAGCCAATATTCTCAGCAATGTCGACAAAGGCCTTCGCCTCAGCGGAAGTGAAGAAGTTTGGCACCTATTTCAGTTTCAAGTAAGGCAATTGTCCATAAATAATAGGGAAACAATTATCAACTCTGTAATGAACCCTGTTATGCTTTCTTAGTAAAGCTGGGCGCACTGCCCCTGATCTAAAAACAATTATCAACTCAGCCAAAATATTGCTATGCCAACTGAACGGTCTCTTAGCATTTTCTCCTTGTGCATCAAATAGCATTTCATCCTAGCATACGCTTCATCACTTTGTATTCAGGAAATCTATTTGATTACTGCATTTAGAATCAACCGCACAACACAAGTAGAGCCAACCCAGATGATTCCCTAACACTCAAATCAAAATTGGCGCTCCTGGTGGTTCGCGGAAATCAAGCATCTAGTCTCTAATCGCCTTCTAGAAGCACTAATTCGAGCAGCAGTATACTAGATGCAGACATCAGAATTCAGACATGGTTGGGGTCAAAAGGGGAAGGTAGGCTTACGGTGAGGAGGTGGGTGCCCTTGAGGCGATTGACCTGGAGATCCTTCTTCGGCTTGACCGGTGGCCACCTCCCGCCGCCTCCGCCGCCGGAAGCGCCGCCCTTCTTCCCCTTGTTGGCCGCCGAGGATTTGTTCCGACGCTGCTGCTGCGGCGGCGGCGCGGCGTCCCCTCCCGCCGTCTCCATGGCTGCAGCCCTCTTCCGCTTCGGTGGCATCAAGCTGTGCAGCGACTTGGCTACGCGGCTGGTAATCCCCTCATCACCGTTGGATTCAGAAGATTCTCCCTTCCTGACATTGAATCTGGACCGTAGGAGTTGATTGCTGGGTCAGATTTGACCGCAATCTTGACAAATTGAACCTTCTATAAAACTTATTTCAATAATAAAACCGCGGCAAAAATTATTTTGAGAGATAGATCGCGACCTAGACATGAGGTATAATGTTTTTAGCACCATTATATTTGACATGAACATATTGACCGATGTGAGTATGTGACATAATTTGTTAGATCAGGATTAATCGTGTCACGTTAGATAATATATCAGCGCAAATGTTAATAACATTGAGATGTTATATCAACGAGGATGGCCCCTAGGTCACGATCTATTTTTAAATAGCTTTTAGCGTGGTGTATTGTTGAAATAAGTTTTGAAAAAGAGCTATTTTATCAAAATTTCGGCAGATATGATCCAGGATTCCAATCTGGAAGGGGGTGAAGTTGATAATCTAACACGTAGGAAGGGCTCTTATGCAAATAGAACTTATAAATCATGACCGTTCAATCAGGATCGAACGGTGTACGAATCACGAGTTCGTGTCGGCGAGCGTCCGGCCTCACGCGACGGGAGCCGGTGGAGCTCCGGCGAGCGGCGGAATTGTATGCGGGAGGCATCGCCGGCGGAGAACCCTAATCCCTCACAGGGTTCGATCTTCGCGGCAGCCCGGGAGCGGCTGGAGACCGTGCGCCGCTGCCTGAGATCGCCGGCGAGAAGCGGTGTATACCCTGCCGCTGCTGGAGACCAAGATAAGAAACAATCTCGCGGCGAAATCTAAGAAATCTGTGTTGATCCCAACCCAAAATTTCACATCCTCCAAATCGTAACGAAGAAAAGAGAAAAATCTGCACATCTACAACGAATGCAACGCGTCCAGGGCTGCTTTCACAAGAATCCCTTCTCAAGAATCGCAAACGAAAACATCTTTATCCTGTTTCATATGGTGAGGTTTTCTTGGATGGGCAGGAACGTGCCGCAGATGTTGCCGCCGAGGTCCGGGAACGCGGCGCATCCCGGCAGGGGCTTCACCTTGCCGTCGCGGGCGACGCTGACGGGGTACTTGACGAGGTGCCCTCTCATCTCGCTCACCTCGCTGGAGGCGAACTGCCTCCAGTTCTGCTCCCCGATGTGCCGAACCTGCCTCGTGCACTCCAGGCTCTCTGGGCAACTGAAGCTTTCCTCCACCGCTCCAATGTGCTCTGCCCACAGTGACATCCTGTACCCGTAGATCTTCGAGCTCACCAAAACCAATCCATCAGCGCAACTGTGAAATCTGTGGAATTTTGGGTGATCAAGGGATCATTTACCTGTCCACGAGGAGCAGAAAGCATGTTTGCCCATGTGTACTGGGGCTGGTACGCTCCCATGGCGATCTCGGTGTCTCTGGTTCCTTCCATGGATCTCTGGTTAATGTTAGCCGATCCAATTATCACGTATTCATCATCCACGATCATCCCTTTCGAGTGCACATACACCATGAACCTCCGGTTCTTCTTAGCTTGATCCTGAATGTACAGGTCGCAGCAAGACAAATCTGAACTCTGAATGTACGGATGGCATACAATTTGAGTATGCTGCGAGAGAAGCAGAAGTACTGCAGTCTCACCTGGGGATTGTTGGCTGAACTTGATCCTCTGCAAGTGCTAGGACTGCCGCCTGCTTCACGATTGCCAAGACAGAAGAAGTTCAGGTAATCCTGTGGCTCATATGTGTTATCCAGCCCTACTTCTTTCAATGCCTTGTGAATTACCTCATACATCATTTGCATTGTTTTTTTCTACAATGACAACAACAATGACAACAAATAAGTTACATTGCTATACTGAGAGAAGTTAGCTCTGTAGAATGTAGTAGCAGATAGTACACAGTTGAGCAGACTAGAAGACAATGCTAGAGAGACGCTCTAACCTGCCAGTAAAGTATTCTCTGTGTAGGAGCACCAGTAGGATTACCTTCAGGCCACATTGGAATTACTATGTACGCTGAAAACCTCTCATTGGCATAAATCTTGTTGGCAATTTTGAGAGCTATTTCAATCGGTATTAAGTTATTAGCACCTGCAGCAGAACAAATTTTAAGTCCTGAAATTAGGGGCAACCATAAGTACTTGTCGTATTTATTTACGTCATGATAAGGGTCAAGAAATTTTGAATTATTCTCCAACATAAAGCAGCAAATTTTAAATGAAGTTACTATTAGAGAACGCAATTGGAACGTGCCATAAAAGGCCAGAATACATTGAGTTGAACAACAAGATTTGAAGCAAACAAAGCTCATGCTTACCTACATCTTTATGTGAATCCCAATTAAATGAAGAACCAAGGAAATACTGATTTTCAATATAGATGAAGTGTTGAGCTCCTCGGATTGCATTCACATAAGCGGTTTGTACGCTCATATCAATTAGTACGTTTTTCCCACAAACGAGATTCTGTCAACCAAAGGAAAAGTCTGTGTCAGGTAAATACAAAGAATAACCAAACATAGCATAATTGGGTGAAATTTATATCTTAGTTACCTTACTGGTTGCTTCTCTTGGATTTTTGGGAAAACCCTTGACAGAATTTGAATCAATTGACCGGAATATCTGCTTCCAAGTTAATACTGTTCAGTGCTGTTTGGTCACATACTTTGTTTATCTGTAGCTGTGAAAACCTTTGAAGGATCTTACCTGAACATCCCATCGCTCTGGATCATTGTCACTTGAATACACTTCATCGTCAATGCTTGCAATATCAGGTATCCTTCCAATCCATAGCAATGTGTCATTATTTGCCTTTGACAATTTTTTAACCCCGCTGCGCTTGGATGCCTTTAACCAGCGCTCCTCAAAGTTTGTCAAGACATCATATGCCGCTGGGCCATCAATCTTAGAATGCAAATCATGCCATGGTTCTCTTGGCCCTTGGGCATCAAGTACCTGCAAATACAAGATGCGTCAATTACAGGAACTATTTTCATGTGTATAAACCACATACAGTGATACAGGCACATGAACAATAGGACAAAGTAATCTCACCGCAAAGTTTGGGTTATAATAGTCGTCCTTGTGCAATGTCTGGAGAGACCGAAAAAGAGGATGAGTAGGTGTATCATATCGTCCACCGCATAAATCAAGGCCTCCAACAAAAGCAACTATTTTCCTTTTATGGTTGCCGGCATCAGCATCCAGAATCACTGTTTTCTGATGATGTGTAAAAATGGTTCCGGTCTCCTGGTTCAATTTTCAACTGTTAACATCATTACATGGTCCACAAGAACAGCTATTTTGACTAAAAAGATGTTAGCTGGTGACATGTGTCTATATGAAGCAAATTATGGCATTCAGAGGAGACAAAGCTTACTGAAGAAAACAAATTGTAAATAAACAACCTGCTGCTTAACCCAGCTGTGCCTTTTCCCAGCAGAACGCGGGCAGAGCAGTATCTGAACTGAAGAATGCTTGAAAAATCTACGGGTCTCCTCATCCCGTGTGCCCATGTAACCTTCCTATAGAGAAAACTCTGACAACAAGTCAAGCTGTATTTGCATGAATATATTATTCACAGGTTTTCAGAGATCAATGTGTCACTCCATCAACCCCAACTACCATTAGACAAAGCAATGAAATTTGGACCAGAAGCCAAATAAGTGGTGTGACCATCAGTTTGATACAAGAAACAAATAGCCGAAAATTAATTTTGTGATTGCATGTTGCATTGTGCATACCATCTGGATACCAAGGACGTTCCTTGACGTTGGATCGTCCCAGACGAGGAGCAGCACCCTCACCCCCTCCTGCGACTTCCTCTTCAGCAGATCGCCCAGCGAGACGCCGGCGCCGCCGTCCCGCACAAGCTGAATGGTGTGGAACACCGACCACCCGGTGATATAGATGAGCCTCCTCGCCTGCGATATCGCGTCGTAGACATCGTGCCAGCATTGGCCTTGCCGGTAGAGCGCGCCATTGCCCAGCCTGATCTCCGGCAGCGAGCCCTCCGGCACATGCGCGTCCTGGTACAGCGTCACCCGGCCGCCGCGGCGCAGCGGGAAGTAGGTGTTGGGGACGCCGGCGAAGTCCGGGCCCGGGGTGACGCCGTGGTGGTACATGGTTAGCCTCGCCACGGGGATGTACTGCACCGACAGCCGCAGCACGGCGCCGGGGGCGCACGGCTTGCCGGCGGCGGGATCGAGGACCGGGTAGACGCCCTCGACGTGCTCCCCGGCCTCGAGCTGCTCGGCGGGGACGACGACCTCGCCGATGAGCTCGGCGCCGAAGACGTCGCTGTCCTTGACGAGGAAGTGGACGGCGGGCGCCTCGTGCGCGACGGGGATGAGGAAGTGCTGCGCCCACACGGGGTTCTCGTCGTCGTTGACGACGTAGGTGCGCGCGACGGTGGCGGACGCGAGCTGCACAGTGACGTAGGGGTCGCTGGTCATGGCGCCGTTGGCCGCCTTCTTCTTCTTCTTCGTCCCGAGGATGTCGACGACGGTCTTGGAGACGATGTCCATGTTTGGGAGGTTCCGCGCCTCGTGGATCCATATGTCAAGGCTGCCGTGGAGCATCGCCGACCGCCGCGACGCCGACGACGAGCCCCAGACGCCGTGCCCGTGCGGCCACACCACATCCATCCCGCTCCAATTCGACGATTTCGCGTCAACTGTTCGTGCTGTTTTACCTTGATCGATCGATGATCTCGTTGCATGTGCCTCGTGTACGTCGCATGTCCTCCTCTCCTCCCGGTTGATCGCTGCTTCCCCTGAAATGGAGGGGAGAATGAATGGGCCGTGGGCCCATGGACAAATGCCGTCTGATCTGTATGTACTCTCCAGGGCCCACTTGCCGTATTGCATTGCACCGCGACAAGTTTGTAATGCTGTGCCAGATCAGCCGTACGATCAGGTGTAAGCTCTGAATCGGGACATCACTTGCGCGTGCGCTTGTTGGGCTCAAAAAATGATACCTGGGGCCCACAATATTGCGCCACGTCAGCGGCTCAGGGTTGGCCCATATAATCACATGGGCCTGACTGCCCCGTGTGCTTGGAAAGGACGCTACTCAAAAAATATCCAACACAAACACAGTGTGTACCCCCTGGACCATATATATCGTCACATTCACCGCTGGCATCCGTGTGCATTTGATTTGATTTTCATCTCTTTTGGTCCTCTCCCTGACGCCATGGGGGTGCCTTTTTGCAGGTCAGTACGGTCGGTCTGTGAATGCACCGCTGTTGCTGGCTTTGGGCGCCTGCGACTCGATGCGAGCTCATGCCTCAAGTGTGAGGAGATCAACAAGATTCTGGGAGACGCACACGCGCACCAACAGTGTCAGCGTATGTACTCCTCGGCTCCAATGCTCTCAAGTCTTCTCATCAGGCTTTGATCGATCGATCTGTATCCTCTCTTTCTGCTGCTCTCTGATGATGTACTGTGCAGATGATGCGCATCTCGTGAGCTGCTACTGCTCTTTCTGTTCCAAACTCTGTGCTGAGAAGTTCAATCAACGGGCCTGAATATATAGCCATTTTTGGTGTATTCCGATCGACTTTTTGGAACGTTTTGCTGATAGGGAGGAGGGAATGCCGGAATGGTAGGTGCCCAGCATGAACGTGGAGGGCTTGAGCGAGATGCCTGGTCATAACCCGGCGGATCACGCGAGCAAACACCACCAAAACTTCGGCTCCACCTCCTGTTTAAGCGTGGCTAACCTTTTGGCAGGCTGGCAGGCAGCTGCCACCAGCAAAAGAGTGTACAAAATGAGGGAATTAGGGATGTTGTACCTCTCCTGAGAAAATGTGATGCCTTTTCATGCAGATCCAGTTCTGTTTTTATCTGAAACCATCATGGGTTATATTCATGCGCGCCGGAGGAAAGCACAACTCCAAGCAAAGTTGCTTGTACTACGTACTGTATTTGATACCTCTCCCTTCTTGTTGGTGATCTCGTTCCTCTCTACGAGCACATAGGAGTAGTAGAAGATAGTGACAGACAACCCAGCTGGTTCTTTCCTCCCAGATGCTAAAATGTTCGATTAGTACAAGGCGATCGAAAGGCACTTTTCTCTCTAGACGAAATTAGCGGTCCATGAAGGTAGCACATGCCTCGGTTTTTCGTTTTTAAGTACACCATGTTTAATGTTTGCTCCCTATTAGCAGCTTTCCAATCTCAATGCAGCAACAGCATGAGCAAGGCTTGTAGTAACAAACTTTGAGGTTTACAAACCAGGAAGTTAATTAGATCCTACCCACCAAAGTGTGGCTAGTTAATATGCTACTACTACCACTACGAAACTAAATCTGAAACAGTACATCTTTTTCTTTAGACCTGAACAGGCATTTGTTGGTGCCATGGTGTACCTAGCAACTGTTCGGTGTGTAGGAGTATTTGTTGTTAACCGAGAAACGAGAACAGCTTCAGAAAATGCAGCAACACGCATGAGACAGTACAAGTCCACAAGGTCGGAACAGTACAGAATTGCTCATCTCGCTAGCTCAGCTCAGCTCTCATGCGTGTACGGTGTCGCAGCGAATGAAAGTTACAGGCTGGAAAAATTGATGTTGCCGTCTGAAAGTGAATGTGGGGGTAGGAACGCCATAAAAACGACCGAGAGTTATGATCCCTGTGCGCGTATGACAGAACGCGTCTTCAGTAATGGCGAAACCCGGGCTAGCTATGCTATTGCTATGCATCTCTGTCTCTCGTTATTACTCCTGTGACGTTTTCTGGTTGGCATACGGTCCATACGGATCGAGCAAAGCAGCGGCTCCATAATTTTACAGCAGCTGCAGCTGGCCATCATCAGTTCACGGCCTTCAAACTCGATCGAGCAACCCAAAGGAAAAATCTCAAGCAAAAAAAGGCGGTGGTTTTAGTGCTCCATCTCCGATCTCCAAACGCGTTGGAATTCTCAGTGCACATCTTAAAGCGTACTCCCTCCCTCCGTCAAAAAAAAAAAGACAAATCGGGAAAAAAAGACAAAAAGAAAAAAAATTTATGTGTCCAATTTTGACTGTCGGTCTTATATAAAAATTTTTTATAATTCGTATTTTCATTGTTGTTAGATGATAAAACATGATTAATATTTTTGTATGTGACTTGTCTTTTTAATTTTTTTCATAATTTTTTCAAATAAAACGGACAGTCAAACGTTGGGCACGGAAACCAGGGTTTGTCTTTTTTTTTAGACGGAGGGAGTAGGAGTACTAGTCCAATTGATTTTATGATCTGTACCAGTACTAGATTCAATTAAACGGAATGATTGAAATGCCGGATCGATCGAGTCATCTTACAGACTAAAAATCCATTATTTTTCCAGTATTTACACAACTCCGTTGCAGCTGAGCTTGCTGCCGTTACAACGATCGGTAGCCCTATACAACAAATCGATCCGTAATACGCCTACGTCGCCATACGTTACGTACACCGGACACGTACTCTGAGTGCATTCTACTCTCGTCGAACACGAGCAGAGAAGCTGCTGATTTTGCTGCTCAATTCGATCCACTACACGACGGCCTTCGCTGGCGGTATCACGATCGGGCTCCTCACGACGTGCTCGTCGGAGACCCACTTGAGGTTCCCCTCGACGCCGGCGACGGCCGGCTGCCCTGCCCACCGCACGGTCACCGTGAAGCTCTGCTTCTCGTACGCCCTGGAGAAGCGCAGCAATGGCGGGTGCACGGTGACCGCGACGTTCTTGGGCATGTCCACCACGGCGGTGTACACGGAGTTGGCCTTCCCGACGTTGGTCACGATGCGGTGGACGGTGATCGGCTGGGACAGCAGCTTCACCACCAGCGACGGGTAGTTGAGCTCCGCCTCGGTGATGGCCTTGAGCTTGGCGCAGGAGACGCGGCGGTGGGTTATCTCCTTCACGCCGTCGTCGCCGATGCCGAGGCCGCAGAGGTAGGCGATGTAGTCGTTGGTGTGGAGGTCGTAGACGAGGCCCGGGTCGACGGCGCGGGACGGGTTGACGTAGCCGGCGCCCATGGTGTAGAAGCTCGCGCTGCGGTACTGCTCGTCCTTGATCGGCACGCCGTCGTGGTCGGCGACGTCGGACGACGTCATGATCGCCGACTTGATCGCCGCCGGGGACCATGTCGGGTGAAGGCTCTTGATGATGGCGGCGATGCCGCTCAGGTGCGGGGTGGACATCGACGTGCCGGACTCCATGAAGAAGGAGAGGCTGACGCCGTCGGCGAACTCGGTGTGCATCTCGCCAGGGGCCCACGCGGCGAGGATGTTCATGCCGGGCCCGGTGATGTCAGGCTTCAGAACGCCCGGGCTGGCCTTGTTCGGCCCCCGGGACGAGAAGAACGCGACGGACGGCGCCGGCGACGACCCCATCACCGTCCCCTTGAATGTGACGCTCGCCGTCGGCTTGGGAGTGGACTTGATGTAGGACAGGATCTTTGACCCGGCGGCGTAGCTCACATGCGACGCCGGCAGCACGTGCGCGTCGGCGAATGTGGTGTATCCTTCGACCGGCTTGTTCATCAGGATCATGCCGGCGCCGCCGTACGCGGACACGGTCTGTCCCTGCTCGACGTGCTCGACAATGCTGCGGCTCTCGCAGAGCACCACCTTGCCGCTCACCTCCTCTTCGACCAGCGTGCTGCAGTCTCGTGAGTCGGAGTCGCCGTTCAGGCCCGGGAACACCAGCGGGAGCTGGCGCCCGGCGGTGTTGTTCCGCGGCTGGTACAGGGACTCGCCGTCGAACACCTGGCCGTTGCCGAGCGTCACCGTGGTGCGTATCGCCCGGTCCATGGTGCCGGCCGCGACCGTGAGCATCCATGGCGCGCCGTTGCCCACGGTGGCGGCGACTGGGCCATCATTGCCAGCGGCGGAGCTGACAAAGATGCCATGCTCCATGGCCTTGAACGTGGCGATGGCGACGAGGTCGTAGTTGAACGGCGCACCGGGGGACGCGCCGATGGAGAACGAGAGCACGTCGACGCCGTCCTTGACGGCGGCGTCCAGCCCGGCGATGATGTCCATGATGGAGCACCGGCTCCTGGTGCACACCTTGTATATGGCCAGGTGCGCGTGCGGCGCCATCCCGGACGCCGTGCCATGGGCGTTGCCGCGGACGTCGGCATTCTCGACGAAGTTGCCCGCGGCCGTGCTCGCCGTATGCGTGCCGTGCCCCGCGTCGTCCACCGGCGGCGCCGTCGCATTGACCGCGGCGCTGCCGAAGGCGCGCGCGCCGATGATCTTGTTGTTGCATCCGCCGCCGGAGATGGCCTTGAACTCGCAGGTGCCCTTCCACTTCTTGGGCGGCGGCGGCATCCCGGCGTCGCCGAACGACGGGTGGCTGGGCAAAATACCGGTGTCCAGGAGCCCAATCACCACGCCCCGGCCGAACCCGGAGCGGCTCCAGAACCCATCATTGCCGAGGTGAAGCCCAAGGAACCCCGGCGAATGGGTGGTCGCCAACGGCAAGAACTCCTCGGGGTACAGTCTGATGCACCCCTCCTTCTTCCTCATCGCCTCAGCCTCGTCGTCGGTGAGCTGCGCGGCGAACCCGGACAGCACGTGGCTGTACGAGTAAATGATCCTCGGGCCATCATCCCCCGCCGCCTCCGGCGTGGCCTCCGGCAAGAACGAGCGGTGCCACAGCTCGACCGAGTCGGCGACGCCGCCGTCCTCCCTCGGGTCGAGATGAACCACGTAGTTCTTCCTCTCCCGCGCGCAGGAGACAACGGCCAGCATCGCTGAGGAAACAACCATGGACACTACTACGGCGAGGAGGATTCGTTGAGTCCTCATGATGTACACTGGTTGGATGCTGGCTCAGTGGCTCTCACTTGCGACTTGTGAGTAAAAACTGGAGCTGATATGATTTGAACAATGGTGGTGGGGAGGGGGGAGTGGCGTGGCAACAAGGAGGGGGAGTGCGGGGGTTTATGTAGGGGAGGGAGGGACAGGGGCAGTGGGTGGGAGGCGTGAGTGATGGGCGGCACTGGCGGTGAGCTGGAGAGCAGAAGCAGGACGAACGAAAGGAGGAGAGGAGAGAGAGGCAATGGCAATGCAGGGGGGGTCACCCAGTTGAATTTGAATTTGCTGCAAACTGCTCCCGGTGAGCAGGGTGACCGTTGGATCAGAAAACGATGGGTTCATGGCCTTTCCTCTAGAAGAAGCCCGGGCTTGGAGCTGGAGGTGGAGTTACTTTCCGGTGAAGTCCATGGATGTCGTATGGACTCCCCACGATTTCCTTCCGAGAAATCATATCTGAAGCGACACTTACCCGTAACTGCACCAGTTAAGGTAGGGGTAACTTCTGCTTCGAAGATATGGAATGGCGTGGTCGGCGTATAGCTCGGTTGAATAGTGTCATTGCACATTTGCACTCCAAGATACTCGTATTTTACGGGCTAGTATGAGCTTACTAGCTTAGCATTGCCACAAGTTTTAAATGTGCAGCAAGCAACGGTTCTTTTTGCTGCTAATAAATCATTCCTCACTGATGGGATCAATTTTACTCAAAAGTAGATTGTGTTTAGATTCAAAGTTTTGATCCAAACTTCATTCCTTTTCCATCACATCAAC